ATTTGAATAAAAATGAAATTAATAAGAAAGCTGATAGGATATGTCAACTTATTTGGATCCAAGATACAAAATGAACTTTTTTGATGCTGATTTAATTGACGATATTTCCACAAGGATCCTGCAAGAAATGAATTTTATAACAAATTTTGAAAGTTATCGATGAAAATTGCAACATCGAAAATTTTATCAAAACTTCAAATATTGTTTTCTCAAAAACTAAAAGTTATTTTTCAAAACTGGTTGTTTATTGGAAAGAGGACACTTTTATTAACATTTTGGGAAATGTTCATACTCATATTCCAAGAAATGGATTTTATACGAATTTTTAAAACTTAATCGGCGGAAATTGCAAAATTCGACAAAATTGTCGATTATTTCAAAAATTTATTTCTCAAAAACTAAAAGCGACAGACGAAACTACAACAAGAGATTTTATATATCGTATTGGGATTGTTGCAATGAGGTTGCTAATGATAAATGAAAAAAGTCGGATTTTAAAAGATGGCCAGATATTCGTTCCATCACTAGTAACAACACTATATGATGAAGTATAACATCGCTGGTGGCACCTACCTTGAGATTTAATCCAGCTGAGCAGCTCATAATCAGGAATCGATTATGAATTTTTGTTGGGCTTCGTCTTCGCAATATTTTGTTCTTAAGTTTGATTCCTTTCCAGGATTATATTGCGGGTTAAAATCAAATTAAAATTCGTTGTGGAAACCTAAAAATAAAAATTATTATAAAATAATTGAGTAAAAATAACTTAAATCATAAAATTATTATTGTTGTCAACATTTACCATGAAAGATTGCTACATAGAAAATATTTGCAACAAAGAACAAGAGAAAGGAAAGAAGAAATCGAAGAGGCGAGGAAAAGAGCTGATAATATATAATAGTTACCACCAAACAAGCATGTCGAGAATATTTCCAACAACTTCTTAACAAGAGCAACAACAATCGTCCTCTGACTGTTGATTATGAGCAGCATTGTGAATTACTCCAGCTAGATTTAGATAGACTTTATTTGTGGTGTGCTAAGAACAAGCTAACCTTAAATACTTCCAAATACCAGGTAATGGCATACAGTCAGAAACGTAACATCACACTTTTTGATTATGTGCTTGGAGTGGATCACCTGNGTCTATATGGTATTCGGGGGTAGGGAATCCAAAGCGCTTGTCAGCAATATGGCCCATATCTTTATAGATGGAATTGAATTGGAGAGGAAGGTCTGTGTCAAGGATCTTGGTCTTTACATTGACGACAGCTTAAGGTTTACACGTAACACAAGTGAACTGATCAGGCGTGCTTACGCAAAATTGAAAATGCTGTTTGCTCATAGGCAAGTCTTGAACGCCGATATTAAAAAGAATCTTTGCGAGTCTGTAATTTTATCCAACTTTACATACTGTGACACAATTTAGGGCCACTGCCTGTTGACTGATGATGCGCGACGTTTTCAGGTAGTTCAGAATTCTTGTATTCGCTTTATATTTGGTATACGCCGACGTCAGAGAGTATCGTATAAGCTGGGGGAGTTGAAGTGGCTGAGTATGTCAAGTCGTCGTCAGTTACATTTTGGTTGTTTTCTTTATAAAGTTGTGTCAAGTAAGCTACCACCTTACCTCACCAACAAAGTTACTTACAGAACGGACATTCATAATATTAATGTACGGCGTAAGGACCTCATTGACATTCTTCGTCACCGTACCCAATTGTTCAAGAGGTCTTTTAGTTATAACGCGGCATGTATTTTAAATAAGTACAGTCTGCTTTTTGCTCAACCATCGTTTCGCACTTTTAAAGAGTCTCTGCGTCTTAAATTGCTTAATGACTAGCGCATCGTTCTACCTTCAACTCGAATTAGTGTATATATATATATATATATTTTCTTTTTAGTTTGTTAGGGACATTTATTAATTTTTATTTGTTTAGGCTCTTCATTTTTTATATTTTTCTCGTTTTTTACTTATCGGCCACGATAATTGTTTCAGGTTGAATTTAATTTTGATTTGTTATTACTTTATTTATTTTATTTTGTTTTTTTTTATATTGCTTTTTTTTGTGTATGGGATTTCCAGGAAGACCACGATGCCATAATTTGGCTTACTGATGGAAATACCCTTTGGCAAACTCTATACTTAGTTATTTTAATGTATTACTTATATTGTAGTATTCTTTTATGCCAATAAACTATTATTATTATTATTATACTAATTCCTGTGAATGGTGGAGTACTAAGTAATAGGTTTTTAATATCTGACCAAAGCCGGATATTTGGCAACTATCCGTTCCACCACTAATCCAAACTAATAATCTGAGTTTAAGTTATCAGTTTCTATTATTGGACTCAGTCTTTTGAATATTAGTTCCTTAAAGAATTTTAAGACTACTAGTAATTGTGAAATCGGTCTGTAAAATTTAACATCATACGTTGCTTTCCTAACTTTGGCAATATGCATTTCTAACTTTCATAACCTCTGCAACTTTCCATCATTTTTATCTAAGGGTAGATTTCTACTTTGATGAAGTTGAATCGTGGAGCTTTCATTGAGTTCAGGTTAGTTCTACTAGATCTTTAGCAGTAAATGGTGTGTTGTTGTCTGTTCTATGATTTTCAATATTGGTCNAAAAAAGTCCTATTGGGGTTGAACTTGATTATTATCTGCAGTGTCCAACACCTAAAAGAGATACTAATTCCTGTGAATGGTGGAGTACTAAGTAATAGGGTTTTTAATATCTGTTCCACCACTAATCCAAACTAATAATCTGAGTTTAAGTTATCAGCTTCTATTATTGGGCTCAGCCTTTGAACATTAGTTTCTCAAAGAATCTTAAGACTACTAAGTAGTAATTGTGAAATCGGTCTGTTAGGTTTAACCTCTGCAACTTTCCATCATTTTTATCTAAGGGTAGATTTCTACTTTGATGAAGTTGAATCGTGGAGCTTTCATTGAGTTCAGGTTAGTTCTACTAGATCTTTAGCAGTAAATGGTGTGTTGTTGTCTGTTCTATGATTTTCAATATTGGTCATTATTGCTTTGCAGAGGATTGGCAGTAAAGATCTCAGCCAGATGTTCAGCAAACAACGTTACAATTTGTTTATTGTTTGTAGCCCACGGCCTATTGTTTTTAATTGGAGATCTAGAGATTACAAGGCTATTGGTCTTCTTGGTTGCCTTCAATAGTGAACAATCGGTCTCTTCATATGCTAACAGTTCTTCTAGATACGAGCTCATAAATTCTTCTTTACGTTTTTGATTTTATCTTCTGAGTTTGCGCGTCTTGTTAAGTATAGTTTGTTCTGACTATTTTAACCTCGACTATTACCATATTCTTGTAGTTCATCCTTTTTGCTTTGACAAGTTCTCTGATCTCAAATGGATAATTTACACCTTTAGGTCCACTTTTACAATCCTCCTGATTAACTATCTAAAGGATAATTACCATGGTTACAGCGGTTTTAAGTGCTCTCATTGGCTAAGAGCGAAAATTTATCTATCGGATAAATTTATGGGGAGGTGGTTCTAGTTTTAGTTGTTATTCAGCTTTAGATTGTTGTATATTTTTCATTGGACTAAAACTAGAACTAACACTAGACCTAGAACTAGAAACATTCGGGTTTAGCCGCACGTCTCTCAAGACGGCTAAACCCGAATGATTCTAGTTCTAGGTCTTGTGTTAGTTCTAGTGATAGTGCTAGTGTAAAACTAGAACTAACACTAGACCTAGAACTAGAAACATTCGGGTTTAGCCGTCTTGAGAGACGTGCGGCTAAACTCGAATGATTCTAGTTCTAGGTCTTGTATTAGTTCTAGTGATAGTGCTGCTAGTGTAAAATTAGAAGTAACACTAAACCTAGAACTAGAAACATTTGGGTTTAGCCTGAAGACGCACGGCTAAACCCGAAACTTTCTAATTCTAGGTCTAGTTTAGTTCTAGTTTTAATTGTTATTTATCGTTAGATTGTTGTATATTTTAAACCGGATGTTACATATCGTGATTTTCCGTTTCATTGTCATACAGATCCGTTGGAAGAACTTTTTTAAATCTCTTTTCTGTATGGTAACCGTGTTATTATTATATCGCGGTGCGTTTTGGGGTTCTTGAAACGAACGAACCCTCCCCCCAAAAACTTGAACCTTTCTCGAATAAAATCTTCTTTTTGTCTCGAATGCGAACGCGTGCTCGCTCACGTCTCCCGTCGTCTTCTTCTCTCATCGTCACATGTGTTGGCTACGTATGCACAAGTTGGTCGACAAACCCGCCACCAGGTTTATAAATAGACCCCCGGTGAGTGAGCGAGCGCGAGTCACTGAATATAAGTGAGTAATACTTATTGCCACACAACAATTTTCATTTTCGAAATAAAAAATAAAAGTATATCAGAAATAAAAAATAAGTTTCTCTTAAATGATACTGATTATTAATGCTTAAAAATTGTTTTCTTTAGAAAAAAATTAATTTTGATACAAAAGTTGATACGGATCTAACTGGTTCATTATTTTAGTGTGTTGTTGAGAGGTTGAGAAACTGAGAGCGGCAACGTCCAAAGCGGAACAGAGAGGAACGAACGAAGGACGTCTTCGAGCGCCACGAAAGCCGTAAATATCCTTATCCGGTAAATGGCTTTTGTACCGGGCGTTCTCGTCCCGTCCTCCTCGTTTCCTTTTCGTCGTCGAACCCGTGGTTCTCGTCGTTCTTCTCCTCCTTTTCTTTCTCCTCCTTTTTAGTCAGCCGCTTTTTCACTCACTTTGCGACCACCTCTCGTTATAATACAGAATAGAAACCGATCGTCCGCGGAATACTAATGAATTTCGCGATATTAAACGCGAAGGAGGAAACGAGAGAGAAAATTGATAGAGAAGGATAAGTTTAGCTTGTTTTCTTAGTTTCCAGAAGGTTTAAAGAACCTTGCGATCATTACTTTATTTTAATTTTGAAAGAACATTTATTAAAGATGACCAGATTTATTTATCTCAATTTATTTTTCAGGTAAATCCATCCTCAAGCGATCCATTAACACAAAAAATAATCAGCAAATTTGGCGAATACCAACGAGTGGTACCATATGTGGAAAGTACCTTATTAAAAGGAGGTGGGGCGTTGCTCACGGGTATTCTATCGACCCCTATGATAGAAAATTCACAAAAAAGCCCCGTCGGAACCACAAACTCGGTTTCCTCATCTTCGCCATCTTCATCTTCAAGACCTAATCAACAGCAACAACAACACCAAAGTTCCTCATCCTCTTCCACGTCCTCTTCAAATCCGCCGGTTTCATCGCGACTCCAACCTCCACCTGAATTCAAGAAGCCGCAGCAACAAAGCAATAGCCGACCACCTCCTCCAAGTCATCATCAACAAACGCACCAACGAGGTGGGGTTTTTATTAAACCTTCGGATGGAAAACCACCATATGAAGGACGGGGTGGATACCCTGGACAACCTGGAAAACATGGGAATGGAAACCATCGGTCTAACGGGATACATCCACCGAAAGGACCTCCCAATGGGGGGAATGGGAGTTCTACGTCACCGATGCCTTCCAATCGCCTGCACAATGTAGCACGTACTTTACCGAGGATACCTCTCGATCAGGTTAGTAAAAAAAAAAAGAAATTACAACTAAAAGTTATGTTTCAAAAGAAATGATTCCGTTTTAACCAGAAAATGCTATCAATCTGACGATTTCATGTGAAACATCAGGTTTTCGACAGCTTTAGGTGTTGCTGATGAATGAGAACTCCAATTAAAAACAAATCGAATAGGATATCAATCGCTCGGAGAAGCTTCGAATGCTAAACCGAAAACATTAGTCATTGCGTATTTTTTTTCGATTAAATATTCAGACCTTGGCAGAAATTTGGCAATCACAATATTAATTATTATTCATAAAAAAGGAATAATGAATAGTTATTGTGAAATATTGTAATTATAAAAATGTAAAATTAAAGTTATTTCTAATATGTTCTAAAAACATCTTTAAAAAACACAACTTTCAAAATTGAACAATTAATAAAATAATTGGGATATTTTGAAATTGCAAACGAAAGCTTTACTCATTAAAAATTGTGGGAATTTGTAGGAAAAATAATTCCAGAAAATGCATATTTTGATCTAATTCTGTTTATTAAAAGTTCAGAATTAAAGCAGGTGATGAATTGTTTAACTTCACATGAAATTTGGTTAAAATTCAAAATCAATCAAGTGAGTAGCTTCTTAGAAAAGCTTCTTTATTTAAAATACCATTGAACGTCTCAATTATTTAAAAATAACTTCCTTTCGTAATCAAAAAATCAAGCAAAATTTTCTTATTCAATTACATAATTAGGAGTTAAGAATTTAGGCTTTGATAAATTCTTAGGAATTAAACGAAGATTAACGACGCTATATACTCCCTAACAAAAGAGTAGCCGAGAGAAAAATTAGATCATTAGTAGAAATTGCAAGATGCAATTTAGTTCAATTGGATTTACCACCATTCCTTCGGGTAGTAACTATTAATGCGGTAAATCATAGTGGAAATCGATGTTTATTGATGATACGATTACATTTATAAATTTGCGAAATTAGTACTTAATAATAACAATTTTTATTTCCTATATACTCTTATATTTTTGATTTATTGAATGAGAATACATCACAGCATATGATTTGCATCACAGCAGATGTCCTGTTAAGGATTTTTTTCCCTGATCTAAACAGAGTGTCACCAACTGCTAATTTAAAGTTTTTCAATGAAAGATCGTCTGTCCTAATATGTTCACAGAGACCAACCAACTACTGACCATGCATAGATCCGTAAAATTAAATTATAATTGGCGATGCTATCACGTTCCTCACCAACCCTTTACACTAGCTTGGCGATATCGATTGGCGGGGTACCGAATTTAACTAAGAATGGTTTTGAGATTACTTATCACCAAGACAGCTATCTTATTATCTATCGTATTTAATTACGATCTCCTTAGATCTCGTAGACTTTAGGACCAAGCGTCCAGGGAGAGTTTATTGTGTTATAAAGAATTCTTTATACTATCAGCGTTACATCCAAACTTGTTATTGCATCAAAATCTTCATGTTTTATATGTTGAGGTTAATAGAGTTATACGAGGTTCAACTTTCTTGCTTTGATGTTGAATAATGTCCTATAATGTAGATGGTGACGTGATCGAAATCGAAAATTAACGCATCATCTTACTATGTATTATTACGAATAAGTCATATTGTCATGATAATTAATCTAAATTTTCTTGTTCGAGATAAATCTATTCTATTAAAAAGTCGTCAAGTGATTTAAATCGCCTGGTAATGTAAAAATTTCCTTCTCGTAAGATTCTAGTTTTGACAACATAACATGTCAATGTCTAACACAGAGTAAGGATGTCTAATTAATATTATTAAGCGTCAATAATGTGTACACGAGGTGTATAAAATGGGTACAATCCCAAGGTTTTAACTGAGAGTGATTGAAACTCATCACCTTTGGGCATTAAACCAACGATACTCAATACCAATACACATCCAACACATGTTACTTTTCGCAGACTCTCTTAAATTCACTTGTGTTATGCATTACGCATATTGTAGCTGTTATTAATACTTTTTTCATTGCCCGAAATTAAATGTTATAATTGAAATGCGAATCCAAATAACACAATAGTATAGATATTCATGTACCAGTTTAATGTCAGTTTGGAGAAAGATTCAATATCTGATTTCAAAAAGATGTAAATTTAAGAAACGAGGTTGGAGGGTTATTCAGACATGTAAATGGATATAAATTGGGATATCAGTTTGATAATTCAGTTTGTAAAAACATTCAAGTATCAGATTGCAATGATACTTAAGTTACATTTTGATAAACGTTTGGATACAGGTTTGGAAAACATTTGTATATCTAAGTGTACAAGTGTTCAAGTTTTGTGTAAGATTGCATAAAAATTCAAAGTTTTATGTAATAATAAGATTTAGGAATTATTTTGGAAAAAGATTTGGAAACCAGATTGGAGGGATAATTTAAATACCGAAGTGTATAAAGATGCAAGATTCAATTGGAAATTAATTGTGAAGGTTACTCAAGTATAAATGAAAAGATATCTGATTGCAAAAACATTTAAGTTCTAATTTGGAAAAAGGTGCTGTACTGTTCAGTGGGAAATTAAGAAATGATTATATATTTTGAAAAAACTACGACCAGAATTATACAAGATGATAAAATGTCATTTGAGTTATTAAACCTTCATCAACGGAGAAGTAGAGGTAATTCATCATTTTGACATTATTTAGTAAACACTTTCAGAAATCATCAGATATAAGCAAATCTAGGGCTTTAATCCACTTTAACTCCTTAAACCAAAACCTAAAAATTAACGAATTTCTTTTTATCAAAATTTGATCGATACATAATATAATATGATTCAATACATCGACAATATACACCTCCATTCTTTGGGGATATAATTGTTTAACCTGGGTTGGTATTTCAATTATGAATTAGTAAAACGAAGTACAGAGAATGTGTAAACGCTTCAGTCTATTTTGATGAAGAAATTAATCTTTTATAAACAGTGATCAATAAATCATGTTTGTGGACACCGCCGATTAGATGCTTGTATAATAGTAGCTTATTGTTTCTAGTTGAAGTAAATTCACATGAGTTCTAGTTTTGTTATTGCATGCTTTACACTCGCATTGGTGTTCACTCCTTTGAAAATAATTGCTGGTCATGATAACTTTATCATCTGTACATAACATTTCATTCACAGGTCCTTTACCTTTTGATTTATAATATTTCGATTGATAAAGGAGAGTACAAAAATCTGTTGCAGACATTTTTCTATTTGAAGATCGCTCCAATAGATTTAAACATGAAGAATAGTTCTCAAAAAATAACTGATGATTTTCGTTTTAAAATTCTTTCCCCCAACCAAAAAGTCACGGCTGCACTTAAGTCACGTCTTAGAAGTTGTACAAGGAGATGCAAGTGTTTCAAGATTTACCTGGTTTTATGGTCAAACGAACCTAGATCTTATGGTATTATAAACGTTTTGATTGAACTAAAATTAGAACTAAAACTAGAACTAACACTAGAAACTTTCGGGTTTTGTCATGCGTCTTTTAAGAAAAGGTTTGACGTTTCGGATGCCATGTTGCAACCTTCTTCAGAAACTGGTACGAAGTGAACCAGTTCCAACTTCGAAACGTCAAACCTATTCTTCAAAGACGCACGGCAAAACCCGAAGGTTGTTGGGGTAGTTCTAGTTTTAGTTCTAATTTTAGTTCAATTCACACCGGCTGTGAAAGCCTTCGTAATTACTTCAAACTTCATATTATTTAATTCTTGGCAAGATTTGTGGAATATATTTCATTTTCCAACAACTTTGACGAAATGTACTTTTGAAAATATATTACTGGCCAATCTTGGCAATTAACATGGTGTGATATTAGTTTAGTTAATAATGAATTTGAATTTGAATAATGATACATATATAACATGTATCATTATTTTTCCACCGTATCCATTCCTTCTTATTACATTTTTATTATCATACAAGATCATTCGGTGCATTTGCAATTTCAGCAACTGGAGGTTCAGACTTCTACAGCTCTGCTTTCGCTTGGTTCACATTGATGTCGTTTAGATCATATGCTATGCTTAGTTACCGATCTCTATTCACAAAACACGTCTTTATGATAAAAAAATCGCAATTATAAATTCACTAAATACAAGGTCGTTTCTATTCAACGCCATCCTCTGTACTTCCTCAATATTGAATCTCTTTGGAAGCTTCTTATCATTCATACGGGTCACGTGCACGTACCACAGTGACTATGTGTTCTGTATAGTTTTCACTCTATTTGTCCCTAGTTCCTCTCTAGAGGTTGTATTTCTGACTCTATCCCTTCTGGTCCTGCCTACTATTCACCTTAGGTATCTCATTTCTGCCGCTGTTATTTTGCTTTTGTACTTATCCTGCATTGGCCAGGTTTCCCCCTCATATATCAATGTTGGTACATATACTGCTTTATACAGGTGCATCTTTGTTTCTTTACTCAGCTCTTTTTTATTAATCAATTTAGTGTTAATCTGCTAATACAGTTATATTGCTTTGGACGTTCTTCCTCGTTGCCGATTTGTTTGCTAATATTCATTATTTTACTTTTCTTTCCGTTTATTTCCATTCCTCCACTTTGTACACTGATTCTCCATTTATTAACTGCAGCTTACAACTTCCTGACTGTGTCCGCCAGTAATATTATTTCATGCATAAGACTTTGAATGCTAACTTCCAATCTCCAGTGTCCGAGTTTTAGGTTGAGTGCTTTATCTTTAAGATTTGGTCATTAACCAGAATAAGCAGGAGGGGCTGAAACTTTTAGACTCTACCCCCTTTATTCTGACTTTTCCTGTTGTTCTTTTGTACAACGCTTTGATCAACTTTTTTGGTATACTATCAAATTTTATCGCTTGTTTGCATCTTATAATTATTATGCCCAATTAGCTGCAAAGAAAAATTGACTTTTTACTTCCTCTTTACTTAATTTTCCGACATGTTAAGTTGAATCACTATTTCTCTCAATATTTAGGTGTGCTGATGCCGTGTGGTGACACTGCAAACTAAAATTCAATAAATCAATAATTTAATGATTATGAAACAACTCTTTGAGGATCATACACGGAATGTGTAAATATAAACATGTTTCTTTTTTCATGTCCCATATTATAGAACGAATGTCTCTGCCTGAAAATAAAAATCTCACCCAATCGTCCCATCATAAATTTTCTTTCTTATGGTAGTTGGGATCTACCTGATGATGACGCGGAAGTTTTGAAACCAGTAAAATAAATAAAAATGGAATCAAACAACTTTTTATTGATTGAAACTTTATAGATTTGGTTTAAATTCGATTTATGCCAACTGCACTCGCTTTGAATATGATTTATTATTCATGTTTCCAACACATCACACCGATATCCTTTAATAAGTCACGTGAGGTGAAATATATTCGAGTGCATAGTATCAAGCGCAAATCCAGGGATGCATTAATTTATGTAAAAACATCATTTTTAACTTATCACAAACTTTTTCCAAACCATTATTCTAGCTTTCTTCACTCGATAACTTTACTTTTCGTTAGTTTTCGACTTAACATTTTCGTCTACCTGTTTCGTTAATCAGTCAATGAACTCGAAATTTAAGAGAGTACCCAAAAAAAGGATACAAATATTCTTGTTTTATCGATTCGTTGACATACGTGATGGGTCGGTAGTTGGGAAAAGAGTAATTTTATAAATTGAGTGAATTGAAACGTCCGATTTTGCCGGACCGGTTCCGAAAGGACAATAAATCTTACGGAATTTTCTAGAGTTTTCCCAGGAATAAATCTCAAGCGATTTCCAGTCGGGTTTATTGCTTCTTGACCAACCCACAAATCTCCTCTAGATATAAGAATTAAAAAGACCAAAAAGAATCAAAAATCAACCCAAAACCACATCTTTGTAAAGAAATATGTTTTTATTAAAAAAAAACTTTACCTTTCTTTATCCTCGTTTAAAGTAAACAACTTTTTTATCTTTTTAAACATTTTTTTTTAAATTAATTTCATTACAAATCCCAACGAAACCATTTACCCGTAACCCTCAACTTTAAAAATTAAAAGTCATTTACATGGAAGCGAAGTACGCCGGACTGAGTCCGGGTTTCGCGAAATTGCGCTTGATTTATGCAATTTGCTCTCGTCAGGCCGTCGCTGCTGTTAATCTTGATTAAGGCCCCAGGAGGGTCTCCCGTGGCGTTATCAACAAGTTTTCCACCGAGAAATGACTCGTTTCTACCACCTCGTGAAAAATCAAAAGTTATCCAAAAAATCCTTCTTTGTGAATGGAAACTACGAGAATGATTCATTTTTGAGTAAGAGGAAGGTGGTGTTCTTGAGGAAACTAAAACGCAGCTGTTGTTGTTTTGCGATCGCTACAGATGGGAAGCATGAGCATGAAAGGTACAGGTTTTTTTATGAATTCAAGGTAACACTTTCGTTATTGAGGTAGAAACTTTTCATTTTTTAACTCGAAAATATTTCTCCTTATCCAACAGTTCAAATAAATAGATCAAAAAAATGTATCATCTAGAAATAGTTTATTACCACTTCACAATCATTAAAAAGTACAGAAGCGTGTAAATGACTTCACGTTTTAATACTCGAAGCGATTTTAATGCTCTGAACGAAGTCAGTTGACCGTAACTTTAAAGCAACGAAGCGATAAAAAGCGATATTATTACTATTAAAGGAAATTAAATTAAAGACTAATAAGAGTGTAATATTTATTATTAAATAAACGTTTAGGATTCTAGGAAAGTTTTTCTTTTTAATTATCTTTTTAAAAGAGTGATTTATAGCTGGAAGATATTGATATAGATAAGATAATCTAGGGACGATAAATTAATTTTAAATAACGCGACGACCATCAATATGCAACACACGAGCTTTTAATAGGCGACTATTTGAATAAATTAAACAAGATTTTAAAGAAAAAAATGTGTAGTGTACAGGGACGCGAATAGATTAAAAGGAAAATGTAAACAATTTCTTTAATCATTTTTGCGATGAATATTTTCTAAATTATTTTGTTATTTTTCAGCACCATTTGTCGAGTAGTAGAGATGAAAGATCGTCAAATCCACGTGGTTCCGAAGAAGTTCAAAGTATATTTAAGGTAATAATCATAACATAATGATTTAATAGATTTAAAAAATTTTAGAAATACACAGAAAATCATAAATCACATACATCCAATGAAAGTTATCAGCCGTGATAACAATTAGTTACAAAAAATTATTTTAAAAGATAATGAGGCCAATGTAAAACTCAGTATTGTCTGTAAATTGATATAATTAATTCATGTGCAGTAACAAAATAACAAAAACAAATTATGTGCACGTGCAGATGGAAAGATGTTAAAATTATATAGCATATCTGCATAAAATAAAGCAAAGTAAATCATCCTTGCTTCCTACTTGGCTTATCAACTATCGTACAAGAAGAGTACGATACCATATAATTGAAAGGAAGCGATTGTAAAGCATCTCTACGCTATCGTACCAAGAAATAAAACTGTCGAGAACAACACCCATTTCGTCTTCTTCCATGAAAATCGTGAAACATTCGTTCTGATTGCGAAGTAGATGTTATTAGGTTTTTACGATTTTATTAATACTAAATCAGTTAAATACGTGTGTGTAAGTCCTAGAAAATGAAATTGGGATAATGAGACATTGGAGAGAATTAAGTTTTTTTATTTGTATAGGGACCATTAAGAAATCTCTATAGTCCGATACTTTGTATCTGATCCGTTTTCCAATCCGGTCCCCACTTGCCCTCCTCTTGACTCACGCTTGGCTGGAAGCTGGACGCGAGAGGAAGGGCTCTTCCCTTAATTTGGTCCTTTTCAGCTTCGACTCCTTTCCATTCTTTCGTCTCTGGCCATTTGGAATATTACCAAAGCTAAATATTACTTTAAATATAACGTGTACTGGAATGTATTCATCATCCATTCTTCCACATTTCTCTGTCCGTACTGCTCTTCTCTCTTCTCATTTCTTCCTCTTGTTTCTCTCTAAAAACTAAGTGATATCATAGAGCTGTATCATATAGTAATTAACTTCCACATATTTTTTTATCGTTTATTTCTCGATATCTGTTATAAAAGTTTTCGACCATCCCTTATATCTTGTGTTTCCATCAATAGAAGGTTTATTACAACAGAAGGTACTGCACAGTGTCTATTGTAAGCCTTCTATTAACTGTTCCACAACTCCATGTCTCTGCACATGTAAGAAGAAGACATACTTTGGAATTAAGTTTACAGCAATAAACGAGACTAAGTCTATTAATTCTGCTTGAACTTATCCTCATCATCTTGTAAATTTAACATTAATTTCATTAAAAGCAGCATCTTCTTGGATCCTAATTATTTTTAACTGTAGGACAACTTCGCTGCTCGTTTAATCACAAAGCCTTTATATTTAGTCATCTCGTATTGTAGTGAAGAAGCAAGTCACAAAAATAGCTTTTTCTCCTTCCAAACTAGCTTGGTTAAAATGCACCACAACAATCTTGTACAAATCTCCCCTATATCGGTTTCTGACAATCAAAATAATCACTAGTCTTGTTGAAATGAAATGTGGCCCAACAAAGTCCATAACTGTAGTTGTTGTGAATATAACAGTGGCTTCTGATTGTTTTTCCAATTCAAAAATGTTATTTCAACCAAAAATAACATCATGTATAACTCTTTTTAGATTTATTGTTGCACCTTCACCAATTTGTTGTCGACATTCTCTTCCAAATCATTCTAATTCTTCCAATCTAATTATTTCTTTATCCTCCTTTGTTCTCTCTTGTAGGAATCGTATCATTTTACTCACCGCAAAATAGCTCTTTATATCTACTAGGATTTTTGTTCCGCCCGCTAATCACAATCGCTACATTTAAGATTCTTTGTTACCCCAGGATATACGAGGAATATATTTCCAATATCTCACAGCTCTATTCCAAACTGTACACGCGTGTAGCATTTTTTTCTCGAGGAAATCGTTATCTACTACTACTTCTAAATATTTAGGAAGTGACTTGATTTTTATCACATAATTTCTTAAACAAAAAGTGAAATCATGCAGATTTTTTATACCTATGTTTCGTGTGCCACCTCTATTCGTTTTCATTCCATTTCTACTTCCACTTCTTTTAGTGTTTCTTCTACATCTTTGACCACTACCACCCAGTCATCTTCATATGGTTGTAAATACACGCTTCTTCTTCTATGGAAATGTAGGTTCTAGTCATAAGTTATGCTCAAAGAGATGGGTCCAACATTGAACCATATGGATTGTTCAAGTATGATTTAGTGTCCTTATTTGGTGATTTATTTAGTATCTCATCTGGCTGTTGTAGGCTACTGTTCGTTTTTACCTTTATTTATACAAGTACGCAAAACTTTGTTACTTTTTTGGTAACCCATAGCTTCTTCTTACAACAGATGGACCTTAGAGAATGTAGTTATCATTCTAATGGTATATTATAAGCGTCACCACACAGGTTCTGTTCTGGGTTTTTCGGGAGATTGTTCCATGTTTACCTTTTAGTGCTTATTATAGTGTTCGTTACTTCCTTTCTTACACTATTCTACCTCCTGCAACTTTCCACTGCTTTTCCTATTTAAAATGTTCTTTCTTCTTAAGTCTAGTTTTATCGTGTTAAAGATGATGTAGTAAACAACCCAACCCAACTATTTTTTTGTGCAGAGATGGAGAATATGCTTTGATTCACTCCGGCTTACTGTTGGTGCATAAAGTTGTTGAGTGGAAATCATCATACTCCGGAGTACATCGGGGTATCTCCGTTTTACATCGGGGTATCTCCGTTTTATGGTGACTTTTCTTCCTGGTGTCATAACATGTATATTCTCCTCGCAAGTTGCTAAATAAGTAATCAAAACGTCCTTCGATTAATGGAGGAAATAAACTAATCGTCCCTTCTTCTGTAGCTTATTAATCTCCATTGGATGCCTGCTATTTCTCCCGTCTTTCGTTTCTCTTCAGCTCTGCTTTCTCCATCCTGGTGATCTCGTATATCAGCTTTTTATAGTTTATCATCCGCTTTCTTCGTGTTTATAAGTTCTCTTACAAATCTTTCGATGTTCCCCAAGTTGTTGTCTTCGCTCCCAAGCATAGCATTTTTGCAATTTTCCAGTATCAGCGTGCTTACATTTTCTGGTTTGTCTCCGCTCTTATCTCCTTCCACTGCTCGCATTCAAAAATCTCATTGGTTTTCCATTGTATAGGTAAAGGTATGCTTTAAAGCAGCCATGCCCACTTATGAATTGGCTTAGAGAATAGTTTTTTCAACCAACCCAACCCAACTTACCCGATTAAATTAATTGTTGTAAAGACAATGTGGTGATGATCTCATCAACTCTTCTGGGAATGATCGAATTGGGAATATCATATGATTATAACAAATTTTAACGAATCACAGAAATCTCCTCTGTTAAGATTAAAGTTTAGACATACAAAACTATACACAACTTCTGTACATTATATTTTGTTTTGTGCATTTAAAGAAAGTTTTCTAGCCCGTTTGAATTTGCAAACTTTGTAAGAAAACAAGCTTTAAAATGATATTTATCTTTTAAAACTATTTGATTAACCACCATTACAACTTTCAATAGAACAAAGTTTACGACACGCAGCAGATTTAAACCACGCAATTATTGATTAATTAACGTAAAAATTATTAGACGATTATCATTTCTAATTTGCTTGAAAGTAAAGTGAGATAATACCCTAAAATGTAAATTTTACAATTTCTAGCGAATGAATTTCAACATGTATTTGTTGGAGTTATGCGTTATAAAATTTGGAATTAAATCTCGCAAAAAGTTTACGTTTTCAGAGAAAACAAAATGAACCTACGTTGCTGGGTGTAGTGCTGTCATAGGTACATAAAGTTGACCTCTCACCTTTTAATGGTTTCTTATCTCCAGAAGCAACGCTCAAGGCTATCGCCCTCTGACAGCGCTTTCATTGTAGTTTCCAGTATTTAGGATTCAACTTCAAATTACAACTATACTTTCATAGAAACCGTATGAAAATCCGTTTTCAAGATAACACGTCGTTTTTTAATGCTTGTGATTTCTAAATTTTATGCTAATATTTAATTTTGAATATGTGATAACACTAACTCTAAAAAAACTGGTTTTAAGATTTCTAAAAATCCATTTCGCGCCGAAACCGGTACACCAAGATTCATTATATTATTCATTAATTTGATTATAAAATGATTTGTGGAACCACTTAATATCGGAAATTAGCTGCTAACAATTTATTTACAAATGTTAATATGTAATAATGTCCTTGAAAAAATTTTTCAAATAGTTATCTTCGTTTCATTTTATTTTCTTTCTCTATTTCATTCTTGTATTAATAGTTATAAGCTTAAGTAGACTATCTTGATGGTCCCCTTAAGAGAGTATTGATTATGGGGTAATTAATCATGGACCGGATGTTTGTTGGAGGTGTGGGAAGGAAATGGGACTTCCTCGGCAGAAACAGAACGAAACCCAAACAAGAAAAATTCGTGCTCTATATTAGTCTGTTTCATACAGAGTTGATTTATGTTTCAGTATTTAATTTTTCTTTACTCGATTTAAAATAGAAGAAAATGTGTAATTGTAGTTATCATAAAGGAATCGTTTTTAATTAAAAACAAAACATCTGCTTAGTTCTAGTAATTCCGATTCGTTTTCTTTTGTTAATGAAATTAAAACTTAAAAAGGTTTTCTACCTGCATACTTCGGTCTGATATGGTTTAATTATTTTTCTTTATATCGTTATTGCAGGAAATGATCGACAATCGGCCGCCAGTAACCGCAATAGCAGCAACGCCACGTAATAACGACCAAGAAAAATTTCTTTTCCATCACACTAAGGTAAATTAATAATTTATCGATAAAAATATAAATCGTTTTATGATGATTATTTTCAATCTCAACGTTTTTTTCGTTCCTAATCATAAAAATTAAGATAAAATTTAAGACGAAAACATGTAGTGAGGAGAAATTTAAAAATAATTTTTCATTATCTTAAAACCACATTGTTATTAATTATTAATTATTATCTTTCTTGATTAGGTGTTATTTCGACAATAATTATATTTTCTGAAATTTATTTTAGCCTCAGGAAATATCAGTTCCAACATCATCGTCTTCAACATCAAATCAAAAACGTAAGTTATTCAAATAATAAATGATCCTAATCAAGATAATTAATATTTTATAATCACTTTATAAGACTTGATTATATTAATTAATTTTTGTTTTATTAATTTTTCACATTCAATTTAGATTCTGTTGTCATTGTAAAAACGAACCGTACAAATCCAACAACTAAAATAAGATTATTCGCGATCAACTCCGGGGGACCCAATTAATATTAACGATCTTCCGTAACCTTCAACGAAGCGAGTTATTAATTGATATCGCGTGACGGGAAAGTTCTCTTTCTCTCCCTCCGGATCGATATATTAAACCGTTTACCCTTTTATTATTATTATTTTTTCCTTATATTTTTTATCTTTATTCTTTTCGCTCAGATTTTTCACCTTCTCCTTTGGTTTTATCACCTCATTATCCTCCTAGTTCTCAACTAATGTATATTAGCGATTACCTGGCTTTAATAACTAACATTAAAATGTTAATATCGTCTACTCCAAAAAAAATAAACATTAGATCTCGTTCTTTTTAAAAAACTTTTAGGTTTAGTGATAGTTGCACTTTTAGTTCAATATAAATTTACAACAATGTAACGTTGAATAACAATTTAAACTAGAACTAACACTAGCATTAGAACTAACACTAGATCTATAACTAGAATCATTCTGGTTTAGCTGTACGTCTCTTAAGACGGCTAAACCCGAAAGATTCTAGGTCTAGTCTTAGTTCTACTTTTAGTACAATAAAAATATACAACAATCTAGCGCCAAGTAACATCTAAAACTAGAACTAACACTAGACCAATAACTAGAATCATTCGGGTTTAGCCGTCTTAAGAGACGTGTGGCTAAACCCGAATGATCTAGTTATAGGTCTAGTGTTAGTTCTAGTTTTAGTTCAATCAAAAATACACAATAATCTACAGCTGCAAATAACTAAAACTAGAATTAAGACTGGAGCTAGAACTAGAAACATTAGGATTTAGTCGTGCATAATTTTTCATATAACGGACAGTCCTTTCACCTTATTAACCCGTTATATCGAGGTTTTACTGTATTATTTTATTCATTACGTTTTCGAATTCTACCTCAAACAAAATAAACAAGTTTGAGTTAATAAAAATCTCTAAGAACTATTTGGTTTGTTGTACCTTGTTCTTTTATGGTTTCTTAGAAACAATTCCGAGAAAACGAGTTCCTCTCGAATCTCCTTCAATTCTCAGTTTAAGTTCTCTTCGTGCGTCTTCTTGCAGTCTTCTTCTGTTTCATGGTTTAAGTAAAACGGACAAAAAGACAATTGTTTTTTTTTAATTTGTAGAAAAGAGGTGGAAAGTCATAAATTAAATTTAAAAGGGTATACAAACTGAGATTACAATGCTGATTTTTCCCCTTTTGAACCCTTTCGGTACCGTTCATTATGTTTGCAAGGTTCAGTTACCTTCTAACAAGAACCGTTATGTACACAGTATAATAAATATAGTGTTTTTAAAACTTAGTTTCCTTTATGGTTTTAAAATTCGGATATTTCTTGTCTTATAATATAGCACAAATATGCTATGACATTTTAAAAAAGCAGTTTTAATTAATTAGGATTCTTCAGAGAAATAAATATTAATAATTATCCAGTAAACTGTCTTTTTGAATCATCTTTGAATCATTGCCAGTATTTCATTGGTTTTCCTCCTGGCGGAATTCAATTGCAAAATTTTAACACCTACACAAATGAGATATGTAATTTCTCAACCTCAATTTCAAGACGAGACACATCAAAACAATTATCATAAACGCTTTGGCAATGTTGAAATAGTTAAAGCACAAGGGTTACCTTGAAAGAAGTAAAAATAACTTTTGCGTTCTTCCTCAATGAAAATTACTTCAAATACATATCGAGAATACCAAAGGCTCTAAAATTAACCTTGTGACATTTTTATAATTTATAATCAATCTAAAGCAAGTTCAACAGTCTTGCCGAAAGATAATTTATTATGGCAGGGACATTGCTTGAATCAGAAGACATTAAGCGTCTTGTATTGATAAAATATCGATAAAACCACCTACTAAGTTTTCTTAATCCAAAACAAACAGAAAGAAAGAAACAGCTGGCAACGTAATAGTGTGTTAGTGCTCCGAACCAACCTCATTAGACACGCAATGTCCTGAATTGTAGCAATTTTGTGGCAATAGTTAATAAAGTTCTTGTAGATAATGATTTTAATGAACTTAATATACTGTCGTTTCTGTTTAACTGTTTAGCACACCTGTTTTTGAACATCCCTACTAGTATGTTTTGAATTGCGGAACCGTAACATGATTAGGTTCGTTTGTTCAGTATTAATTTATTTATTTAGATTGTTGGATACTGCTATAATTATGGAACCTTTTCTAGTAATTCCGGAAGCAGTTGCAGCTTATCATAATTGAAAGTAAAATTTTACCTTACTTTCATCACATTTTCGCATAATTGTGGCCGCAGATAACAGCTCTTATGTTGTCTTCGAATACTTGAATCGTTGAAGTTATACATCTAGGAAAATTTTCACGCAATAGTGTAATCGTTTCACAAGTAGTTTGATATATTACGCCATCCTGCTGACAATAAACGTCGTCTACATCCAATTCAGGCCAAAAAAAATCAGTTATCGCAGCAACCTGTCACTCGTTGTTGATGAAGTGCTTGCTCGATCACTTGTCTTGGGTTTTCGGAACTCCAAATCTGACAATCATGCTTGTTGACATAACCAGACAGATGAAAACAAGCCTCATTACTCAGGATAATTAATGCATTGAGAGTACTCAATCACCGAATGTACGGTGTTGTTCGTGATCTTGTGGCAGTAGTTCTTGTGTCAGCTGGATTTATAAGGTTTTAAGGCAAGATCTTTATGTTTTAATAAGCCCAATTTCTATGAACGTCTTAAAATGGACAAACCTTTGTTTTTATCCACACTCTCAGCTACTTTTGTCAGTCACATCATTTTTATTATAGCAAAGCGAGAAGGCGTTTGATGGTGATCATCATTTTTATAGTGAATTTTCACTGTTTCAATACGTGGTGCGAGCGCAGATCACTATCGATTTATAATCAAAAATGATTATTACAGAAACAATCCAACGTTGAGATAGTGCAGTTAGGAGATAATTATAATTCCCTTTGAGACTATGGTAATATGGATAATTGGTTGACATCTGACAGAGAGAGATCGCCTCAAAGCTTCGGTTTAATATGTGTAAATGCAACCTAGTAGTTGACCGTGTATTAAAGACAATAGCAACCACGGTGGCAGGCTTTATGGAGAGCTGATTCATCCTAATTCAGGAAGTAAATCGATGCTATCGAGATAATTGTTTCTTTAAGACGTAAAGATAAACTACTAACAGAAAATCAAATCTATGTAATACATATCAATGTTTATTTTGAATTACTTAGCTATGTTATAACATTTTTATTGGATTCAGAAAAAAGTTTCCCTTTACAATGATTGTAACTAGAAACCTGTTAGCGATGTGAATATCATAACGTGATCAGTTTTCTAGAATACAGGCTTCTGAGTATTATCATGATATCTCAACGGTGTACGCTGTAGTCTTATTTTGCTGAAACCATTCATTGCAATTATTCACTCCTAAGTTGTAGAGTTGAATTCGGATGCACAAAAAACAATTATGTTATCAAAATATAGTTTTTTGGTGTGGAATTCTGGAATTATGGTCAAACCGATAGCAGAAGTATTAAGTTCTTGGACAAAATCATTATAAATGATCTTTCTTTGCACTCTCCCGAGGAAACCCAACAGCTATAGCATGGTTTCTTGAAACGTTATCGAATGGTTTCAAGCCTTAATATTCTGTGTTTTATTGTTAATAATTGTACTATGAATTGTTTTCTTGGTAGCATTAGTACGGAGTAATTCAACTTATACATAATAGCTCCAAAACTGTTTTTAATACTATCTTATGTGTCTCAATAAACAAATCTGTTATCTGCCATTCTTCAATTGTAAAAGGTTTTTGTTGGGAAAACATCCATTATTATATTGACACTATTTAAATAAGTACCATCAGATTAATGGATGTGAAGGTCGGAACAAAAACTGCACTATCATCGGATTGTGTGGCAACCAGTTCTCTAAGAAAGGCAATGATGGGGAATCAAAAATTGAAGTAATTTATTGAAGTGTAATGTTGCAATTTTTTAATTTTATGATAATTTGTGTTAACTTTCCGTGTAATATTGATGTATATACTAATAATCCTAAAGTAGTTGTTATTTAACGAAAATGTCACAGTTATTGGTCAAACAAATTTCAATTGACATGGCATAATTAATATTTCTCACTCCCTATCCAATTTGTTACTATTGTTTATTGCAATTTAATATTAAAACTATTACATTGAAACCTCTAAACACAAATTACTCGAAAATTCATCGATTTAGACTTAATAAACGAGTACCTTTTTGCGGTCTTTTGTAAACATATGGATCATTAAAGTATTATGAAATGGAAAGTCTATGACTAATCATAAAAAAAATCCAATTCTAATTTGCCATACTGACTAACAATGCAAATTTCACTAAATTCAATATTAAATTAACTACAATTATAATTGTAACTCTATATAGCGTCATGTTGACTCTTACTATAAAATGTCAATTAACAAGTTCACGTCAAAATTAGCGAAAATGCCATCTGGCGGTTTCTATTACGTAATATATTCTATTTATTGAATCCCGTTATAATCCCTTAATTAGGTGTATTATTTTATGGTAAGGTTTTATGGTAATATTTCTTTTAAATACCGATAATAGCTTTGAAACGATGCCCCATATTTGATAATCGCAACTGTTAACTCATTTCATTCGATTTATCTTGATTACAACAAAAAAACCATTAGCCATAAACTGAAGTTCTCAAACCTGAAAGTGTCGGTTGGGAGTGATATATTTTGGACATTATAGAATTAAAAGTTTCTTGCTTTAATTTGTTTTCGTACAACCGGTTTCGGACGTCGTTAGTCATCAGGTACACTGTAATTTAAATAACAGTAAAAGTACAAATTAAAAATCTTATTCATTTGTCGTAAATATATACATATGTCACATACAATCATTTTAATGAATCTTCTATGTGTATATAGATAATACAAATATACAAATGGACATGTTAAAATAACCACAAAATGCATGCATAAGCCTAACATTCCTAAATTTCTAAACTGACGTTTTTGGATGAAAATTTTGATTATAACTAGAAAAGTATAAATTTTAGGAAAATATTATTGCCAACCTGGCGAATTTTAAATCTCAAGCACTTTAAATCTGATGTACTTAATAACAAAAGATTGTTAACTCAAATATTAAATACTGTGGGTGATAATGATGTTAATGAAAATTGTTCATAATAGATGACGAAAACAAAATCCATAAAGAATTTCTTTCCAACTATCACATTTTTAGTTATAAACCATAAAATGCCTAATTCTCTAAATTAAAGATTTTGTTTAAAATTGTTAGCATAACTCGTTAATTAAAAATGCTAGGACAAAATGTTGTTGATAAAAAATGTTTATACTGAACCAACAAAACGTAATTCATAAGAGATTATAACCCAAGTATGATTATTACCAACCCAGCAGATATAAAATACCAAATATTTCAAATTTAACGCAATGTACAACAAAATAGATTTTATCTCAAAATATAAAAACTGTAAATAACAATGATATTAATGAAAATTGTTCATAATAAATCACAAAAACATAATCCATAATAGATTTTATTCTAACTGTTGCGAATTTTTAGTTACAAACCATAAACTCCCCAAATCTCTAATTTAACGTTTTGGGTTTATATTTATTATTATAATTGAAAAGCTCGAAATGGTAGGAGGAAATCTTGTTGATAAAAATTGTTTGTACTAAACCAACGAAACGTAATCCATATGTTATTATTACCCAATTATGATCATTACCAACCCAGCAGATATAAAATGCCAAATATTTCAAATTTAACGCAATTTATAATAAAATAGATGTTATCTCAAAATATAAAAACTGTAAATAACAATGATATTAATGAAAATTGTTCATAATAAATCACAAAAACATAATTCATAATAGATTTTATTCTAATTGTTGCGAATTTTTAGTTACAAACTATAAAATCCCCAAAACTATACTTTGTCGTTTTGGGTTTATATTTATTATTATAATTGAAAAACTAGAAATTGTAGGAGAAAATGTTGTTGATAAAAATTGTTTGTACTGAACCAATGAAACGTAATTCATAAGAGATTATAACCCAAATATGATCATTACCAACCCAGCACATATAAAATACCAAATATTTCAAATTTAACGCAATTTATAACAAAACAGATGTTATCTCAAAATATAAAAACTGTAAATAACAATGATATTAGTGAAAATTGTTCATAATAAACCACAAGAACATAATCCATAAACGATTTCTGTCCAACTGTTGCGAATTTTTAGTTACAAACCATAAAATCCCCGAATCTCTAATTTGACGTTTTGGGCTGAAATTTATTATTATAATTCAAAAGATAGAAATGGTAGGAGAAAATGTCGATAAAAAATGGTCATACTGAACCAACAAAACGTAATCCATAAGAGATTTTAACCTAAGTATGATCATTACCAACCCAGCAGATATAAAATACCAAATATTTCAATATTAACGCAATTTATAACAAAATAGATGTTATCTGAAAATATAAAAACTGTAAATAACAATAATATTAATGAAAATTGTTCATAATAAATCACAAAAACGTAATCCATAATAGATTTTATTCTAACTGTTGCGAATTTTTAGTTACAAACCATAAAATCCCCGAATCTCTAATTTGACGTTTTGGGTTGAAATTTATCATTATAATTCAAAAGCTAGGCATGGTAGGAGAAAATGTTGTTGATAAAAAATGTTTATACTGAACCAACAAAACGTAATCGACATGTTATTATTACCCAATTACGATCATAACCAACCCAGCAGATATAAAATACCAAATATTTCAAAATTAACGCAATTTACACAAAATTGATTTTATTTTAAAATATAAAAACTTTAATAACAATCATATAAAGGAAAATTGTTCATAACAAATCACAAAAACATAATCCATAAAAGATTTTATTCTAACTATTTCGAATTTATAGTTATAAACCATAAAATCCCCAAATCTCTAATTTGACGTTTTGGATTTATATTTATTATTATAACTCAAAAGCTAGGCATGGTAGGAGAAAATGTTGTTGATAAAAAATGTTTATACTGAACCAACAAAACATAATTCACATGAGATTATAACCCAAGTATGATTATTACCAACCCAGCAGATACAAAATACCAAATATTTCAAATTTAACGCAATTTACAACAAAATGGAATTTATCTTAAAATATAAATACTGTAAATAACAATCATGTTAATGAAAATTGTTCATAACAAATCACAAAAACATAATTCATAAAAGATTTTATTCCAAGTGTTGCGAATTTTTAGTTACAAACCATAAAATTCCCAAATTTCTAATTCGGCGTTTTGGGTTAAAGTTAATTGTTATAATTCCAAAGGTCGCAATGCTGCAAGTAAATGTTGTTGATAAAAATTATTTACTTTATACTAACAAAAGGTAACCCAAATTATTAAACACAAACATGATTACCAAATACAATCTAGCAGATATAAAATGCCAAACATTTCAAATTTGATGATTTTGTTACTAAATAGTTTTTTACTTTATCGATTAAAATTGCGGATGAGAATATTAACAAAAACTTAAGCAGTCTATAGTTATAAATTTTTTATTTGTGTAATTTATAACACATCTGAAGATGATTTATAACCGAAACCGGTGATTCAAAAAAAAAATCACTCATATTTTATATTAAAATAATTTCTCTAACTAAAACACATCTTAATTTTCTTCTCCGTTTAAAGTTTTCATCACTTTCCTCCCCCGGAATTAATTAATTATACAGCCCCGTAACGTTACCATTAATAAATTAGCATTTAAATTTCATTACGGTCCCGCTACCTTCCCTGTTTAGTAACACGAACGTTCACCCCGCGGCGCCACCTAAAAGAACATTCAAGAATAACATCACTCTCATTTTTTTCTTATGTTTCGTACATTTACCCTCCAACAGATGTCACTTAGTTACCGAAATAATCCCTTAAATAGACTTAAATAAACTTTTTTGGGTTAAATCTTTCTCTAATACTCTCCAATACTCTATCTAATATGTAGATTTAAAAAAATTTCGATTTTTTGTTATTGTATGGGGGTTGAAAAAATACAATTCAAGATAGTTTGTAGTTTTGTCCGCTAGAGGGCTACCGCAGACACGCTCAAGAGCTCGAGCGACTGAACTCGCATGCAGTGTGCATTCGGAAACGGTAGGAAGAACTAACCTCCTAAGCGAAAACCGGGCCTCCCGAAGAAGAAAGCTCGTTGATACCACAAGCTATCTCTTTATTTTCTTTCTATCTCACTCCCTCCCAACTTGCCGCTTAGTAGTACTTTACGAAAGTAGCGAGATGTCGTTGTCGGTGGTGTGCCGCGCAAAAAAATCACTCGTGTGCATCAGACTTGAGCGCACGTTTTAAACCAATGCGCGAATAATTTTTTTTTCGTTGTGAATTTTTTGTTGGTGCGTTTGTTTGTTTTTGTTCGTTGTTGTTATTGAGACAGACGGATTAGTTAAACGTTGTCGTCTTCGTCGCGGTAAGTTTTGATACTATAAACCGATGGGTTGCTGCTGCCGCCGCTCTTTGGTCTCTTTGTTTCTTCCTCTCTCCCTTCCTTTAACCGACTTCTTCGTTTTTACCGTTTTCTGTCTCTCTCGATCGTTTCGTTTTCTTACTTCTTCCGCTGTGTGTGCTTCTCACGGGTTGTTGACACTCGCACGCGTACACCAAGAGACGCGAATCCACCGTATATAACAACCACCACAAATAAAACGGATATAGAAGGGAAATTTGTATGTGATAGATAAAGAGGGAGTTATACGAATTTGATGTGGTGGGACAAAGATGGGAGATAACCCGGTCAACACTTGCGATTTCTTTAGGAAATTTTAAACAAAACTTTTTTGATTTTTTTCTCTCTCCCTCCTTCTTAATCTAGAGGAGGACATCTGTTGAAGGAAGTAACCGTCTTTTTTTGATCTGGATTGTACGGAATTCTCCTCTCTTTGTTACGCTATGAAGAAGAAGAAGAAGTACAGTTCTGGCGGGAAATATTTTGCATTCTTCGAATTCTTGAATTATTTTAATGTTTGTTAATTATTTTTTTCCTTTAATGTTATTAATGCCTCCTTAATTGACAACGATTTATGTGTACGGAATTTTTTTTAACTCTGTTTTAATCCTGGAAAGTTGATTCTTCCATAATAACCTTTCGAAAATTTATAATCCACTCAAGTTTGAAATACAACATGTCGTTTCTGGTGCAGTTATCATCAATTTACCGTCCATAATTTAAGCTGTAAATAATGAACTCGCGTGCGCTTAGAATGCTCACCGTTTCAAAACCGTTCAAATATTAATTCGTCTAATTAATAATCGATAAAACCACTAGTAAATAATTTAATCACGAATTTTAGATGAACGCGCAATAACTCATTCGTTTATGATTATCGCGTTAGACAGAATATTAGATTAGATATCGAACAAATTTACAACAAAATATGTTTTTATAAAACAATTTAAGATAAATGCGTTAATTATTTTCATTATAATCACTTAATTTATTAACTGAATCAATCTCTTTAAATCCGTTATTGATTTAGTAAGTGTACGCTTTACAATGTTTCGAACAGTTACAATTTGGCACCGTGCCAAAAACCAAAGTCGTTCCTAACGAATGAACATGTGTCTGTTTTCTATGTCTGATAATAATCGATCAGATTTAATTTCCTCGTTAATTTTAAAACTGATTGTTTTGTGTGGTTTTTTACGTAATAAAAAGATATGTCAAGATCTTCTTGCCTTGACAAATTCGTGTAATATGTAATGAAATAATAAATGTGTGCTTGAGTTTTTAGTAAATTTGGTTAAATTTCACCGGATTATAGTGAAGTTCGGTTATGCACTAATAGATTGGTAAATCTAGGATAAAACTCTCACTTAAAAGAATTTCAAATTTGAATAATTTTCTCTTTTTCTCATGATACTTTTTTTAAAGCAAACTTTTTTTTAAATTAAATTTTGATTTAGATTTATTTCCAACGTAATATAAACATAATTATAATTTAAAAGCATTTGCATAATTAATACCAGCGTTTTACATAAAGCTGATTTTCTGCAAAAATAATCACTAATTGGTAAAAAATTAAAAAGTCCTTAATTGTATCATGAAGTTCTTAGAATTCTGATCAGTTAACTTCCAAATTGATAGATCTTGTTTTGCAAACTTCATTTTTTAAGTATCCGATAAGAAAAGTCAAGTGTTGATAAATCTTTGAAGAGATTTTGAGTGACATGCTATTAGACCCAAAATTATATTTAAAAATTATGTATTGGCATTTTTATATGATTTGGTCATCAATTAGTTTCTTCCCAAAAATTAAATTGTTTCTAGGTAAACCTTCTTAGGCGCCGAGACTCATTAAAAGAGCTATTTGTAGTTGTATCTTCAAGAAACACTTAAGGATGCTTTGTAATCAGGTGTCATTAGCTCCTCCTGGAACCTCGTATTACGAATCCTTGAGGTAGGATCTCTCGGATGACTTCAAATTTAATACGGACTCTTAACGTGTTCTTGACCATTGAGGAATGATTATGAGTGTCACCCTAAAAATCGCTTCAAGATAGGTCTTGGCAAATCTGTGTGTTTGATCTCGGCAAATTTTTCGAGAAGTTGAAATGATGTTTCAGGTAACCATTAGGTCTGTTTTGGTTCAAGAGTTTTGTAGGTCCGAATAGTTCTGAACATTTCCGCGCATACCTATTACTTATTATGCGTATGCGCGGGAAGGTTTAGATCTGTTTGGAATTACAGAATTCTTGAACCAAAATAGGCCTATTAGTTTATACCAAACATATACTCCTTCAATTGTTTGTAATTTGGTAAATTACTGTAGCAGTTTAGACAATTTTGACAAATCTTTCTCATTTCTAAATTTCGACTATTACCTTATTTCGGGTTACATTCCTCGAGCAGTCAGAAGAAGCTTATTATTATTATATTGTAGGCTTTTCCGTGTCTTTCTTCCTTTAATCTTTAGAATTCCTGCTACTAATAGATTCGTTTCTGTATTATGTTGAGTTTTTGGAGGACAGGTTTTGAAGAGATGACAAAGTGGAGAAGAATGAACAAAGGTTGTGTCCTTTTTTTATTCATATTCTATTGTTAATCGATATGCTATTCTATAATTCTCAAACACAAAAATGTTAAAGTTCAAAATGATTTTTTAGGATTAATATAAGCTGAACTAGCTTTGCGTATTTTATGTAAGCAAGAGAAACACAATAAATTGGTAGACATTCATTCTGCCATATCTGGATTTAGTCTTGTTTTACATTTTGATACTTATTAGCGTTGTAGCTAAACTTGACATGGCAATAACACTTTCCAGACAAACTATTAAAAATCTATTATTTCATAGTGATGAACAGTTTTATTATATCACCTTTGTCAAGCACTCTCTAATCTGATCTCGTCTATCCTGTAATTACCTCGGTTGCTAAGTTTTTCAAACTTGTAACATGTAACAAGTACTGCATTTATATTCGTTATCATATTTCTATATCTTTTTTTATATTAGGGCTTTTTGCCAGGTTGGTGCAGTATACAAGACCATCCTTTGCTTGCTAAGACATACTTTCTTATAATCATATTATTATCAGCGTACTTGACTTCATGCACACTCCTTTCTTCAATTAGAACCAGCTCGATTTTATACACTGCTACACTTAATCAATTTCATTAAGGTTTGTACCTTTTGCCACTAAAGCCAAATTATCTGAATTTGGTATCAAGACTGCTCAACTTCTTAAAATTTTCTCATAATAACGATCCTAACCACGAACCCTAAGGAGATATTTTTCAAATGGAGATATTTCAAAACATGTCATTAAAAGACATCGTCTACTGCTACGTAAAAACAATCAGAGAGTTTTTGCCACGTTCGTAATATTCTTTATTTTCACTTGTAGAAATAATCTCCTCAACTGCATCACTTAAATTCTCCAAAATTTTGGTGTGGTGACCCTCGATAAGCTCATTGTTCGGCGTTCTTATTAAACCCTATACTTGCCGATGGATACAATCTCGTTAATCACTCCAACTAAATTTTGAGATCTTTCACAGCCTGTTTTATGCGTCAAACTACAGCTTCTTCCAGAGTATCCAATGTGTTGTCTAACAAAGAGTCGGGTGCTTGTTATTGCAAATTACTGTGAATTGCTGGTAATTTTTCACTGGTTGTGAAGTGCTCCTTCATCAATCACACCGTCGTCATCAACTTTTCTTTAGTCTCATGATTAACTATTTGCTGCTTAGATCGATACTTTCTGCTTTAGTATAGTACAAATATTAGAATTTCGCCAAATCAACAATGGGTAGCATTCGCTTCATCTTATCAATTTCTTTCTCTCATTTATTTCCAAGTCATGATGATCAAATATTTTGTAAATGATTGACCCTTTAAAGTGAAACATTTAAGATACTAGTTTAAAATATGGATTGCCAATATATGAGGTGACGTGATATTTATTGCAAACCAGAAATGTTGAGGACATTTGAGGTGAACTAGCGACATCGATAAAGCTGATTTGTGAAGAACCCAACTATTAGGTCTTAATTTAATGTTAAAAATTGGTTGACTGGCGGTTCTTATGTAATAACTCGAGTTGTATCTTTTTAGAATCTATTTGATGCTTCTAAATTTTTACAAAATTCAATTAAATCTTCTTAACATACTATAATATATACGTTTATATTAGTTATTTTGTGTTATTTATGTTATATAAGACTTTAAATATGTAAAGCTATTTAAAATGCATCTTAACACATTGATTTTACACCCATAATTTTGAGTACAGGAATCTAAACATAGCAACAAAAAAATAGTAAATATTTTTTGCCAAAGTTCTGTAGTCAGTCGTTTTTGACTTAACTTGATTTTAATTATTTTATTTGAAAACTTAAGGTAACAAATTTTGGTATTATCAAGCCAGAGAAGAGAATTTATTGCAACTGCTTAGCCCATTTTAAAAATCGCAACGAGTCAGATGAAATCTTTGACTCTCAGAGATTCCTCCACTTTACATCTTGATAATATTCGGTTAATTGCTGCCTTTTGATGCACGTAATCTTGGAATTCTGATGGATTCGAATTTGTGCTTAAAAAATTTTAGGGGCGTTAAGGAGTTCATTCAAACCTTAAAGGCGATTTTTTAAATCTTTGCATTTTAATTTTTTTCAATGTTTTATACAATTATTATCTAAATGCTGAATGCACCGACGTATTTAATGATGGTCGACCGTCGAAACTTAAAAAAATTACTAAAAACAATAATAATTATTTATTAAAAATGGTATTATAATAACCCAGCATGCCCTTGAAAAAAAAAATGATAACGTTTGCTGAACAGTAAACATTCCATTAAAACCAACAACTCCCGGTGTTGTAATCTGATAGCAAAGAAAACGCGCAAACGACAAAGTAGTGATTTTAAAACCATCTAAACTAGACTGCTTTTTTTCTTCTTCATGGTCTCGTTCGACAATAACAACAGCAAAAGACAAAGAAAATCCTAAGAACTATAACAAAACGAAGAATTTGAAGACGATTTCTTCTTTTTCCTTTTTTTTATATACCTGAACTAATTGACCTGACCAGGTACGGTTTTTTTTCTCTTTCGTTATCAAAAAAAGGAAAAGAAAAATAAAAGAATTTTTTGTTAAGTACGAAGGTGAACAACCCGATTTTTCACGACGTGAGTCACTATTAGTCGGGAGAAATAAATTTGTCTGAACGAGAACGTTAATTTCTTTCATTCTAGATTATCTTGCGAGATTTTATTTTGTGTCCATAAAGAACGGTTTTTCGGCTAGAATTTTTCCTTTGTCAAATTAAAGAAAAGAAAAAAGCTTTTTTACCATCTGTTAAGTCGCAGGTGATGACCGTAACCACCATCACAGGTTGGTTCAACAGGTGAATGGTGTAACTACCACCTTTTGGTTTTCATTTTTCTATGTCTAAGTATTTCTTAGAAGTTAACCCCAAAATTAATGACTTTTTAAATTAATTGTTGTAATTATTGTTACAGGTTTGGATAGGCCACAAACAGCTCGTGAATCGGCGTAAGTATTTTTATTTTTTATATTTGGAAGTCTTAAAAAAAGGGGAAAAAAAGATTTTTATTTTTATTCCGTTAGCAAAGAGAGAAAAAAATCGAATAGAATACCTACCTTCTTATATAAGTTTTATCGGTCCCGGACTTCCTTTTTAACGGGGATAAAAAGGGGGGTACCAACTTGGTTACGTGCACCTTTGGCGGCGGAGTCTTTTCGTAACAGCTGTTAAAGAAAACCAGTTGAATGGCAGCTGCGTACGCCCCAAAAGACACAAGGGACTACTACTACCACTATTACTACTCCTCTAGTACTCTATTCAATTTCTTTTTTTAGATTCTTTTAAAACGAATGTAACCATACAATTTGTCTTCAAGCAAAACGCTGTCAGTAGAATAACCGATAATTCAAATATGACTTCTAGTTTCCTTATAGAGATTATCTAAATTACATTTAGAGTTGCATTCAGTTGATTTAAATTGATCTAAATTAATCTAATTTGATACAATCAACGTGTGATTGTAATTGATGGTGATTTTGATTGTTTTAAAAAAAACGTTATTCTATTTGATGCCATTTTACTATAAGTGTGCTGAGTTCTTAAAATATTTATTTTCCAAAACGTGTTTCCTAATTAAATAGTTTGTGACTTTGATAAGATAATAATGGGTATTGCAGCAATGTCAAGCGAATAATGTTTAAATAATGTTTAAACTAATATTTATGGACGAAAAGAATAATCAAAACTATTCAGCTAATTTTCAAGAGTTGGGAAATATTATTAAGTCAATAATGAAATTATGTAATATTTGATATGTTTGAAGATAAACCTTATCAAGACTTCAGCAATTATCATCGACTTTCAGTCAAAGATTTATCTTGATTTTCTTCACGTCTGTTAGTAATTGTAATGAATGAATAATGCTCCTGCCTCTTCGTAATTATTATGACAGTAGCGTACCTGATCAAGGACTTATATTGCCGAAAGACATGAATGTCTAAAGGCTGAATAAAACCAGTATATACATCGTGAATGAGACTCTGTATAAAAATAGCAAATTCAGAGACGGGAAAGATTGTTATCCTTATTTAGTGGTCATGAATCCTTAAACCGAAGAGTTTTCTAACGATTAGCGGATGCACACTTTATTAAATCGTGATCGACTCTTGCCATAATTGCTATCTTCTCTCCGGACATATTGATGTTAAGATTATTGAATCCGGATACTAAAATGAATAGGTGTCATGACCTCACATGTCAATGAGATTATTATGACGATAATGCATGATTGAGTTAGTTGTACATTCAAACTCATCTCATCAATCCAACAAAGTCTTCAGCTTATTTTTCCAAGTTTTCGTTTTCTCGATTCTGCATTTGAATCTTAAAATCCACGATTGTGGTATTAAAATTTAAGTGATGTCAATTGTTCTTGTTTCCAAAAAGCACAAACAATGAGTTTTCTTTATTACATTAAGCATTTGCTTCTCCAAGTCTTCAGATACTTCAGATACAATATTCACAGATTACACAGTTATCTTTAAAACCTTATGACTTCTATTTTGATATCTGCCAACTTTAAGTAAATTTCGTATTTATTTTATGCATACGGTTAAATACGTTATGCTTAAATATAACATTAAGAAATTTGCTATTATTTAAAATCTAGAAATAACACTAATTAAGTTGTTGAATTAAAAGATAGAAAAACTGGTTGAATATTCAACTCAAATTCAAGGTGGAATTTAATTGTTTTGCACTTAATACGTTCGATGGCGTTATGAAAATATTCATTACATTCTTGTTTGATCGAACGAGACTAGCATCAGTAGCAAACGCCTTAAATAGCAACGTCACTCTATAAACGTGGTTTCTTGCAGAACTTGATGAATTTTTACGAAATTGATATAGCTTGAGAAGAGTTGTTTTGAATTTTGAAATACTTCTAAATTTTATTAGTTTTTGCTGTAGATTACTAGGTTTTGGTAAATATTTTCGAGGTTTGTTATTTCCCAGAATATTATTAGAAGATTAATGTTATTAACTTTATGTTTATTCCAAGCACTAATTTTGTAACTAACATTTTCAATACATTTTGCATAAAATGTTCTGAATTTTTTTGAAAAATAATGTAGAGTACTAGTTTGCACTCCTTAATATACAACAATTGGATAAGTACAGAAATGCCTAATATCAAATTTCAACCTTGACATACATAATTCCTGCATTCCAGACAACTGATCGAGCAACTTTTGCGCGCATCGTTCCAAGCAGATGGGGGTCAGTTAAAACCAAAGTAAACAAGAATAATGATGTTTATGTTTATAAACGGCAAAGGTGAGGTTGGAATTACGAACAAACACTGCAGTAATAAACATTATTACTCCCTCGATTGCTTTCTCGGATTTGAGAGTTTCAAGCAACAAAATAGTAGAGTACTTGAGAGTAGTTCACTTTAAGTTAGATCCGATGTGTCCCAGTAATTATACTTCCATTATTTTTTCGTTTTCTATTATAACTTTATTCGTTTACGCACTTTTTAACCATTCCTATTAAAAATATGTCGTGACATTCTATAATTCATTGATTAATCTTTTATCATTTTTAAATTCAGACTAGTAAAGAAATGGAAAGAACGAAAATAACGATGTTGTGACTTTTGTAACTTTGACTTATAAGATCTATCTTACCTTGATAAATAATATATCAGGTTTAGCAGCCCTATTGTATTAACATATGTCAAGATCTTAACTCCATTTATATCCACAAATCAGAGAATCTGACAGGATTGTCCTTTGGACTGGGGCATTAATAATAAGAGTGAGAACTCAATGAGTTTAATATTTTCATATTGGGTGTTAACAATAAATTTTGACTCCAGCTTCCGCCGATACAAGGAGATTTTGCTATCATTTGGAATCTGCCTGTCAGGATTCAAAATTTTAAAAAGAGAATCAAGTGGTAGTGTCATTGTCAAGTCTGATGGCATTCACTGAAATATGTCACGTCTAATAAAGCTCTTAGCATACCCGATAATTCTAGATAACTGTCAAAGCCTCTTTCTCTAGTTGTAAATGCAGCGGAGATAGTTCAAGATACGTTAATTACGGATGTTGACATGGTACCTATTGCATCAGAAATCGTCAATTCACCAATCTTTGCGTGTGTCAAAGTTTATAGATAACCAATATTTGTTGGAGTTTGTATACTAGATTACAACTCCATGTTTGGCCATTAGTCTAATCACAATCTCGTAAAGCCAGTATTGTTTTTCAAGGTTTAAACTCAATTCTTACCATAGAGACATCGATAAGACCACATAGATAGGCTTATTCTCTGGAAATCATTCCAAGAGATCAACTTGTTTGTGCATTCTCTGCATTTCGTTGTCCTTTTGAAAGGTACGATAATTGTATTTGCGGATTGATGGAGAGATTTTCTCCCTCATTAGTCCCTCGATATATAGATATATTTTAACCATAATGACAATATTATCATCACATTATTAGTAGCTTGCACAATTTTAATCATATCGTCACCCAATAAGAACCAGATAAGTGGGTTAGTACCACATTTTGTGGGCAACCACCCATGGGCTTGAAGCATATCACCTCACCACAAAGTGAACTGACAACAACTAAGCTCTGACCAATTTATTAAAAGTTACTCTTTCTGAACATTGTGGTATCGATCCCAAGAGATTGTATAGAGCTAGTTCAGTTAACTTTCCTTTTTGGTAGGTATTTTGATGAAGGGACTATTGCATGGACGGTTCTATGACTTCGTTCACCAATGTTTCTGCATGATATATACTATGGATATGCTGTTCCAGTACCTTCTCGAGTATTGGCAATGGGGACAATACGTCTAATCTTAAGCATATAATGTTTTATATAGTGTTTTCTCTTGTTGTAACGTATGTGGATGTATATATTTCACCTTCTCCTCGCCATTCGAAAAGTTTGAACCAATCAATCATCTTGTCAATGGGTAAGCAAATTCATCGTGCGATAAATGTCTGTTAGACCGTTATCTTCCAGTATCACTCCAACGTTGTTTAAGAGAGTCCAAAGGAAGTGCTGGATCTTAAGCGAGAATCATGAAGATACTAGGATTGTTAAGTTTGTCTTTTTTCCCTTCACAGAATCCACGAGGATATTTTTGTGGTCAGTAAAATTGAGCTGAATGTTAGGTGTACTCTATTTTTGAATTTTTGCCATTGGTTCGGCGGTTACGTTGTTAACACTAAGATCTTTATCGAGAAAAATAAGATGCAGTATTAAGGAATCTTGGACAAGAAGTTGAGCTACGAAAATTAATCGAGAGTTAAGACTCGATTTGAACGAAAAGATTCATCCTATGGAACCATCATTATTGCCAGTAAGTTCGCAATGACAGAAGATCTTGTTGATACAGATGTTTTGTTATGGCTTTTTTGACCATATTGCTAAATCGTAGGAGACGGTTGACGTGAGCCGGCATTATGGTGATGTAGGTTGTAATTGAAAGAATGAAAACCTTAAATGCATAAGTTGTAAGTTAAGCAGGAAAGAAGTTTACAATCAATCTGAAGCTTGTGGCGTGCGCTGTAAAGAGAAGTTCAGTTCTTCTTAGTATAGAGTCTCGTTCGTCTATGGGTAAAGGTCTGTGAGACGTTGTGTTTAGTTTCTGTCAAGTATAGAAAGATGTGTCGTGGATAATTAACGTGGATGTTAGATAACATGTTCGTCAAGCTTCGATGAGTAATTAGATAATAGTAAAACACTTCGCTCAGCACATCTAAAGATATTCAGCACAGCCAATAAGGTCATTGACATTTAACCATTAATTGACTAAATTTAGCTGTCCAATTAAGAGTAGCTTAATTGGGGCAAATTCCCTTGAATACAGTAATCAAATGAAGCAAGTACAAGCGATTCGTGAATTTGTATATTCAATATTAATCAATTTGCGCATAAAGGTATTGTGTGTGAGGGTGAGGCTTAGATGGGCTAACTTCCTTTAAATACCTTTATGAGGTTCAACTGTCCATTGTAGGCAGATTGTTACAGATAAAACCCATTTATATTCCAAATTGTTGCATTAACAATCCAACCTAACACCAATGAAATGTTAGTATTTGAGTTATAAATACTAATAATATTTATAAATAGTTATAATAGTCAATGAAAAAAAATTTTAATTAAGACGTTGTTTGAAGGTAACGCTACTGTTGGATTGTTATTGAGCAATGTTAGCATAAATTGAGGCAAACTGACATTTTAGCATGCGACCTCATTTATTATTGAAAGCACCTAATCTAACGCCAGTCAACCCAACCCTTTCATACTGAAACGGAAAGGAGTCATGTTTAACAACATGGAGTATATAGAGCGAACAGAACAAACATTGATTATCAAAAAGGAATTAAAAATTGACCTCCTCAAGATATAAATAAAGTCTTGTTGAAAATATTTATTCTAATAATAAATATTTAAGTGTTTGATTATTATCATCTTAATTTAAGCGATAAACTCTGCATAATTATTTTAATTAAAAAGAAAAATCTAATCTTGTCTTCATCTCGTCATCTCTCAACATCTTAAACTCTTAACAAAACCCTTTTAAATTTCAATATTTAAATTAGATTATCGTCAAGATCGGTAGGAAACCTCGTTGGAGTGGTTGTAGAGAGCACTTAATTGAAAAGAACCCCACCGATAATTAACGAGTTCGAGCTTTTTTTCCCTTGCTTTCCTTTTTTTTTGTTGTAACAGCGATTTTTGAATATTAATCCGAATAATTACTACTTTCAAACATCTTAAGATGTTTAAACAGCTTTAAGTTTTTGTTTATTTAACAAATGATCTTAAGATGTTCTCAACTTAAGTGGAGTGGACCACCCAAGAAAAAAACGTTTCGAATCGTTCATAGGACCAATTTCTCGCCTACATTTTTTTGTGTTGATGTTTATAATAGTTGATGGTTAAAGTGTGGTTAAACAAAAATACGAAGAAGTAAACTTGTGGCGTACGTGACGCCGGTCAAGGAAATACATAACTTAACGGTATCCCCACATTTCTCTTTGTTACCAACGAGACATCATACAGCAAACGACCGCTTATTAAAGTTTCCCCTCACGTTCACGTCGAAAATCGTGATGTGGTTACGTATTGTATGTGAAACATAGAGGATGTTTCAGTTTTTTCTTTCATTTCACCCTTATTTCAAAAAAATTTTTTGTTAAATTAAGTATCTAAGTTAAAGATTTTCAAACCCAATTCAAGGTTTGTTATTTTAAGATCACTTTCAACCTTCCCCCATTTGAGGTTGGATATAGAACCTTCTCGAAAATGGGAAGAAGGGAAAAGGTAGAGAACGATTTCTACCCTCACAAAGATTTTTATCTAATCCGTGACGAGACTGTGTAACATCTCGATTATTACTGCCACGATGATATTCGATTTCTTTCCAATAACTTTTCAAATCACTTTCTTTTTAACTTTGTATGTAAATAGTAATATATGGATGTTTTCAAAGTTTTTTTAGGTAAAAAAGGATGTTGTAATATCGATTATGTAAACATATTTCTTTATTCAAGCAACTGTGTATCAGGTGGTCAAAAATTGACTCAAAATTATATTCTGTTTTATTAAGGTACAAAATGTACAAGTTGTTATTGAAATTGCGTCATATTGTATATGTATTTTTGTTCGTGTGTTGTAAATAAGTATGTAGGTAAGCTAAATAAGCCGAAATTACGTAGTAGTAGCACCCAAACGGGTTCAATTTTCTTCGTAACAATAAAGATTGTTATAATTATTTCTCTTTGTTCGTTGTCTGTATTCTGTTACTTTCTACTCCCTTTTCTTAACAATCCCCTTTTGGGGAGCTTTTTTTAAACGGTAATGATCTTGTTTTAAGTATTAGGAAGAGTAGAGAAGTAGAAAGAAGGAGGAGGAGGGTTTCGAAACGAAATGAAATGAAACGAACACGCGTGCTGGATTATTAATAGACTTGGCTGCGTACTTTATCGATTTATTTGTTTTCCGTAGGGGTTTGCAGAGCGACCTCGAGATATCGGATAGCGATGATGAGCAGAAGAGGAGGGGTATTCTTCATCCGCACAAACCTATTATAAGGTATGTATCAATAATTTACATTTTAAATTGGTTTAAAAGAAACTTTTTATTGAAATTTATTCCTTTACAATTAAAGATCAATCAATCTCAAATCACAACTCAACCTAATAATTCCCTCCTATTTTTAATCCTATCTATTTCTAGAGACATTACCGAAGAGACTTCTGTTAAATTTCCTGGTTTAAAACTTCCAAGATCTTTTTATCTGGAACGTGTTTTATTTTTATTTAACTTATTTTATTTTATTTCTTTTCTTTTTTTTTCAAAATTGCTCCCGTTTCAATTTTAAACCATACATTCTCTATTTTCCTATCAACGACCTCAACGTCTTAAACCACATTCGTTTTCACTTTCCAATATGTAGATCATCTGGTGATGGTCATTTTAAGGCAGAAAAATCTGTCCACTTTCACCCATTTCTGATTTCAAATGTCTTAAAATCAACACTTTTTTATAGAAAACAACAAATTGAAACATTAAAGTATGTAGGATAAAAAAAATCTAAAAGTAATTAGAACATAACGTTCTAGAGTTATATTAAAGTTAGAATTGTCTAAAACTCCTTGAAAGTTCTTTGAAGGTTTTAACACTCGATAGGTGAAGTGATAGCGAGCGGAAGTGATTTCGGAATGTTGTCTATTTGTAGTTGAAGTGATGAATGGTCCCACAAACTTATAGGTTTCTAAGCCGCTCTCCGAAGTGATTTGTTAAGTATTTATTGGTCCATACTCATTCATACATTCCATTCAGTTTTATGCAATCTTATTACAATAAGTCACCCCACACAAGTATATTGAGGAAAACTTACTAACAACGCAAACATCCTGGCTTTTTTCATGGAGAAGAGAAAATTAATAAAGGAGAAGAACTCCGTAAAATAAAGAACGAGAGTCTACGCCACAAAAGAATATACAAAATCAGCTGGAGAAATTAATTAAAAAAATGCTAGCAACTTTTGAAGAAGGTGATATGGATGGAAACCCGCTTCAACAATCTTTGACAAAGATATTTAAAAGAGAGACAATATGTCCCTGCAGAAAATCCAGAAGTATTTCAAATTACGATGGAAGATTAGGAGAAGAATCGAGAATTTTTTTTTAATTTATTTATTGACGCATAATATAAGTACATCCATAATATTAACAAAAGAAAATTTGTATACATAAAAAACGAAAAATGTGCGCCAAATGGAGATACCTCAGAACAGTGAAGAACACTGATCTGTTCTTCTTAAATCTATCAACTAATGGTAAGAAATAATAAAGTTAAGGAAAAAGGAAAAGAAACGGCATCACGAAAAACTAGCAGTCATAACATGGTGTAGTGTTGGAGTCTCGGAGAGAAAAAGAAAAATCTTTTTTACGTATATTAACGTTGTCAACGTCAGTTCGGAAACGAATTCTTTCATACAAGTACTGTGGTACCCTCTTATCCAGCACACGATGGTAGAACAAGTGCATACAACCTACAACGTGCAGCCATACGTAGCCAAACGATATCCTCATAAACATGAGATATTCGATCGCGATTTCTCAAACCACAAATTGATCTAATGCAAGAGTTTTGTAGCTTCTGGATACGGTATTTGTCACGACCGTCAAGACAAGGTCCGTAAAAGACATCACAATAATTAAGATTAAACAAGACAAGTGTTTCGCAGAGCAATATTTTTATTCGTTTATTAAGTAAGAAATAATACTTACTTAACGGGGTTAATAACTAAATTATGCTTTTCTGAAAGGCTAACTAGAGCATCCAGGTCCTCCTTAATATGTATTTGCACAGCAGCAATATCTTTTTCATTGAAAGATGAATATATCCGAGTGTCATCAGCATAAGCATGATACTTACAATGACGTAGACAGTCATATAACCGGCATGTATACGCCGTATACAAACTGCAACCCAATACAGAACCCTGAGGTACACCGGATATAACTTGAGTGGGACAACAAGTCGTCAGTGATATTCAAAAGCGCTCCACAGCAGCCATGATGAGGTCTAAACCCAGATTGGAATTTAGGTAAAATGTTACACGCATTCAGATGACATCTAAGGTGTTTCGCTAACATTTTTTCAAATGAGCTGAAAATGAAAAAACCATCCATCTATAAATACACATAGTTTTATTTCAATTATATTTTTTCAAATGGCTTCGAAAATACCGGCAAAATACTAATCGGTCTTAAATCCGACACCGCATTAGGATTACTTGGTTTAGCGATAGGTAAAATGATCGACTCTTTCCAGCAAGATGGAAAAACATGTTCAGTTATACAAAAAATAAAAATGTGTCTGATGAAATGTATGATCAAAGGAGAACATATGTTTATCATAGATATAGAAAGCTGGTCATCTCCCTGAGCATTGGAAGAAATAGCGCTTAAGGCATCTCCTACCTCCTCCTCAGTCACCGTAGTAAATTCAAACACATCCACAGAATCTTCAACATTGTTACTATAAAAATTTAAAAGGTCTACATCTGGCAATCGGTCACTTTGTACTGAACAAAAATAGTTGTTGATTTCATCAGCATCAGAAAGTGAAAGAGGAATCTCCCTACTTTTGTTATAATGGACACCGCACTTCTTTAAACTTGACCATAATTGTTTTTTATTTTTACACCTTGCTGAAAACTCTACATAAGCTCTTTTCTCTCTTTTTATTGCACCTGTAGTATAATTACGCAACATTTTCTAATAGCCCCAGTCATGTAAACTGTTTGTGAGTTTAAATGTATGAAGTGCTTTGTCCCTTAAATCCATCAAAAGTTTCACATTATCTGTTAGCCAAGATTAAATTCAGTTTGGCATCAATATCATTGAAATCAAAGATGGAGTGCCACTGAACTTCTCTTAAATCGGACATAAACAATTCTTTATCAATGTTGCTAAAACTGCGGAAAGTTCTTGCGACGAGAGCAGGCAGGAAATTTGTCAAAGCAATTGTACAAAAAACGAGATGATCATCAGAAATGTCATAAACCGCCACCGCACCAGAAGCCACAAAATCAATTAGCGTACTTGTACGAAGGTTAATTCTAGTGGGCTCATCAATATATTGCTTTAAACTAAATACTTCCAACAGTGCACAAAAATTACAATAAACAGCACTTGCAGAGTTAAATGCATCTATGGTAAAGTCCCCCAAGCAAAATATCACGTCATTAGACAGCATAATCAAAGAAAGTGCATTTTCAAACCTATCCAAAAAACCATTAACATTGTTATGAGGTCTGTACATAGCTGCAACTTTTTAATATAAAACCCCACACCACCACATCTCGTTCGTTTAGGAACGTGATAAAAAGTGTAACCTCCGATAGCTAAAAAATCAACATCGACATGCTGATCCAGCCATGTTTCCGAAACTCCAACCACATCATAACCATGTAAAAGAATGCTTAAATTTATCGAAATGCGAAAAAATTGACCTAACATTTAAATGTGCAATTGTAAAATTCATTCAAAATTACAATAATTATACAAAAATAATAGTACACGACGACTGCCGAGATTTTGTGAAAGTAGTATAAATCTATTGTTTTCTCATGAATTATGTCGTAGTCTGGCAGTCAATATGTCAATCTATCGTGAAGACCAACAAGACAGAAATAAATATAAATATATCAAAAAACAAGACAATAAATCAAAACAATATAAACAAAAAGAATAATAAAAACAAGGATACAAAAAAAAAATTTCTCTGCCAACATACTCAAAACAGAAAAGGTAGAGTCCTATTTTACATTTTTAATCTTACTTCTAAAGTTCACATCAACATCACCAATATCCATCATAGATCCAATATGAATTATAGTATTGTTCTTCTCTAAGAACTTCTCTTCGACCATATTTCTCTTTAGCCATCATCAACAACTCGTAACTTTCCCTGGTTAGATCTTCATTGATTATAGCTTGAGAGCCCTTTAGTAACAGCTTGTAACCACCAACACGATGACATCTGTCGATAGATGCAGAAGGAAGGTCAACATTTAATTTTTCCTTACAAATCTGCAAGATATTTTCTTCAACATTTTCATTATTATTTTCAGGAATTCCATATATACGTAAATTATTGCGGCATATATATTGCTCAAGTTGCACTACTTTTTTCTTGAGAGACCAATTTTCGTCTTCAAGTCTAAGTTTATGAAAAATGCCAGGAAAAACAGCATTCTAAAACAAAAAATTCTTCCAGAAAATACAATATTGTAAACCACGAAGATAGTTGAATGTAATGAAATGGAATTCATGTCCAAATTCGTGGAAATTTAGGAAACTGCGATTGAATTTAGATTAAGGGAACTTAGAAGCAGGTTGCGAGTCAATTTAGCATATTGAAACATGCCCAAAAGATGATACTTGATCAACCAACAACGGGATTTATGTTCATCATCACGTTTAGTAATTGATTTGAGTTAATAATTTAAGTTACTCATGGACTTTTTTTGACCAACCCTCTCGTTAGGCTTCTATCATTGCTTACTGCAGAAAGAAGTTAATTTGCAGCTTCAAGATTGATGATTTTTTATAACATTGAGTTTACTGTTGACAGTAGGAAGAGTTCTCTCTGCTAACAAGATTTTGGGCTCTTCTGTAATAAGCAGTTTAGTGAAAGCCCAAAATTGATTTGGGTTGACAGAAACAACATAACCAAGCTATTGCATAGTTGTTCTAAAAACCGATACTCTTCTTCAAAAAAAAATGTGGTGATTAGATCATGTTTGTTGAACAATTAAGAATTATTACAAGTTGTGATTACAAGTTATGAACCATAACAACGTTGATTAGATTCATATCGGGCTTATTCTAGCAAAAGAAATGCAAGCTTTTAATAAATATTTTGTTTAATTAGCTATACTCACAAAACGATTTAGTGAGGTGGTCTTCACGGAGAAAACAACAAATTATAAACCTATTTTAACACAATAAAGTTATGCCAGCATTTTAATTTGAAAAACACTCTTGTTTCTTAGTAGTTATTTACTAAATGTGGTATTTGTTTCAGCAACAAGTATCTATCTTGTATAAATATTTTTTGGAAATTGTATTGAGGTTTTTGGTCAAAGCTGCTCAAGAGTTCTTTTCTAGAAACATTCATCCAAAGATATAGGTGTGGTGATCTTTCAGCTGAAGATACTTAAAATACTGTAATTTTGTACAGCGTTTCAAAAAAATCAGATTTGTAACAAAATCAGCTTTTCAGTTAATAAGAATAGGCTATCGCCTCCTTCTCAAGTTATGACTTTATTTACACATCTTATCATATCTTGTCTAGACAAGGTCCAGGATATTTTTTTTTCATTTTTTAATTAAAACTATTATTTATAGTTTTATACTATCAGAACTTCCCGTATATTTCCTATTGCGTTTAAAATATCATTGAAAAATGGTTTTCCATTTCCTTTGAATACTTATTCGACGGTGTGATGCAAGATGGATTTTATAACCATTACATTATCAAGTACTGAAACAGTGTGGATTTAAGAAATCAAAAAAGCTTCTTGTATTTTACCATCTTCCACCTAGTAAACTAAGAATTCACATTTTCTACATCTATCCTTCATCACCTATTATGCAGCATTCGAAATCTTATGTTGTGGATATCGCAGGAACTCTGTTTCTCGGCATAACAAGGTATGGTCTGTATTCAGATGCAGAATAACATAAAAACAACAGCCAAATTAATAAATAAAGTTACAAACGGAGTTAGTAATTAAAATTTTATAATATAATAATTATTATATGTTAAACCAAGTACTTTAATTTCTTGTTTTTTTTATTACAGAATGTTATCACCAATTGCACAAACACCAGCTCCTCATTCTTCATCCAGTATGCACCAAGACATACCTGATCCACAAGAAGTTCGTTCTCCTCAAGGAACATCAAGTGGTTCGGATTCATCGGGTTCGGATAGCGATTCGAGTAGTGATGATTCTTTGGATGAAGTGGCGCCGTCCCTAAAACACTCGCCTCCTCCACCTGAACCAAAAGTTGAAGAGGAAAAGGAGGGTCGGTACACGTGGAATTTAAGCTCTTATTTACCACAACCAAACAACCCTCAACTCGGCCGAAGAACGGGGCAAAGTCCAAATCAACCGAGTCCAAATAATGCTGAATCGGATGATGAAGAAATGGTTAAAAATTTAGATATAAAAGAGGTGATAAATGAAGTGAGGACGGTACCGTTATTGGCTAATTTATCCGATACGGATGAAAGTGATAAATTAAGTAATAATAATAATGTTAATAGTGGGAATGTTAAAAAGAAAAGTGGTTTGGTGGTGTTAAGTGATAATAGTGACAGTGAAAATGATACGGGGAGGACACCGAAGGTAAAACCGTCGAATCGAGCGACGGTTAGGGCTAAATTGATCGATAGTGATTCCTCAGAAAAAGAGGAAGTGATTGATAAAGAAGCTGAAGTACGGACTAGTACTGTTCAGTTACCGAAAAATAATAACGCGGTTGAATCTTCACCAAGCAAAAAACAACGAGGTAGACCGAAAAAGAACGTAGATAACAATGTTGTGGGTAGTAAACCGAAAAGAGGGCGACCCCCTAAAACACCTGCTGATTTAAGCGGATCTGAAAAGAAGAGAGGAAGACCACCATCAAAACCAAAACCACCTCTATCTCCATACAGTTCCGACGACGATGATAACAGCAATAAACCACCAAATCAAGTGTTTGGAAAACCTCATCCTGGGAGAAGAAGAAGGAAAGATTCTAGAGGTATATCAAACAGTTCATCGGATGAAAGTTATTATCACAATAAAAAAGAATCCTCAAGAAAAACGCAAAAATCCTCAAATTATTCCGATAGCGATGAAGAGGTTGAAAATCGTAATCGGGCGCCTTTAAAAGAAAATCAATCGTTACGAAATCAAAAACATATAGAATCTCAAAAGAAGAAACGTTCGGTACCGAAAAAACCACCGAAAAGTGATGCGATTGTAAAAACATCGGATTCGGATAGCGATTCGGATGTAACCAATAAATCGTTACCGAAAAAATTACCACCTCAGCGAAGTAACCGTACGATAAGTTCGAGTAGTGATAGCGATGACTCAAGAAGAAGTGATTCTTCAGATCGTGAACGAAAAAATATTAAATTAGACATCGATTCAAACACAGTTCAAGATAAAAAGAAAAGTGATACGATAAGAAAACTCTTTCAACCGCCGAAAGGTGGTGGAAAAGGTGGCGGGAAAGGTGGTAAAGGTGGAAAAGGCGGTAAAGGAGGTGTTGAGGTGATAATCAAAGATGAAACGTACCAAAGGAGCAGTTCGTCGGTTGAAGACGAAATTGTCCCAATTAGGACCAATAATAATAATAACAATTCTACAGAAACTAAAACGACCACAAAGACTGAGTTACCAGAAAAATCAAAAACATTAATTAAACGATTACCCGTACGCATCGAATTGAGCCGTTTAAGCAACTTAACCAAACAATTAATTAATAAGAAAAAATCTGAAGAATTAAGAAAATGGTCTTCGTTATCAAACACCAGGCAACAGCAGCCGCAACAACAACAACATCAACAACAAAATCAATCCAACCAAAATAATAACTCCAATAATAATAGCAACAACACCACCTTTGAGTTACCGAACGATAATAATTCTAATAATTCAAGACAATCGAGTACCTTAATTCAAAGTGATTGTGATCGACGGACTAAAAATTTAAATGAAAATACAAATGATAAATTTAAAAAAATCCCATTGGCGACGAAACCTCCCGTTTATAATAATAAAATCAACGAGAATAGTGATGTTGAATCGACGAAAAAGTCGTCGTCGTGGAAGATGGATTTGCTAGAACCGATGGACCAAAAAATCAAAAAACGTAAACGGCACAATAGCAGTAGCTCATCGCTATCGACGACGAGCAATTTATCGCACAATAGTAGTGGGAGACGAAGAGATAAAGTCGATCATAAAAGTAAACGAAGAAAAGAGGAATGTATTAGTAGATCTCAGGATACATATCATCAAATCGGCAACGCTCCTTCGTCAAACCACGAAATGGAAGAGTACAAAATGAATATTCACGATTTGGGTGGTGATAGTCATGAGGAAAGGAATTGGCCACATCGATCTAGGGGGGAATATAATCCTTATTTTGAACCGCCAGACGAGGAAGATTCAGATAGGTAAATCAAAAAACTTCAAAAAAGGGATTGTTTCAAAAATTGACAATTTTAATTTAATTTTAGGGATAAAGATCGATTTTTAAATGAAGCTAAAAGATTGAAACATCTCGCTGATAGTGAAGCGGATGCTATACAACAATGTATGTTGTATTTAGAAGCAATACTTTACTTTATTCTAACCGGAAACGCCATGGAACAAGAAGCCCAATCGGACACCGCTGCCTTTACAATGTACAAAGATACCCTTAATTTAATTAAGTAAGTTTGTGGTTAAATTAAAAAAGGGAGTTATTAAAGCAATTTTTTTAAAGGTATATATCATCAAAATTTAAGAACCAACAAAATCCGTCGTTGACTGGGACCAAATTAGTTGCTTTAAGGTAAGCTTTTTTGTTAATTTGTAGTTATAAAAAAATATAATAAAATTAATTAAATTTTTTTATCATTTATTTTTAATTTTTCATTATTTTTTTTTTCTTATTTTTTTATTTTTAGTTTACGGTGCCAAGCACTGTTATACTACAAACTATACAAAATACGTGCTCAGGACGTAAAAGAAACTGAACGTCAAATATGGGAATTCCTGCAGAAGGTAAAACGCGACTCTAACCCTTTCTACACGATCTCAATGTCGAATACTGTGTGCCACCAGAACTCCGGGGCATTGGTGCACGCAGATGCGGCTTCCGTTGCTGTTCCTTCATCGACTGGCGGCGGTGGCCACGGTGGCGGTCAAGGGACGCCTTCACCTCTTTCACCGACGCCGTCACCGGCGAGCAGCATAGGAAGTGTCGGGGGTAGCAGTCAATCCTCCGGATATAGCAGCGGGGAATTAGCGGGACCGCCGCGGCATCATCACCATCCTGTGGTCGCTCCTGTACCACCTCAACAAGGAGGTGTTGGTCCACAACAACCCACTGTGGGACCACCACAACCAGCCCCAACGCCTTGTGTGCTAGTTCCTTTACCTATTTATACGTTGATTCAAAAACAAACGCAGAATATTTCGTATTTTATTAATTATCAAGATTTATGGGAACAGGCTGAAGAACTTACTAAAAAACATCATTTAGGTAATATTTTTTTTAATTATTTAATTTACATCAACATAAATATCGTTTCTAATGGTACAGATAATATTTTCTAAACATTTCTTCGTAGTTGTAATAAAAAAAACAATATTTGCATGTGTAATTAATGAAAATAATATAAATATGTGGAGATGGAGATATATGTGAAGATATGTGGAGTATGTGATAAATAATCACAGTTTCACTTTGGCTGAGCGCCTAGTTCTATGGTTTGCTATAGCAAATAATGTAGTAACCAGTTGTGATGATGTCATAAATAGCATAGATGTTAGCAGCCATGTTAATGGCAAAGAATGTTTTTTGTCTGGAATATATATCTAGGCAGTAGACTTGTTTAACCAGTGATTTCTGACAGTAAAACAACTCCCCAACATCTATTAATTGGTTCGATTTTGGTTCAATTCGATCAATTCAATGTTTTTAATGAGGTCAACAACAGGCAAACATCCTATTTAGTTGTATTAGGGAGACTAAGTCCTACATGATTGCAATTGAACATGATGAAACAATATAATAACAACTTATTAATGACATGGCCAAGATTTTCATGATCAAATAATAGAAATAAGGGATAAATACATTGATATGTAAACGTAATAAAACTAAAAACTTCACAGGCAATCTAGAAAAACGATCTAGATAATTTAAGAAATATTCTAAATGCAGCTGTAAAAATTGTTTTCCAACCTCTTATAGGGATTTCCGTAGATAACTAGGAATTGTGTAGGATTTTCCTAATATTCCTAAATTATTCCAGGTTTTTGGACATTTTTTATTGATTTCTCAGATATCTGGGAATGTTTTAAAATGATTTCCAGCTGATTTTCAAAAATTTCTAGGATATTCAGAAATCTTTAAGAAATTTTGCAAGTTTTTCCAAAATTTCTAAGGTTTAGAGATTTGTAACAATTTCTAAAAGTCTGCTTGATTTCTCAGATATCTGGAAATGTTTTAAAATGATTTCCAGCTGATTTTGAAAACATTTCCAAATAATTTGAAGGATATATTATAGTTCTAGGATATTCAGGAATCTTTAAAAAAATTTACAAGTTTTTTCAAAATTTCTATAATTCAGAGATTGGTAACAATTTCTAAGAATTATAAGGGATAATTACTAAGAATTTCAATAGTTTCTGGAGAATTGCTGGCAATTTCCACAAAAGTATTCCAAGTATTCTATATTTCCAGAGGATTTTCGATTAGGAATATCCTTGGTTATGTCTTCAACCAGAAATGATTAAAGTTTGTGTAAATTTTTATCTAGAATTTGGACAACATTTCAGAGAATCCCTGAGGATATTTGTGATTTCGATTTTGTCTTAATATTTCTAAATCAGGGATTTCTAAATATTTCTATCCAAGTATTTGAAGGAATAGTAGAAGGAATAGGAATAGTAGAATTTGAAGAATTTCTCTAGATATCCAAGATTACCTAAAATTTTTGAGAGAATTTTCAAGAATTTCTAAGATTTTCTGCGAATAACCAAGGTTCCTAATAATTTCCAAGGATATTTAGAGATTTCCCGAAACATCATCATGATGTCTTCGTCACATAATCATTGACAAAACATGCAAATTCAGTTTTCTATATGATATCAACGTTTTTGCGTGTGAACATGGTCCGAGTGGAAACATACTTATTTACACCGACAATGAAACACTATTGGATTGGTGGAGACTAATCAAACAAAACCTTAAACCAAGCAAATGTCATAATGTAATGATTTTATGGCTATTATGTTCGCAAATGATGTCTAAATGATTATCAACCGCACCACAACCAGCGGCTTTATTTATCAACTGCAATGAGAAAACTGGAATACAAAAGCATCATGTTCTAAAGCAACTATTGGGGCAACTACATGTCTGGAAGGCGTCATAAAAGGAATATGCCCCCAAATTTATATCTATAATGTAATATAAATCCATAAAATATGTAAACCATAAAAATAGTGTAGATATAGACAACATATTCTATGTTGATCCTATATCAGCCATGTTATTTATGTAAAAGAATTTCCTTCATTTGCCAAAGCTTTAGCAGATTGATTCATCAAATCCAGAAAATCATCTTGGCCATATCTATGTGTTAGGACTCTTCACGAAAACAACCAGAATAGCGTATTGAAATTGTACCAAATAAATTTTCAATATTAATGTTAGCTTCAATGACTTGAAGTCGCAAGTTCTCCATTCAACCATATATGTTATAACAATACATAAATCCACCATCACTTGTAAAATAGGATCTTTAAGTGTTTTTTCAAATAAGATTTTCTCCTTCATTCTTGGTGCTTGAGGTTCAAAACCTTTTTTGGATAGTGTCAATACTCGTGATAAAGGTACCAGCAAAACAAGAAGAATACTGAATAGAACTGACAAATCGCTTTGACTCGAAACAGGAACAGAAAGACAGTGACTTTGTAGATACATGAGTCCAGGTCAAAGACGTATACTGTGACGTAAGTGAGAGAGTCTTTGGCTTGAGAAATGATCATAAGAAGGTCAAGATATCTAAATATTAGCAATACAAGGCAGCAAAAAGCCAAAACAGACAGGGATACGGCCACCATCCATCTAATAAAGGAAAGTGTGAGTAGTGATAAGAGGAAATGATGAATATACAAATACATAGAGCGGAGCTTTCTGTAGCAAGAGCTGATGCCAAGGAAGTACATTGCATTACAAAAGTGCTATCTAGGAAGGGATTCAATAAGAGCAAACCTATGAGAGGTAAAGATGAACAACTATTGACAACATAAGAAGACCAGCTAAAGAGGTGGAAAGAACATTTCTCCAAGACCAGTAATGGAAAGGCACTAGGTGTAGACAACATTGCACCTGAAGTACTAAAACAAAACATTGGGACTTACTTGGGACTACTTGAATTGTCATACCTGTTGCTTGAGGAGACATAGACAGAAGAAAAGTTGCCTAGAAACTGGAAACATCGATTAATAGTAAAACTACTAAAGAAAGGAACGCCACTAATTGTAACAACTGGCGAGGCATCACTCTTTTGTCAGTGCCAAATAAAGTACTCTCGAGAATAATTCTGAATCGGATTAACGAGACCATGGAAAAACGTTTGAGGAGGATTTCGTAATCATCAAAGTTGACAAAGTACACTCTATTTGGCTTTCATCTACTTTAAGGTTATCAAGTGATGCATAATGAAAAACTTACCGATCCTATCCAAAAAATTCATGGGTGAGACAAGGGTATATTCTGTCACCCACACTACTCCCCCTGGAATTGGATAGAGTGATGAGAAAGGTTACAGAAGGAAGATAAAATGGTATTCATTGGCGGATGCAAGATAGACTTGACTGACTTGAGCTTGCAACAGACATTTGCCTACTTTCCCAGAAAATTTATGACAAGGACGTAGCTGGGAAAACTGCTAAAAGGTGGATTAGAAAATTTGAGGAGGATTCCGTAAATACCGAGGTTAACAGAGTAGATATACTCTACTTGACTTTCATCCACTTTAAGGTTATCAGGGAGATGTATGAAAGATATGAGTATCAACTGATGCATAATAGAAAACTTCTGTCACCAATACTGCTCCTCCTGGTATTTGATAGAGTGGTGAGAAAGGTTACAGAAGGAAGATAAAATGGTATTCATTGGGGGATGCAAGATAGACTTGAGACCACTTGAATGATTTGAGCTTGCAAGCGAAATTTGCCTACTTGCTCAAAAATTTTTTGACAAGGAGGTAGAACTGAGAAAACTTCAAGATAAAGCAGAGGCAGCAACAGAACTAAAAATTCTGCTGCCAAAAAGGAAGCCTCATGAAGCAGTTATCAGCGCTTGATTGGGCGCCCAAAAAAAGACATGGAAGAAAACTATAGAGGAAGAAGCAATGGAAGCCGGGAAACGTAGTGAGAAGTGAAACACGTTGTTGCTGAGTGGACTTCATATTGCTGTATTTTACAATACAATACTTATTTGAAAATTGCTACTAGGATATCAGTGGAATGAGAGACTTCATGGTGGATTAGAACATTACACATATGTAACGTGAATGATCTGAAGGCTCTAGGTATACCATAAATCTAATTGCAATTTACCACGTAGCGCATCCATAAATTTGTCATTTGATTAAGAATGATTGAACTGCCATATATATATAACAAGATGAATGTGGACAACCCGCAACGTTTGACCACACTGTCTAAACCAGACAATAGAAGAATGACCCAACTGGTTGATGAGTAATAGCATACTACTACATCGCTAGATAAAAATATTTTCAAAAAAACCTATCTTTTTTCTGGTCAGGTAAAATTTCCTAATGTATTAGCTTTCCAATAGTGCTTTGTAAAAACGTCAGAGATTTTTACAAACATTCATATCATCTGCAGTATTAACATTCTTGCACCCAACAATTTGGAGAACATTTTTTCAAAAACGCATAACTTTGTTATTCCATTACCAATATATATACTTAGTAGTTAGTGGAGAGGTCACAGAATTTTATGATATGATGGCCTCCCAAGCAACAAGAAATCTGTCGCTGTCCCGTTATTAAATATACCATTCGTTTATTTTTGTACTCATTTCATGCAATAGCTTGTTTGCAGAACTTAATTCAAGCTAAACCAACATTCAAGCTATGCAATAACGATATCACTACTCTGTTAGGGGTTGAAACAGAACATTCATTTTCTTTCCAAGTTATAAAATTATCAAATAATAAATTTAAGTTAATTATTTAACAACAATAAAACATTTTTTTTTTTTTAATTATAGATATTTTTCATCATTTGGATCGGACATATAAGCCTTTATCGCTACATAGTTCTTTATCGGATTTGGTGGCGTATATGCAAGCTGGGATTAAATTTGTTAGAGAAGAGAATCGAAATAGTACGAATTATAGTCGATAAATAATTTTTTTTTTAAATCACCAAGATAAAAGTACGCAAATGAAAAGTAACTGACCAAAGAAGCACCAAGTCAATTCCTACGGTCAATAATGACTCGCTAAAGAAAACAAAATTAATTAAACGGAATAAAACAAAAGTAATTGAACCGCGCAAAATAATAATAACGAATAAAACACTACGAATAAATTAATAAAATAATATCAAATGCACCGAAGATGATGGTAAAGTAAAAATTCATGGTAAAAAAAAACTTGGGACTAGAATCTTTTTTTTATAATTATACATAATATAGTAGAAGTTTAAAAAGAAAATGTAATTAAAGGTGCATATTTTTTATGGTAAGAAAATATAGATAAAATTCCACACGTATTTTTGTAAATAAATTCCGCCGCCTATATTTGTAATAATGAAAGTTAAATAAATAAATAAAAACGCTGAAACGTAGTGGCCTAGAAAATCAAATTGTAATTTTTAACTAAACAAATAAGATGTGGTGAAAAGTTGATGATGACATGAGCAAGAAAGATGTTTATTTATTTTTTGTTTTGTTGTTCACCAGGTTAGGGATGAAATGTAATTATTATAAACAAAAAAAAATGACGCAGAAATGTAAAAGGTAAAAAGAAGTACATAGTCGTGATTATTTTTGCAAATATCTTGTAGATTAAGTACGCATATAAATATTATATATATTATATATATACAAAGTGTAAATTATGTACAATATTTTATAAAAAAAATTGTAACTTATTAAAAAAATTTGTAAATGTTACTACTATTAATATTAAAAATTTAAAAGTAAGCCCATTAAAGAATTAATAATCAAATTTAAATAATTTTGTACCTATATTTGTTATCGTATTAATATTATTATTATTATTAAATATTATAAAAGAGTCGCCTCCGTTATTTATAGCAAATGGAATTTTTTGTTTTTTTTTTCTCGTAATTATTGTTATTACACATTTGTTTTATTTATTTTTTATTATTAATTTTTTTTAATTCAAATTTTGTGAGATAAATTTGTGTCCAAGTTCAAGTTTAAAAAAAATTCAAGTAACAATCAAAAAATGAAATAAATAAAAAAATAAAAGTTATAAATCCAAAATCGCTTTTTTACTCAAACACACCAGAGTTAAATAAATTAAATAAAAAAAAATGATCTCAATAAAATGTCACATCTTTTTAAAGTACTTATTTTATTGCTAAAAACATTGGATAAAAAGATATAATAATGGGCATATGATTTATCTGCACAAAATCATAAATAAACAACTTTTTTATGATAATTTTTGTAATTGTTAAAAATTTCATATGCTAAAAAATAAGTTGTATTGAGTTTGGTTAAAAAAAGAACCGAATTGAATTTAATTAAAAATCTATTCAATTTAATTAAAACTTTTTTGATTTGTAATAAACCTTTCCTTGTTACTATGTTTATTTATATATTACGAATTTTTATGAGTTAGGAAGCGAAAGAAAACTTACTGGGACCACTGCTCTTAATCATTTTTATTATTACATAATTAGATTTTTTAAAAATAAATAATTTTCAAAATATGCTAACAATAATCAATGTGAAAATTTTTTAATTCCTTTTTTAATAACAACCAAACTTAATACTCTTTAAAATTTTAGTTAACAACAAAGAAAATAGTGTAAAATGTATAAATAAGCCAAAAGAAATGGTTATTAAATGAATGGTAATTTGGAGAAAGTCTCATTTTTATCAAAAACCTTTAGATTTAATATTTTTATTATCCTTTTTATATAATACACTTTAATATTTGCTTCAATATTATTAACTATTTATTAAAAATACATTTTATTTTAGTATTTTTAAAACAATTATTGCTTATTCTAGGATGAGACATACTTGAGCTTCATTATTATTTTGGTTTGATCCAGAATAGTGTCCAGATATTTAAACAGTGCAAAGAGAATGCAGGCAGACAGATAGCCTAAAGAGTCATGGAATGGCTATGGGTGTCACACAATAGGACGAAGCGTGGAAGAACCAAGAGAAGATAAAAAGAGGATGAAATCCAGGAGATTGGCAGATGAAGATTGGCGCATCTGAAAAAGATCGAAGCTAGGGTGTCAGCTTAATATAGACCGTAGATTGAAAGAAAAAAGCAAGAAATTAAATTTTGATCGGGTTGGTCTATTTATGAAACCAGTTCTTGATGGAATAGATCAACATCTACATCCTCTGGATTGCGAATACCAAGTCTGTTCAATGAGTAACCAGGGTAATATCGTCAGAATAAAGAGTATGTCTTATGATGAAATATGTTTCACTGTAGATGTCGTGATAATAGAGATTGTAGAGAGATGGAGAGAAGGAGCAGCCATTAGCAGTGAAGGTGTACCTACATTAAGCCAAACACTTCCTAGGCATCAAAAAGATAGCAGCAGATTGGAGTATCTAAACCAGGAGATCCTGGGTTGAAACCTGTTAATTCAAAATCCAAAATGGTATGCTGGGATCCTACACCAGTCCGAATATTAAGCTTATTCTTCAAGTGTGTCTTGAGCAAATTTCCAAAAATATCCAGGAATTATATAGAATGATCCTTAGCAAAATCCAGAATCTTTCTGGAACTCATAACAAGTTCAGCAAATTGCAGGGCAGAAAGGCAGAAGTCGGTTTTACTTCCCCTACCCAGGAGAATCAAGTATTCGTTTTCCACAATAAGGACATTATCAACTATTAGATTAGTCTTTCTCTTCAGAGCTAGAGTACAGAGTACTTGGGGTCGAGAAATTTCTTCTTATCCTAAATTAATAATGTGATAAACATTGTAGGGTAAATCTGATGTAAAATTACAAGCTTTTCCAACTGACTATTTATCAGTTCAGAAAAATGTATTTGAGGTTGTTGTATTTATGTATATATAGCTCTGCATCAAGAAATTCTGATCACTTTTTTTGTTATTTGATTGCAATTTAATCTAATAAACGAGTTATATACGATTTTGTAATGGTACTTTAGATTTATATTGTTTGTTGTTCTCCAAGTACATTTTGAAATATTATGTGGATCCAGATATTTTGTGATTAATATTTTTGTAGAATAATCGCACTTATGAAGCGATATAAACTTTATCATATTAATCTAGAAATTAGCGACTTGATGAGTTTTAGTATTTTCCGATTTAGTTATAAAGTCTTGCCGAGTTTTAATTATTACGGCGCGAACATTCACAGAAAAGCGTCTAAAAATCGGAAGGTGAAGGTATGTTCAACAAAAAACTTGTCTTTACAAAAAATGCTGTTTAGGTTATAGTTTGTTGTTAGTGGGTGAGCAAACAGTCGGAGATGTGGGTTGCGAAGTGTTGGACCTGTTTCTTAGAGTGACCCCGTTTTTTGTTGGACAAACTAAATTTCTGCGTCTAAATGTAAACCTCAGTATCCCATGGTTTAGTGTCACGATTTCTTGCGTAAAGCAATTAATCACGTAAGCACAAATTAAATTTTGGATTAAATCACTCAAATTAGAATTGCATACTTATATTGGCAATTTGTTTCTGAGAAAGAAAAAACAAATCATCAACACTTAAGAAAACATGATCTTTGAAGAACTATTATTTAAAAATTTTAAGGGTAACAAGATTAATTTAAGAGGATTAATCTAAAATATTTTATAATAATCTCCAATACAATATTGCAATGTGTAATATATTTAATATTGTCAGAAAATGGTAATATTAATCATAAACTTTTCGGATTTTTTTTTAATAATAGGGTTCTAGTGATTAATGGCAGTGATGACTGAGCAAAATCGTCTAGGACCAAAACTCTAAAAACAAGTAGCTAAAGAGAGCTTAGAGATAACACTTATAACTATCAAAGAAGTAGGTTGAAAATTACGTATTTAGCTAGTATCTATTTGGTGACAAAAGAACAAGGCTAGAACGTGTAGAAGGCGCGTTTTCAGAAAAAATTTGTTTAATATTAGGATTATTAATGAGTTGAGATTCTAGTTTTATTACGAAGTTGATAGGTTTAATTTTATTAGGGAGTGCAAGTTTGTGTCCAAGATTTAATATATCCATATCCTTCTCATCAAGGGCGAAATTACTTAGATTAGTATAACGTGGTGCGAAACTTATGTTATCCATGTCAGTCAATTTTATGGACAAGGTTCGGCCATATCGAATTTTTTAAAAATAAAAGTTTTTTCCTTTAAAGGAGGCCTATTGTTAGTGTTTTAGTGTTTTTAAGGAGGCCATTTTTTTGTTTATATTTTTATTATCAGTAATAACATTTGTGAAAGTTTTTTTTTTTTTTTTTGGGTTTGTGATTATTAATACTATTGTCTCTATCCTTTACTAACCTATTTAGTTTTTTATTTTTCTTTTCCTTGTTTTCCATGGGTTTGAAGAAAAAAAAAATTTGTTAACGCCTTTTGTCTCGTCCAATCACCTACAAAATTTCACCACGTTTGTTAGATGTTCAATTTTGTGCTCCATAAGTAATTGACGGTAACTAAACAAATTAAAAAATATGTATAACAAAATTTCTTACTTCAATTTTATGTTTTTTAGTCGTGCCTGATGAAGAGATTTTGAATCTCGAAACATGTTGCACTGATCTTATATTAAGAATAAATAATTTTTCATCGTTCCCAAGGAGCTTTTATTTATCACTTACAACCCACGATGAACATTGAGTCAACTATCACCAAAATAAATTCTATGCCATGTTCATGTTATTGTTGCTTACATAAAACATTTTTAGTTTCCAAATCACTCCCTCACCACTCTTCTCCAATCCTCCCTGCAGAGTGTTTAGCGCCTCCATCTCCTCACTTCCAGCTTTCTTAGGGCAGTCTCCACGTCGGTCGTTCAGCTATCCTGTGCGCGCCTATCTCGGAAGTCGTCAACTGTCGGATCTCTCCTCCAACATCCTCTCCATGTGGCCAAACCATCTAAGATTGTCCATCATATTCCCTGTTTGTGCGGATCTGCCTGAAATCATCATTTCGAATATCAATCCTTCCTCTACATATAAGCATATATTTTGTCTTATTCTCGTTAATATGGAGGCCAGCCATACTTGACTCCCGTACCATCTCCAGTAGGCATGTGCCCAGTTCCACTTGCCCTCTGCATAACATGTCCATATCGTATGCCAGGCATGATGTTGTTTGATTTAACAATATTCCTCCCTATTGTATTCTGATACTCCTGATAGTCTTTTCTATAATTAGGTTGAACAACTTATAGGACAAGCCATCCTTTTGTCAAAGGCCGCAGTTCACCACAAGCTCGCTCGAGACGCTTCCAGCCACCTTTATCACACTTCTGGTGTTTTCCAGAGTCATCCTCACCAGTCGGATAAGCTTTTCTCGGATCGCGATCACCCACAGCGTATTGTATAAGTATACTCTATCTACGCTATTATATGGTTGCTTGTAATTCACGAAGAATTGATACACTAATTGTAAAAATGTGGACGATTTTTTGATCCAAAAACGGTTCTTTGCGTCTGACAAGCACCTTTGTTAGTATTAACACTCCAAATATTACCACCAACTCTAAAATCAGTGATCTACTAGCTCCAGGCAGCACTTAAGTAGAAGTCATCGCTAACTTCTAGGGAGCTGTTCCACTATACGACAATACAAACCAACCGTTAACACAAAGTAGTTGCCAAGATATATGGATCATATTTTTACCACTTAGAAATACATTTGGGGAATAAAGGATTGAAAATTTCTTAAATGACTTAAAGGGAGGGAATGGAGTGTACTGGGAGAAAACGCACATGAACTAGGTATCTGTTCATAATACATCAAATCTAATGACCTTTAGAAAGAACATTTAGAAATAACCTTCTAAAGAATGTATTCCAAAGGAATTTATACGTCGAGAGGCAACTAACAGACTAACATGGAGAAAAACCAACAGGGAATAGGTACCGTAAAAAGTCAACTTGTGGTTTCATCCAAACAAGCAATTGAAGGAGGTTTGGTATTGTGGTGAGATATGGATCAGTCTATAAATCGATGGAACGCTTTGCCAATAGCAAAAATAAACAGTCTACAGACTGTTATGCAAATGTGGCAAGTATAAGAAAGATAAAAATAGTTGCCAGATAGCCACTTTACCAGAGGATGACCAGAGAAGTTATAAAAATTCAATGCCATAAGAATAATACCAACAAAAACTAAATGCCCTAGATAGTCACTCGAACCTGAAAGATATTACCCGATAACAATGAGAAGTAAAACTACAATAATAAATGAGACCGAACACTGAACCCTGGTGACACTGACACAAATCTGTTGTACAGATATACAACACCAATAAAGAAGCCGATATGGTGCAATAAAGCCAGTAGGGCGGCATGATGAAGTGTATTGAAGGCTTTAGACAACAACCTAAAAGCAGAAGCACACTCACCATTACCTGTTCGAGTTATGTCATCCACGACAACCAATGGTACCTTTGCACCATTTAAACTGGAGGAAATGGGGTTATGCCTTATTACAGTGAGGAAAGTAGGACATACTTCCTCACCTAATCATTATATGTATATTATTCTAAGGCTGTCTATTACTATTCCAGGGTACTCCACAACGTACAAAGACGTTAACGAGACAAGAACGAAAAGAACGTGACAAGAAAATTTTTTTAAAGAAATTATTCATTTTCCATTTTCTTGTCAAATTCTTTTATTTTTTGAATAGGTAGATAGGGAATTTATTAATCAAAATACAGTCTTCCCAGCAATAATTTATGCGTCACATTCAGTACGAGCCCCGCAATACTCCTTATTACTCACCGCGCAACTAAATAGAATTATAATTAAGTCAGAGGTAATGACCACATAAAAAGTTAAATCTCTTTTCGGTTGCCATTTATTCATCATGAGCTAATTATATCACTATAGCATTATATAGAATGCTGTTAAATTCATGAATATCTTAAGTATAATGAAGGTTGATTAATAGCGACATTTAACAATATTATACAAAAAATAGTTAAAATTCTTGTTCCAAGGAAATGAAATTAATTGTATTTGACTTAAGTATTGTTTAAAAACAGCGTATATTTACAAGAACAAAGTTACTTCACAAACAAATTATAATTAAATTAATTGAGTCAACATTAATCAATTTACAATTTCATAATCACTTTCTTCAAAATCGTCATATTCTACCTTTGAGGTAGAAGGTTTAACATCTCCATCATCAGATTTCCTCTGCTTCCATTGTCCATTATTAGCCACCGCGTGCCGTTTATTCAAATTAGCGTCGTCTACCTCAAACACCATATTCAAATCTTCCTGCAAAATTTTCAAAAGTGTACTTCTTGCCAAACCTAATTTTCTAGCGCGTTCTCTTAAAGATAATCCAGGATCTTCTCTGAGGGATTCTTTCACATATGGGACGTGCATTAATCTCGTTAACGATCGCCCGCTTTTTTGGCGATCATCAACGGTACCCGTCGTGAATAACTTTGTTTCCCATTTTAATAAAGTTGCTTTTGCAGGGGCTGGAAGGTTAAATCTGTATTGAAAATTCTTGGTGATATCCTTCCAGGTTTGATGATTGTACAAACGTTCATGTACCCATACCGCAGAAACAATTTTCATTTCATCCGTGTACTTGTGATTATCCGGTTCTTCCGTCATCGTTTTCGAATTTTGGTGGTTCTAAAGTCACGTTCTTACCCAGGAAAGGTTTTCTTGGACAGCTATAGATACAACTGACATTTAATTTTTCAATAAATTAAAGTAAAATATGTTTTTTTTTAGATTATGAGGATTGTTATTTAAATTAATAGTGTTTTATGGGGATTTTGATAGGAAATCGGTGAATGTTTTGGTTAAAATTGGCATTTTTGTTATCTTTAGTATAGGTTAGGTTTGTTAAAGTCATGTTTACGTAGTGCGAAATAATAAAAAAACGATTATTGTTTTTAATTTTCGATGAAAATTTTATGGGGAAGAATTAAATTTATGGAAATACGTGTTAATAATAAATTAAAGTTTTATAACAGTTTTTTTTAATTAGTAAAAATTAAGGATGGATTTCGTTGATGTAAAACCGCCTTTAAGAAAAAAAGTTGATTTTTTTTACTTCAACTTAAAATGTTTATTTTATTGTAATTGTTTGTTTCTTTTTAAATAATTAATCGATTTTATGTTAGAAAAAGTTTAAAAAAAAATTATTTTATTAAATATTTTTAAATAAACTTTCTATTAATTTCTTTTTGAGAGGTTGGTAACGCAAATATACACATGCGCACGAATTTCAGAGTACTTTTAACGGAAACTTCTGATCGTTGTTCTCTCTTTCAACGTCAGCGTTAGGAGAAAGACATAGGTGAGTAGCGCTCCTAAATTTGTTCGTTATTTTTTTAATTCTTTTATTCTCAACTTATTTAATGCATTCTAATCGAATTCTTTGTGTTATTTATAATTATTAAAACCATTTATTTCTTGAATAATCGTTATTTTTAATTGAATAAACAAATCACGCGTCCAAAATGGCGGCCATTTTGTGATTCTTTTTTGTGTACTTAAGTTCTTAATTTCTTTTTAACTTTAATAGGATGGCGGACTCAGCTCCAGCCGCACGCGGTGGTTTTCGTGGAGGTTTCGGAGGTTCGAGAGGAGGTAGAGGTGGCCCCCGAGGCCGCGGACGTGGTCGCGGCAGAGGAAGGGGCCGTGGAAAGGAAGATTCCAAAGAATGGACTCCTGTGACCAAGTTAGGTCGTTTAGTGAGGGACGGTAAGATCCGCTCACTTGAAGAAATCTACCTGTACTCGCTACCAATTAAAGAGTATGAAATCATTGATTTCTTTATTGGTACCGACTTAAAAGACGAGGTGTTGAAAATTATGCCCGTTCAGAAACAAACCCGCGCTGGTCAACGGACGCGATTCAAGGCATTCGTAGCTATTGGTGACGGAAAAGGTCACATTGGGTTGGGGGTGAAGTGTAGCAAAGAAGTTGCTACAGCTATTCGTGGGGCGATTATCCTGGCGAAACTTTCGGTTGTCCCTGTAAGGTTAGGTTACTGGGGAAACAAGATTGGTAAGCCCCACACGATTCCTTGTAAAGTAACAGGAAAATGCGGTTCAGTTACGGTGAGGTTGATTCCTGCACCACGTGGTACTGGAATCGTTTCCGCCCCCGTTCCCAAGAAATTACTGCAAATGGCAGGAATTGAAGATTGTTACACCTCTGCCAGAGGAAGCACGGGGACATTGGGTAACTTTGCTAAAGCTACATTTGCGGCAATCGCGAAGACGTACGCGTATCTGACGCCAGATTTATGGAAGGATATGCCGTTGACGAAAACTCCATACCAGGAGTATGCAGACTATTTGCATAAAAATCATAGGACATTGTCCGGTCAACATCCAACAGAAGCCGTCTGAGAACAGGATGAGCTTAAAGGTTGAGATGGGTCCAACAAGGCGCTAATAAAAATGCATATGTTGAGACTAATTGATAAAAAATAAAGTTCTTTTGAAAAAATGAAATAAATTTGTTTTTTTTTTATTATAATTTTTGCTTTAGGGTAAGAATATAGTACTTTTTTTTGTTACTTTTAGGTAAGCCTATTCAAAAATTGTTTTTAATTATTTATTTACACAAGATTTGGTTATGATTTCAGGTCATTTTATTTCAAAGATGATTCGGTTGCATAATTAGCAAATTGTAAGTTGATAATATATTTGATTATTTCTAAGATTCAAACATTTCGTTTCTTATTTCCTTCAAATATGATGAATAACCATTTTCTTTCGCGGTTTCCACCAGAAAGATTAAAACTCTTTGTGATGGCTTGAAATGTCTGATATCTTTTTAATAAATAAAAACAACTTAAAATTTTTGTTAATTTCATGTTTTTAATCAGAATTTGTTTTTATTGCAGATTTTTCATAAGCTAATTTTCTACAGCCCTCATCACAAAGCAAAAAACGGTAAGTTTTTAAGTTGACTCTTATTCTTTGCTTAAAACCTTGTTTATAAATACATAGTTGTTTGTCATTATCTGATATATTTCAAAATGGCGCTCCATAAATATTGCAAATCTACCTGCATTGTTTTAGAAAGTAATGTAGATTGCACCAAAAAAAAACTTAAGATGTCCTCAATCAGCTTGGTTTCTTAAGTGTTGTACTTATTCTAAAACCAAAGTCTTGCTTTCTGTTCAAAATAAAACAAACAATTCTGGTATAATTAAGTCAAATAAATTAAACTTCTCTTTTTATTTATCTAATACAATTTATCCAAGAAACGAATAATAACGTTACATAGCTTTGTGAAAAGTTACTAATAAAAAGTCATTCATAATATTTTTTGTTTCTAAAAGTAAACTCTTGAGTCAATTCGAGACTCATCAAATCAGCTTATGATAGTTTTAAACGTCAAAGTTCTTATGAGCAGAACTTTCTCATGAAAAGTGCGAAAACAACCATAATTTGGTTCAATTAAATGATTTTCTACTTTAGGTATGCAACTTATACTACAAATCGAATTTCTAATTTTATTCAATTCCTTCATAAATAATGTTTTCCGTTAGAGACGGCACGATTTGGACTCGACCCATTGAATAACTATGTATATCTATAAACAAGGCTAAGTTTTTGTTCATGGTCGACGATTATTTAGTAAATGAATATAATTTTTTCTGTTAATATGATGAATTATCTTTTTCTTTCGCGGTTTCCACCAGAAAGATTTAAAACTCTTTGTGATGGCTTGAAATGTCTGATATCTTTTTAAATAAAGACATCTTCCAATTTTTGTTAATTCCATGTTTTTAATCAGAATTGGTTTTTATTGCAGATTTTTCCAAAGTTAATTTTCTGCAGCCCTCGTCACATAACAAAAAAGGTGAGTTAAGTTTTTAAGTTAACTCTTCTTTGCTTAAAACCTTGTTTATAAATATACATAGTTATTCAACAGATCTTAGTTTGTGTAATTTTAGTTTGTCATTATCTGATATAGGTACTTCAAAATCAGGCTTACACACTCCATAAATATTGCAAATACTAGCTGAATGGTTTTAGAAGAGAATGTAGTTACACCAGAAAAACTTAAGATGTCCTCAATCAGCTTGGTTTTAACCATCAAATTTCTTATGAGCATAACTTTCTTACGAAAAGTGCGAAAACGACCATAATTTGGTTCAATGAAATGATTTTCTACTTCAAAGCTTCAAATTTATTCAATTCCTTCATAAATGATTTTTTCTCATTTTCCGTTAGAGGCAGCGCGATTTAGACTTTACCCAAGGAATTACTATGTATATCTATAAACAAGGCAAGAATATAATTTTTTCTTTTAATATGATGAATTATATTTTTCTTTCGCGGTTTCCACCAGAAAGATTAAAACTCTTTATGATGGCTTGAAATGTCTGATATCTTTATAAATAAAGACGTCTTCCATTTTTTGTTTATTTCGTATTTCTAATTATAATTTGTTTCTGTTACAGATTTTTCTTGATATCTCGAGTTTCTGGAGCATTTATTTCCATAAAGAAAAAAATGTAAGTTGTGTTTTTATATATTATTGAAATTCTTGTTATAATTTTAAAATGATGAATGCCTTGATTCTTTCGCGGTTTCCACCAGAATGTCTTTGACATTATGATGGCCTAGAATTACTGAATTAAAAAAAAGTTTACTTCATATTTTTTTTAATGATTTTTATCGAGTGTTTTTTTTTAGTATTTGTTTTTATTGTTGCAGATTTCTTTCTCCAGAAGGACTCGCAAGGATATGAAGATTATGTTCTGAAAAAAATTGAAAATAAACTTAATTTTAGTTTATTTTAATATGATTTTATTGATATCCTAAACATATCCTTTCAATTGACCTGGAATACTTATTTATATCCTTTAAATATTAGTCATTTAAAGAAGAACCCTATATTATTTGAGGAGGTGAAATTGTCTTAACCCTATGAGTACTAAAAGGAAAACCACTTTTGAAAAATTCCGAACAGTGCTACCGCGTTTTCTTTAGCCCTTTCATATCTGGCTACCACGGGAAGTAAAGGGTTAAATCAATACTATTGTCTTCATATGTCATCACCATAGACAGAGATGCGAAAAGGGTTTTACCTGTTTCGAGCCCCTTTCATCTCTGTCTTGGTGAAGACGATAGCACGAGAAGACTCAAATTGCGCGAAATTTACTAGGATTTTTCGACACAAAATCGAAAGGGCCGGTCGCACTGCTTGGAATTCAAATGGTTAAGTACCTAAAGGTTTACTTCATAGTCGACCTTGTTAGCATACTTAATGAAGGAATACTTACTCTTGAATGACTGAATAGAATGAAATGAAAAGGAAAGGAAATATATTTGAAAATCAAAGATAAAAATCAATAAATTTTAATCGAACCCCCGGTTCGCTACAGAAGGAAGTGATTAGTGTGAAAGCATAGATTTTGTTAATTATGCCATATTAATGAAGAACCATCATTCATGTTTAGTAATGTATTTTTTGTAAGAAAAAACATTCGGGCTTAGTAGTACGTCTCTTAAGACGGCTAAACCCGGAATAATAATAGACGCGGAGGTCGAGAAATATGAACTCTGGCGCAAAAGCTAGAACCAAGAAGGCCGTTGCCAACAAACCCAACAAAATGATGCTTTTCACATATAAAACCGATTTTTGATGATTTGCTAATACTCACTTTTCTCATGGCTGAAAAGAAAAAGAAGATTATTAAAAAAACAAAACACTTCTTCTGTTTATATTGGAGTGTCCATTAATGTCGGGACTGCCACCGAGTTGTACACTTTCAATTTTATCTTTTTATCTATCTCCGTTTTCCCAAAAATTGTTCTGTTTAGAGTATCATATACGTTATAAGTACGAAGGCTTTCAAGGCCGGTGTTAATTAAAGTAAAACTGGAACTAACACTAGACTTAGAAACTCCACACGTTTTGTAGAATCAATTAGGAGTATGAAGCTAGACCCTCAGGATATGCTGATGAGTTTCGACGTGGAATCTCTATTCACCAGAGTACCAGTCAAAGATGCCGTGGATGGTCTTCGCCAGAAACTCATCCCGGAGGGTTTGCCCAAGTATGTTCCAAGTTAGCAGAGTACTGCCTCTCGTCGACATATTTCAGCTGAAAGGGGGAATCTCCTGTGATAGCCAATTTTTACATGGAGACATTTGAAGAGGAAGCGTTAAACAAGGAAACCGAAGCTATGGCTCCGTTACGTCGATGACACTTTCGTGATCTGGCAATATGGAAAAGAGGAACTCCAGGAATTTCTAGACCACCTCAATTTCAAGCACCCCATGATAAAATTTACCATGGAAACAGAAACTGCAAAACAGTTGCCATTCCTGGATGTGTTAGTCACTAGGAAAACAGATGGGGGCATGGAACTGGGAGTTTATCGAAAGAAGACGCATACGAATAGGTACCTGTAGGCTTCATGCCACCACCACCCACAACAGAAGAGGTCGTGATTCAAGCCTTATTCCTGCGAGCAGAGAGGATATGCGATAAAGAGAACCTATGAAAAGAAGAAAGATTCCTAGAAGATGTGCTGCAGAAAAACGGCTATACGATGAGAGATACCCGACGAGCCACTCTATCGTCGGCTATCGTGCAGTTGCGGGAAATATTACGTTAGCCAAACTGGACGTAACATCGAGTGCCGCATCAAGGAACACGAGAGGGACGACCGACTAAGGAAGATCCAACAATTTGCAGTCGCAGAGCATTGCCTCAAAGGAGGACACAGCATAGAGTTCGACAAAACCAAAGCGCTAGTAAGAAATCGACATGACTTCAAAAGATTGACGAGAGAGGCGATAGAGATTCATCGACGTGAGAATAACATGAATAGAGAAGAAACCAACTTTCTTGCCTTTTTATGGTTCTCTGTTATTAGCACTATGTGGTCAGCATATAATAAGTTATCTATTTTTACTGATTTCAAACTTTTATAAACTATTACTATTTGATATTTATTTGTTCTTGTATTTTTTTCACTCTGTCCATTAATATTATAAATAATAAGGGGCTTAAGGCTAACGCCTTGTTTTTCTCCCTCCATTTGTACTATGCTCTTGGCTTTCTTGTATAAGTTTTCAATCATTTTTGTTAGTTTTTGTAGAACCATTAGTTGTTCTAGACTAATATACACTTTCATATAATACTACAGTTAACCATGTCAAAAGTTACTTTTAGGTCTAAGAATGTTAGGTATAGTTCATTGCCCGTCTCTATTTTCCTTTCAATGATATTTCGGATTATATGTATGTTATCATTCGTTTGTTTGCTTGCTCTGTATGCTGCTTGTTCATCTTCTAGTTTATTTTCCACTACTCTTCTTAACCTTTTTTCTATTATCTTTGTTTATAATTTGTAACTTGTAGATGATAGGCATATGACTCTATAGTTTTTACAGTTCGAGTTCCTTTCTTATGTATTGGTAAGATGATATTATCTTCCCAATCTTTCGGGATTGTTTCCGACTCCCATGCGGTAATTCTTCCATTGTTATCTCTTCAGTTGCTATGTCTATAGTGTCTTCCCTTATCTCATCTTCTCTTCCCTTATCCATTGTTTGTGTCCATCTTTGAACTTTTCTGCATAAAAATCCGCCCATATGTTCAGAATATCCCTTGTAGTTGTCTGGTATAGCAATACACAAATCGCACGGTATTGCGTATTGCAATACCAATACTGTGATATTGGTTGCATACCTGCAATGATGACGTCGGGTACGATAATTAATTAACACACTGTACATATACATTCCATAAGATTACCACGATAATTGTAATAATTAAAAACCGTACAGAAACTTAATTATTAAATAAAAATAAAAACTTTAGTTAATGTATTTATAACATTAATATTGATAACAATTCAATTAACTAAAAAAATTACAACTTGGCTTTGCTTTTACTAACAATCTTATTTACAATTTTATGAGCTTCATCGAAATAAGGGTTTAATGTAGCTTGAACTCTATCCATCCAAGCATTTAAAATTGGCCTCCCTTCTCTTGGATTATAACCAGCCATTCCTAAAAAAGAATTATTTCAAAGAAACCCTCTAAAACTCCTATTTATTTATTTTTACTTGGTTGTTCAATTTCGCAAATAGCCCAAATATCAGCAGCAGAAATTTTATCTCCATTAATGAACGCCTTATTTTGTATCCATAATTTTTCCATATTATCTAAAGTCTCTTCCATTTTTGTTGTATAAAGATTTACAATTCCTTCATCCATTTGAATACCAGCTGTTCTTGGTAATAAGAACTATCACAAAAATATAAAAAATTAAAAAAAATACAATGATTTTGTAATAATAATTATTACTTTGAATTGGAAATAAGAAGCACAAAACAATCTAAGATTATTGTGTTGCCATTCTAAAAATTCATCAACTCTTGCTTGTTCTTTACTAGTACTTGGGTAAATATGCTCTGGTAATCCTTTTTCACGTTGTAAATAACGCAAAATTGCAATGCTAAAACAGCAACAACATAAGTCTTAATCATAGAAAAATTTTTTAATTACCTCTCAGTTAAAATAAAATCCCCATCTTTAATAACAGGTACTTTTTGAAATCTGGATACTTCATTACTGTACTCATCCGTCATATGCTCACCTTTAAGAAAACATTTTAATGTTAAAGCAATATTATTTGTGAAAAGGTTGACATAACCTCTAAATAAAATTTTTACCTTTTCCTAAATTCACCAAACATTCTTGAAATGGAATGTTGTACTTTTTAAGCATAATAAAAAGGGCCCTAGAGGGCTGTGACATTAAATCAAAGTATAATTTTAGCGACATTTTCAATGAATAATTAGAAATTGATGAGATTTTTGCTGTACCTCTTTACTTATATCAAAAACTCCACTGAGATCAAAGTTCAATGATATCTCTACAAAATATGCTTCGTCATTAATTAGATTTAAAGTTTATAAATAAATAACTTATAAACATTTCTTAAAGAGTTAATGTAGTTTTCAGAAATGTCTTCAACATTTAAATTATATTTTGATTTTATGTCCCCACCTTCTAGAGGTTTATTAATAATCTTAAAAATGAGTAAAATTCCTTTTGAAGGTGTTTTAATTCAATTACATAAAGGTGAGTTTGTACAGGTGAAATTTTCGAGGTTATGTACAATTTTTTTAAATAAATAATTGTCTTAAGGACAACATTTAACTGAAGAATATAAAAATAACATATCTAGATTTGGTAAAGTTCCTGTATTGGAAGAAATCGAAACTAATTTTACTTTAACAGAAAGGTAATTAAAAAAAATCTAACCTAACATTTTCTTAACCCATTGACTGCCGAAAATCTGTAATTTGAGATATTATTTTTTTCTACAGTGTTGCTATTTTACGATATTTGCAAAGAGAAAAAGGATTATTAGATGATTTATATCCCGCAAATAGTCAAAAACAAGCCAGAGTTGATGAGTTTTTAGAATGGGAGCATAATAATCTACGTGCATCTTGTGCTATGTATTTTTATTTTAAGGTTTTAAACGTAAAGTATTCCAGTTTTAATTTATTTAAAAAGAGATGATTTTAGTCGGTTATGCCAAGAATTACAGCTTCTGCCCCGGATCCAATTTTTATAAATTTTTACAAAAATCAAATGGAAGAATCTTTTGATGCTTTAGAAAAGCTTTGGATACAGGATAAACCTTTTATAACAGGGAATAAACTTTCTGCAGCTGATATTTTTGCTATATCAGATTATTACCAAGCCAGTAAGATTCTTTTTTACAGATTTTGAAATGACATTTACTGAAAATGTAAAATCTTTTTATTATCTAAAACACGACAAAAGCTGGGAGCAGAAAAGTCTCAAAAGTGTTAAATATCTCAGAAAGGAAGTTTTTGGGGTCAGTTACGCTTCCTGCTGATGTTTACAAAACAAATGTGCATGTAAAATACAAGTTTTGTACTGTAATGTGCCGTTAGGGTTGCCTATAATTTTTGTCATGTGTCTACAGTGGCACAGAAAAGTTTATTTACTTTATAAAAGTTTGATTTGAACAACTTACACACTAGTGTTGTGTAAGTACGAAACTGAAGAGTTAATGGCGTATTATCAAATGTTGCATGTGTTCTTAAAATTTAATTGTGAAAAGTTAAAATTTCAGTTCAAATTTTCATAGCCAGTTACTCATTGAGGTCTTATATATAATCTAGAGTGCGTATGCTGTTGTCCCCACCACGTCTAAAATGAAGCCAGAAAGGTCGCCATATTAGATGTACCAACTTAGCGGGAAATTCGAAATTCTTATATATACTTATGCAAGAATTTACATCATTATAAACTGGAAAGACAGAAAATAATAATCAAAACAAAACATTGATTTTTTATTGATAAATAATTATTAATTATATGAAATTTTAAAAGAACTTAATAATTTTTAGCCATAACTCTTATAATTAACATAAACTAAGAAGAAAATATTTAAAGCAATTCTGATTGATCACGTTAACCTTTGCTTATAAATAATTGTTAGTTTATTAAAAAAAAACTGAACAGTCCTTAATAATAAACTTTACTTGAACTTCAATTGAAGACCTCGGTGTAAGAAGGGAGTAGCTCCATTTTTCAAGACAAGGAGTTGTCCCCTTCTCACACCGAGGTCTTTAATTATTAATTCCAAGTCAAGTAACCAGAAACATGTGTGAAACGAAAAGAATTCGAAAACTTTCAACAAAAATCAAATTTTAATAAAAATAACAATATGTTTATGAGAATTGTGAGGTTATAATTGTAGATACAATAGAGACTTGAAACTATAGCTAAGTTCAGGTCGGTACATCCAACATGTCTGACATTCTGATTACCTCCACCACCACCACCACATACGCTCTCTAGATTATATATAAGACCTCAATGCAGTTACTCAAGAAATTCTTGGTCAATACACAGTTTATGGCAAGTCGTTAAAATTTTTTTCTATCAATTCTTTAAAACCATGTTACAGCTATTTCTGTTTTGCAATGACTCAACACACTTTCATTTACTTACGAGCAATTGAATACCATGCTTTTTAACAGTACAAAGATCTGGTGAATGCCAGATACTTAATTAAATTTCTGCCAAAACCTCGTTTGTTCATGAGAACTCGTCGTTTCAGGTTGTAGGCCTGTAATTCTTAGGAATTTTACTCACTTAAATCTGCCTAAACAAGAGATAAGTAGATATTCGCGAAACTTGATTTCTTTTTTGATTCTCTTTCCATAGTCATCTGGTTTTTGAGCAGAAAAACCAAGCACGACCATTGTATTCTCATGTGACGATTAAGCATTCCGAGTTGACCACGTTTACAGATCTTTTATCAGTTGAGTAATTTTATTCTACAACCATATACAATGTAGATAATATTATATATTAAGCTAGATCAAAACTGTCACAACAATTGTTATACAAAATTTGTTAAAACTTTTTAATAACTTAATGGGGTCCCTCGAATTGAGGAGAAAGTGACGGTTTAAGACCTTCATTTTTTAAGAACACAAAATCAGAATAAAAAAGGTCTTTATGGCTGACCATAAATTAGTTTAGCAGAACAACATCCCAAATTCTGTTTGACAGAAGATTTCGAGTCACAACAGAATGATTGGGAGATCGTTATGCCACCTGTTGCTGCTTTCTCCGGCAACAATGGATGTTTCAAGAGATCTAAGAGAGATCTTGAGGATGATAGGAGGATGTGTAAATCTGATAAGATCCAAGTAACTTGCTGAATTATGAAAAAGTTGGGATTCAAATTCTTTCCCGTTTTTCCCGGTCGTGGGGATTTTTAAGGAGATATACTTTTGGCCAGTGAGTAAAACTATCCATGACTGTTAGTAGAAAAGAACATCCTAAGGAAGGGATGAATGGACTAACAAGGTCGATATGAATATGCTCACATCTGCCTTTCTGAAAAGGCGATTTGGTGTGCTTCTTAACCTTTGTGTTTCTTGGTGGAAAATTTGATTTTTTTTTATTTTGGACACAATATAACGAAAATTCTTTAGAATAGACATATAGGGTGGGTTGAATAAAAAAGTAGTACATGCTAATGCTTGAGGAAAAAGAATTTACTGCATAGCAAATACTTTCGGATGTAGTACGCCTTTTGTTCCGGTAGAATTTACTCACATATGTAGGACGAACTATGCGATTTAAAGTAAATACTACTAGTAGGAAATAAATACTTTTAAAGAGTAGTACGCACTTCAAAAGTCCAACAACGTGTTAGTTCACGTTGGTTCACGTCACACCAACGTTTACTCCACAGAATATGGAGCACTACTCTTCTCGAAACAATTAAGTATCTTTTTGTATCGATATCTGTGCCAGTCGAAATGGCAAGTATTTAGTCTACCGGATCAGAATAAACGCTGTTTCAAGCAAATTAATTAGAAAATTATGTAGTAAGATTGACAGCTACAGTATTCGTTTGATGTTGGCGGCACTTCCATTAAAATCCGCCATCTTATCGTGAGTTACCAAAGGCACAGAATTCACTCGCTATAATATGATGTCAGATTTGGCGGGATACTGTCAGTGTCACTTTTTTGATTCTCTTTCCATTGTCATCTGGTTTTTGAGCAAAAAACCAAGTACAACCATTGTATTCTCATGTGACGATCAAGCATTCCGAGTTGACCACGTCTACAGATATTATATCAGTTGAATAATTTTATTCTACACGCATATACAATGTATTATGAAGCTAGATCAAAGCTGACAATGACCGCGTCACAACAATTGTTATTCAACAAGAAAGCTGGTTGTAAACGATCAATATTAAAAGTTAATCAATAGCTGTTGCATGAAATAACAAACTTTTTAATAACTTTATATGGTCCCTCGTATTGAGGAGATAGTGACGGTTTAAGACCTTCGGTTTTTAAAAATCAAAATCAGAATGGAAGAGTTCTTTATGGACAAAAGTTTTTTTGACGAATAATGTGATGTAGGAGTTGGTTTAATATTTGCAAATGTTTCACGTAAACTCATGGAATAAGGAGATGTTCGGTCTCAAGAGAGACATGTGAGTTAACAAAAAATTCTCTGGCTCTGAGTCCCAACAGAATCGTTGGGAAATCGTTGTTCCACCTGTTACTGCTTCTTCCGGCAACAATGGAAATGTTTTAAGAGATCTGTGGAATATCTTTAAAATCACATTGCTGTGAGGATGATAGGAGAATGTGTAAATCTGATAAGAGCCAAGTAACTTGCTGAATTGTGAAAAAATTGGGATTCAAGTTGTCTTTCCAGGTCATGTGTAATGGTGTGTAGAACACCGAATCAGCTACACTTGATGACAATTTGCAAACAATGCTGTTAAATCGGGATAAAAAGAATCAAGGTCGTCAATATCGACCAATTCAAAATACCTTTGTCAATATCTCTCGATTTTTGAGAGAATATCGACCACAATGTTTACATCACCTTTTATAAATATAAGATTACAAGTAAATTGAGTGATGTAATGTGGACATCGAGTCTGTCGTGATGTCTTTTCAGTTTTTGAAGTAAAAGAATTGATTAATGGCTCGTGATCGGTAGAAATGGTGAACTGATTATCGAGAAGAAAATGTTTAAAAAATTTTATTGCAGAATATATAGCGAGTAATTCGCGGTCGAAAGTGGAATATTTAGTTTGACAAGGAGATGGTTTTATGATCAAACAAGTAACTTTACAAATTAAATTATAATGTACTAAGTAGAGACTTATAATTTTTTCTACGTGCAGAATTAGGTATTCCACAAAAATGGTACGCATTTTTCTTGTCACGCCATCGCAGGTCATTCTTCTTGCACTTCCTAGATTACTATATCGCCAGTTTTCATTTTCTTCCTGCCAAATATTAAGGATATATCACACCAGTAAGTCCTAACGATTCCATAAGCAACAGATTATGATCGTTTATATTTTCACTACCGACTATTCTCGTTTACGTAATACTCTTCGAAAATATTTAACGATTTCTTTAATGCTTGAAAAACAACTTTTAATGTCCTGAATTGAGTATAAGTCTAATATTAATGACTAAATTCAGTTTTTGTGCTTCATTAATTCTTGTTGTTTGATTCTTTTCTAGGCATATTACACTTCCATCAAATCCAAGATTCCAAGATCCATGAGATTGTTGATTTTCAATTGAAAATTAAGTAGTTCGTTTAAGATCTTATTATTCTTCTTCTTTTATTCAGGTTGTAACCTGTTTTGTACGCAGCATTCATGGTGTTATCATTAGAGCTGGAAATCCAACTTCCTGGTCTCTCGGGATCTCTTTCTATGTAATCTTTTGTTAGGGATATTTTGTGTGCGGGAGATTTTGGGTTGGTAGTACGGAGCGTAGGGTGGCAATGGAGTGATTCCCGCGTTCGAAAAGGTTCCGAGACGTTAGATAAAAACGAACAGGTTTGAACAAGATTGAGAGAGAGTCGAACATGAGAGTTGGTGCGTGGCAGAGGTAAAAAGACCGTTATGGCCGAAAAGGATGCGATTGTTAAAGCCGGAGTAATGAACTTGATTATGGCGGAGACACAGTGTGGAGAACATGACAGTTGGTGCGTGGCAGAGGTAAAAAGACGGGTATCGCGAGAAAAGACGGACAAAACGGGTGTGTTTTGAGAAGTATAAACGCTGAACTGAATTACATTGTTATTTTGTTTGAAGTTTCAATAAAGTTGTTGATTAGTTAAATTTACGTGAGTGTATTTACTTTACTTTCGTCTCTTGCTATCTTAATCAGCCAGGTTTCTTCCATTCTTTGAAAGAAATTTGCTTTGGAGCAAATCTCATGACATCTCCGAATCCGCAAAATTCTCTTACAATTTTGTTCCTAACTCTATCTCTTCTTGTCTTTTCCACTATTGTTTTTAAAGTACTCATCTCAGTTCGTTCGCATCACAGCCTCAGGCTTTCAATCAATGCGTGCTTTCTCCTTTGGTTATGACATACGGTTCCGAAACTTTAACATTAACGGTTGCCATTACCAGGAGGCTCATATATATCTTGGCCATGAGGTTCGTGTATCGAGAGATAATAATCAAAAAAGCGAACTAAACAGAAGGATGATACTTGCATGGGCAGCCTACGGGAAACTTAGAGACATCTTCATGAGCGATATTCCTGTATGTTTGAAAAGAAAGGCTTTCAATCAATGCGTGCTTTCTCCTTTGGTTATGACATACGGTTCCGAAACTTTAACATTAACGGTGGTCATTACCAGGAGGCTCAAAGTAACACAAAGAAGGATGGAGAGGTCGATGCTGGGTATAACCCTGAGGGAACGAAATGAAGACCTACGAAGAAGAAGTGACGTAAATGATGTTTTCAACATTATGGCAAAGCTCAAGTGGAACTAAGCGGATCATCGTCGCAAGAATGAAGAGTGAGCAGTGGTTGCCTGATTATAATACGTCTTCGATCGTTGACAATTCTTCGTCTTCAACGCCCATTTCATCATGTTCCTCTACATTTTTTCCGAATCTGTTATATTTTTACTTGTATCACATTTATATGTACTGTTATGTACTGGTATTTACCCAGCGCCCATCACTGACTAAGATTGACAGCTACAGTGCAATGTATTATTGTAGACTAACCCAGACCTCAGAATAACCACAAATGACACTGACGTCGATTCGTTTGATGTTGGCGGCACCTCGTTTTGTGGCCTCGATTTAAAATCTGCCATCTTATCGCAGTTACCAAAGGCACAGAATACATTCGCTATAATATGGCGTCAGATTTGGCGGGATACCGTCAGTGTCACTTCTGGTTATTCTGTGCCCAGACTGCAGGATTGTTCAAGAAAAAAATTCTTGTTCTACTATAAACATTTTTCTAGACAAATCTATCTCGATATTCACCNAAAAGTTTATATTTTCACTACCGACTATTCTCGTTTACGTAATATTCTTCGAAAATATTTAACGATTTCTTTAATGCTTGAAAAACAATTTTGAATGTCCTGAATTGAGTATCAGTCTAATATTAATGACTAAATACAGTTTTTGTGCTTCATTAATTCTTGTTGTTTGATTCTTTTCTAGGCATATTGCACTTCCATCAAATCCAAGATTCTGAGATCCATGAGATTGTTGATTTCCAATTGAAAATTAAGTAGTTCGTTTAAGATCTTATTATTCTTCTTCTTTTATTCAGGTCGTAACCTGTTTTTTATGCAGCATTCATGGTGTTTCATTAGAGCTGGAAATCCAACTTCCTGGTCTCTCGGGATCTCTTTCTAGGTAATCTTTCGTCTCTTGCTATCTTAATCAGCCAGGTTTCTTCCATTCTTTGGAAGAAATTTGCTTTGGAGCAAATCTCATGACATCTCCGAATCCACAAAATTCTCTTACAATTTTGTTCCTAACTCTATCTCTTCTTGTCTTTTCCACTATTGTGTTTAAAGTACTCATCTCAGTTCGTTCGCATCGCAGCCATATATCTTGGCCATGAGGTTCGTGTATCGAGAGATAATAATCAAACAAGCGAACTAAACAGAAGGATGATACTCGCATGGGCAGCCTACGGGAAACTTAGAGACATCTTCATGCGCGATTTTCCTGTATATTTAAAAAGAAACGCTTTTAATCAATGCGTGCTTCCTCCTTTGGTTATTATTGAACTTTGCTAGTAGTAAAACGCAGTAGGTTTTAATTTAACTCCACAATATATTTATAGAAAACTCTCCGTCGTCATTGTCAGACATCTTAGATCTTGTACTACATCCGGTTATTTTACGTAACCTACTTCACACCACTTATTCTTACTTTTACATACAGATGTCGCGATAGTATGACATACGGTTCTGAAACTTTAACATTGGTGGCCATTACCAGGAGGTTCAAAGTAACGCAAAGAAAGATGGTGAGGTCGATGCTGGGTGTAATCCTGAGGGAACGAAATTGAAGACCTACGAAGAAGAACTGACGTAAATGATGTTTTCAACATTATGGTAAAGCTCAAGTGGAACTGGGCGGATCATCGTCGCAAGAATGAAGAGTGAGCAATGGTTGCCTGATTATAACACGTCTTCGATCGTTGACAATTCCTCGTCTTCAACGCCCATTTCATCCTGTTCCTCTACATTTTTTCCGAATGTGTTATATTTTTACTTGTATCACTTTTATATGTACTGTTATGTACTGGTATTTACCCAGCGCCCATCACTGACTAAGATTGACAGCTACAGTGCAATGTATTATTGCAGACTAACACACACCACAGAATAACCAGAAATGACACTGACGTCGATTCGTTTGATGTTGGCGGCACCTCGTTTTGTGACCTCGATTTAAAATCCGCCATCTTATCGTCTTATCTTATACATTCGCTAATATGGTGTCAGATTTGGCGGGATACCGCCAGTGTCACTTCTGGTTATTCTGTGCCCAGACTGCAGGATTGTTCATGAAAAAGAAATTCTTTGTTCTACTATAAACATTTTTCTAGACAAATCTATCTCGATATTCACCTGATGCCATAACCAAAGCTCGCCAAAGCTCTATCTGTGCGGCGACCTCATATTTTAGAAGGGACACCTTGTTGTTATTGGCATGTCTTTGGTTTTTTCAACGATCTGGCAACGTCTCAAGCAAACATACCAGAAATAGCTGGCATGTCGCGCTCTTCCAGCTCCTCGCGAACTTTTTTAGTAAGCGCTTTGATACAATTGATACAAATAATATCAGAAAACCTACTGACTGAATTACGTAGTCGGCAACTGGTGGTCTGAAGACTAAACATGCTGAGTCAACAAGTTTCCAATGTTTTGGCCAAGAACATCTCAGATTTAGTATGTCCATAGATAGTTATACACATCAAAGTAATAGGAAAGCTTACAAGAATGCGCGAAGAATACAACCTGAGAAAAACTTTTACTTTTCTAACTTCTTGTAAAAACAATAATCTTCAATTATCAATCATTTATTTCTTATAAATGTTTGAATTTGCAATTATTTTAAAGGATTTTATTTATTTTAGGATTGACTATTTATGATGGTTGTAAAAATCGTCCTAAACTAACGAAATGGATGAAAATGGTTCAAAAGGAATTAGGTCCTTATTTAGATGAAGTAAATCAAACTGTGAACAAGATTATTCAAAAAAATCCGGTTACAAATTAAATGTAGTTTTATATAAAACAAATTCTTTATTTCAAAAAACATTTATAATACTTATGACTTTGACGAAATGAAATATATGATATTAATAAAACGTTATAAAATTTAGCGCTGGACAAATAAAGCTACTGTACAAATAAATATATCGTTATATATATTTTTTTTAAATATATAAATACACGTTGTGGTTCCGTTAGTTGATTTTTTTTTAGTTTAGGTATAAACAGCATTATTCGGTTAATAATAAACGATCATCAGCTTAAAAACGATTACTAGCTTTGAAAACGATCATCATTCAAGTTTAATACGATGAATATTTTCATCTTTTATTCTTCCTCTTTTTTTTAGTTTTATTTTCGTGAAACTTTTCGCCGTACGGACAACATATAATTATTATCAACATTAAAAATGATTACATCTTGTTTGTTTAGACAAAGAATAAAACATATAAATATACATTACTACTTATAATATGGTGTGGCAGGCAAATTTGAAAATAAAAAATTAGGAAAAACTCTCAATCTATACACCTCAAAAAGTAAATACATACAGTCAAGTATAAATATTTAAATTGTATACGTATGGCAAAAACGTGTATGGCTTCTTAATTTTTTTTTCTTTTTGCAAAAGGTACACAGCGATGAAACGTTAATTATATAATATCTATTCTTTCATTTTTTTTTGGTTTTTACATAAACATAGATCAGTCACAATGATATTTTTTTTATAATTAAAGCAACACAACATACATTTTTTTCTTGTTTTCTTCACCTTCTTTGTTAATGTATTTTTTTCTTGTTTTAATCTTTATTTCGCCTATCTAAGATAAATTCGTTTCGTTTAATTAAAATTGTTAAAAAGTTTTTAATAACTGGACTATATTTACAAAGTTTTTTTTTTCATTTTTCTTTCTGGTTTTATCATTTCACTCTTCTAGATTTTGATGCAAACTTTCATTTCTATTCTTTTGTGCATTAAAACTATGTAGGAAATATATTTGTTTATTTTTATTTTTGGGTTCTTTAATGTTATATGAATAATTATGGGTATTTTTGTTTAAAACATTTCTACGATTTTTGTTAAAAGAGAAATATCGAGAAAAAATTGTAGCAGTAAGAAATAACAATAAGCTTGGATGAGGATAAGGATTTAACAGATAGGAGATTTGGTTGAAACTAGATGGTACGGTCCATAAGTTCCGTAAGTTTCCTCTATCAGTCTGAGACAATTCCAGACCAATTATAATTTTGTTATAAATGAAGGTTAATATAGATAATTAGTCTTCCAGATTTTTCTAAAATCGGACAAATTAAATCATGTTCATATCCGAATGAGCAGTCCATACTGCAGCGAACTTTTCAAGTGTTCTTAGATTGTTGAGACTTTGAAAGGAATTTTGAAACATACCTCTGCTGCAAAGCTTTGGAGCTCTTAAAATACAATATCAATTAAGTCGCAGCGGAAGTATCGGGTACAAAGGACCATCAATGTCAATGCTCCTTATAGGAACACACAAAAAATGTGTTAACACCAGAGATAAAATTACTAGCCTGAGAAAAAAAGATATGTATTATAAATCCAAGAAGACACTAAGAAACTGAATTAACTTCATAAATACAAGGAATAGATATAGAGCAAACAACAGAATTAGGGAGGTAAAGACAGAACATTGCGAGAAGTATAGCAAAGAAATTGAAAATGATCTAATGGAATCGAAAAATGAATTAGGGTAACAAAATGGGAAATAAATAAAACAGTGGCTCAAAATAACATTTCATATTGGCACTCAAAAATGTGGACACAGAGAAGGAAAAGGCGGGGGTTACATTCCGATGATGGACAAAGATTAGAGAGAGTAGATGTTGAGGAAGTTGCGGAAATAGAACAATTCAAAACGGAGGAAGTGAGGTTGTAGATGAAATAACTAAAAAACGGAAAGTAATCAGATCTGGACAATATCCTTAACTTAGCTGCTGAAGTAGGGAGGAGGAGGAGTAACAGAACGACTCATGGAGCTGTATAATAAAATACTGTAGAACGTAAAAACTCGGAGAGTTGGAGAAATACAGCAGGAGACTCTAGAACTAGCACATTTCATGAATGGAAATGAATTGCTAGAGTTAGCAGACCAGTATTCAAAAGGCTGCCAAGACGATTTCTATACAGATGGAAATATAGCTGGTTGTCGGCATCACAAGAAATGCAGGCAGAATGGGTAGATTAACCTCTATGACTTCCACAATGAAAAAAACAAGAAAAAGATCGATGGCAAAACTGTTTGTGAAAATGTTTATCGTTCTATTAGTGTTTGAACATTAGTGAGGTGAGTTGGCTCTCAAAAAATCTTAACAAAAATTCCACTATTTCCACGATTTATTCACCAAGCTTGCATATTTGGAAAATCAATTTTTGTTTCAAACACAAAGACGGAATTTATTGATGATTTAGTGGAAGAAACAAGCAATTTGCAAAATTATACGACTTGCCATAATAAGTCAATCAGTTGAGATGAGAGTATCGTTATCTTTATTCCCTGTATAGTAGGAAGTCAGGGATTTTAAACACGATGAATACATTTGGAAGTCAATCAATAGAACGATTCTACGAAATACAATCAAAATTGAGTCAATTCCTATTACTATAAAGAAGTCTAACTGCTGAGTAAGCAACTGAAGGAGAGATACAATGTTCAAGTTGGTAGACTCATCAACGAAGTTGGGTTTAACGCCACTTACACTGATAATCAGAGCCTCTCATATACTTTCAAGCGCAGTTAAATTCCAAATAGAATCATCAATGATTATGTCGCACTTATATTAGTTATATTCTTGAGCAAAAGTGACTTGGTGAATGGCAAATGAATAAGCTTTATTATATATTATATTAAGTACAGCAGAGTAGTTAGTAGCAAATGAGCATCTGTATGATTGAGCAAATAATGTTCAAAAAAGGTGTACACACTGTCAAAAATATTGGGTATCAAAGAATATTTAACAGTACTAGTAATTTAGTTAGATAAATTAAGAAGACGTTAACTTGATATCTTATGCAGACGTATTAGTGATAAGCAAAATCACACCATATGTGGAAGATAAAAAGGTAGAAGAGTCACTAGAATGCAACAAGAAAACCGTGAATGTGGACTGGGCGTGTATCTTAATAAGAATATGAAAATGATGAACGACAATGAACAACCTCCTCTATGCAAAATGTGGGAGGTCTTTATATTAATAAAAGCAAGTCTTGGTACAGAAAAACTTGCTATAGAGGTGCCCTTTGGCTTGGTAGCTGAAAAAAGATATTAAATATACGAGAGAGGGAAGGAGAAGTGAAGCCAAGGCAGTGCTAAAACCAAGTAACAAAGGAGACAGATGAAATACACAGAGGATTGAAACGGCAGCCACGATAATTGCAGAAAATATCTGCATCAAATCTGCAAAACGGGTTATAATCAGTGCTGCTTACACAAAAGTGTTGACACTTAGAGAACGCAGACCATAGTGTTTTTGATTATTTGAAGTTCGAAACGGCAAGAAATGTAATGAAAAATATGGCCAAGTCATAACAAAGCCCAGCATTTTGGAACAATTTTGATAGAAAGAGAGGATAACTGAAAAGCAATTATGGGCCTTATAAGTGAAGTATTCGAGGTGATACAAGTGGAGGAAACACAAGAGAGTGGGAGCACCCCTTCTCCTCGATGCTGCATCTCAGCTGTTGCACGCCAAAACGATTTTGGAATTTAAAAAAAAAATTGTCGATATGCGAAGGAATTTTGGGATTTCATGGCATGCCACTTATGGTAGTATCTGGTGGTCTGGTGAAGTCTCGAATATGGGTAAGAACGTATAGATATTGATGAGAGAGAAAGACATTTTCCTTACCTCTCAGTAATGAAGAAACAAAAGAAACTAAATATGTCAGAAAATAAATGGTGTATACTTCTTCTGAGCAGATTATAGATAACGATCTGTGGAATGCCAACGATAAAGAGGATTGGAGAGTGACCGATTTCTTGTTATCTAAAACAAAAATAAACTAAGCAAATTTTTTAATGAATGTGGTCATAAATCTTTAAACTTGAAAGGAATCAAAGTTGTTCTTGGTATCAACGGTGTCTTCTGAGAGATGGATTTTAAGTATGCGATTTTCATGGAAAATCAGATTGGATAAAAATGTAATATATGCACTTAGGCAAACGATTTTTTGAGATGGTTCTTTTCCAACTTCGTAAAATTGGTCTGGCGATCGCTAATGTAGTGAAATATTTAGGGCTCTTCTGATTAAGAGGCTAACTTGTAGATCATATTTAGCAAACAAAAAACTTTCCATAACAGTAATGATTCTGCCTTATACCTTTACGGCGTTGGGTCCTCAATCCACGTTTGATAGTCTTTGATGGTGGAGACAAGAGAAGGAGGAGGTCCAGAATGAAGCAGCTGGATAGCATTAAGAGTGCAATTCAGCAGAGGGGAAGAAACATTGAGGAAGTAAAGAGAATGCCGCTGAATAAAAAAGAGTACATTTTCAATTAAATCCCAAAATGTACAAATTCAAAATCTGTTTGAACTGACTTCATTAAAACATAACGCTCGGTTCAATATTGAACTGGGCATTATGAGTTGTGAGAAGTCAAGAAAAGAATTTAAGTTGTTCTCTGCCCATTTTTGGATGTTTTTGTTCTTATCATCGCCCACATTCTCTTTTAATAAAGGGAGCTTTGTATCTGTTTTAAAATCCTCTCGTCACACAGAATAGAAAAGGAGGCATCTCATAAGGTTAGATACAAAACCTCAGATTTAAGAGATGTCAACGAGATATAAAGTGTTGGAAAACTGATGGACTGCGTGGTTGATTAATCTCTATCCGAATACAACTGTAGAACTAAACGGAGTATTTATTAAAAGGGTTGAAACCTCAGGTTAATATTATTAAAATAATCGAACTTAACCCAATCAAATTCAATGCGATGACTCAAATCCTACTCAATTAAATCATCAATCGTAATATCATATTGATTAAACCTGCAAAACAATAGAATACAATTAACTGTAATGAAATTGCGATTCACCACAACCCAAGTTCTGATTTAAATCGTATTAAATCGTTTATTTCGAGGATTTATCAATCCAGATTGTTCTTTATTTAAAAAAAATGTTTTGTAAACATTTTCTTTAATACAATATTTCGTGGTTTTTCAAAAATCCTAGATAATATTTTATTCAAAAATACGAATTATTCCTTATATTTAACATTAACAATGTCTTTCTTTTTTAATTAAACTATAACAAAGTTAAAAAAGTTCATTTTGTATTTATTATTTTCATGATACTGTCAATCTTCCCAATTTAAAATTATTGTCTGGGAAGTATTTCAATTAATTAATTTCTTTCATTTTTATCGCAAAACATTTTAAAATTTCCTACATAGTTTTCGAAAAAATGTCTTATCCAAAATTTTCGTTCAAAAAAAAAAAATTCTAATGAATACCTTATTACCTCGTTGTCCGTCTAAAAAATGCACTCCAAAAAACCCCTACCTTCTTCTCCTAAATATATTTATATATTAATTTGCGAATATTTACAAAGGGGCGTAAATTGCTGATTGATTCGCAAAAGAAAAAACATTTTTTTTAGGTTCAGTCGGAAAAATGTAATGAGAGGAACATAAAAAAAATTGTAAAGATGATGATTTCTGTTGAGAATTAATCAACAAATTCGCACGATAATCACATACATACATATATTTTTATAGTTATTATTATAGTTAACGTAAATAAATAATATACATTTTGGCATCTTTGAAATTACATTACACAAATAGACTTTGGTATAAAACGTACACGGTCTTTTTTTCTCACCTTTATCTTTGTTTCATTATTTTTTCTTCATTTTTTAAATTAAGCTTACTTCTTGGTACATCACACTTAGTTAATTGAAATATTTTCACCTCTATTTCTTAATTTTTTTTTAAACTTTCAATTCGAAATGATCGAGTCCATTGATTTACGGTGATTTTTCTTTGTTGATGTTACTTTTTACTTACTTATTTAATCTTTTTATTCTTTATGGATAATTTCGATTTTTCGCGTCATCATTAATTTTAATTCTTTTTATATTAACTTTTTTTTTACTTTTTGGATGGGATTGCACTAGCAGATATTAGTAAAAGTAAACCACCATTTTTCACATAATTTTAAATCCCTTTTCTTCCGTTTTCGTTTTGACGTTTCTATTTGTTTCTTTTGAAATCTAACGTTATACGGATCTTCCGCCAATTCCGGATAAAGTTGAACATCATGGATGTATTCACCTTCATACGATGTAACATAACCCATTTTCATGATTTCATCAATTTCCGCTGCCGTCCAATCTGTTGACCCCGTAAACCCATTCTTTAGAGCTTCTTTTTCTTTATGCCAAGCTTTTCTAATTGCCGATAACTTAGCGTGATGAAGAAGTCTTTGTTTTTCCTTTTCCATTGTGGTTCCATACCTCAAATTAATCACTGCGTTTAAACCGTGTATTTTTACATCGAAGTAATTATTTCCACTTCCATTTTCACGAGCAATTTCGTGGAACGTTGTGTTTACTTGACCTTGAAGTCGCTTTAATTGTCCTTTATCATCATTAGCTTTCCATGTTTCTTCTTTAACGAAATAAAAACCATCTTGTTGAGCGTTATGAATAACAAAAGTAAACGGAAGTAAATAAGAGCGGTTAAAAACTGATGTGTAAACGTCTCGGTAAATTGCATTTGCTGCTGGAACACTTGATACGATTGCTCTTCCTTGTTGGCTTCTTGATACTAAAATTCCTTTTCCAAATGGTGGATCGGAAGCTGCACCGATTTTCTTTGGAATTAAATCCATAACGTCGGTTTTTAAAGCTGATTTAGAAGGTGCTGATAAACTGTGAGCGTCTGTTGATCTTCTTGAAAGAATATGAGCTAGAAAACCTGATTGAACACTGGTTACTAGTTGCATTGTAAGTTGACTGGTCATCGTTTCTTTTATTGGTTGCCAGAAAATTGTTGGATGTGTCAAAGATGGTGGCATTTTTCCGCTTGGGAGTTCGTTCGGGAAGAGTTGAGGTGCTAAATTCTTTAGGTTATAACCCATTCTGTTTAACCAATCTAGATGATCTAAAATTTAAAAATAACATGTAATCAGATTCACTAAATACATTTTTGTAAGATCATTTATGGACACGAGAAAAAAATATAAATAGATTTTGACAGTTCTAATATACTTTACTGAAAAATAGTCTATGGTTTGGGAATAGTTTAGATATGATACGATTATGTTGCCAATACATTGTCAATGTGTTTGGTCATTTGTTGCTTTTTGTCTACTTGTAACTATATTCTCAAAACTGACGTGGACTTATAACTGCTATTTCAAATGCAATCAACTGTACAAATTAGGAACAGCAGCTGTTATATTCGTGTTGTATTTCGTAAGCAATCTGGATTCAGGAAATATTTTAGTTGCTTTGTATTCAACGCATTAAGCTTTCTGATATACTTGAATATTGTAATTACTTAATGAAATAGAAAATGTTAAAGATCGACTAAGAAGTAGAAGCAAAGGATTACAAATTGAGTCATATTCGGCGCGGCGGTAACTCTAGACTTGGAGTGTCAACTACAACAGCTGTGATATGATAATTAAGCCAAAATACAACAAACAAAAATTGCGTTTCTCCCTTGACCATGTGACAATTACTAGTAGCTTTCATTTATGGTTATCAAAATAAAGCTTTAGGATTCGCCTCAATAGATACTGTTTCTAATAAGCATTAAAACATAGTGTTTCTGTTTCACTTCCCTCTTTGTTGAAGGGTAATGAGGTAGTCTGCTTGAAAAAATTTTCAAAAGATTTAATCAACTACAATTTTTCGTAATTACTGTAGTTGATATAACCTGATACGTTCACTTCCAGTGTTTATTAATAGATCGGGCAGCCAAAAACACATTTTTAATCACATTTATCAACCGAAATTAGCAACTCGAATTTACTATAAGTACATATATTTGCAAAAAAATATTAAAAAAATTATAGCTACTCAAACCAAACCATGGTCCAACTTATTAATAAAAAATCTTGACCAAACATATCACCTCAAAAACATGTTGTGGATTATTCAGACATACTTAAGAAGCAACCTCAGCTGACATTATTCCAAACAACACATTATCTCGCCAGTCAGCTACAGAATATAGAAATCAAGAGAAAATGAAAAGAAAAAATCCTCATCGAAACAAGATATCCCAGTCAAAGGTTATTTAAATATTATGTATTCGAATCCAGAGAGATAAAGGCACCACTATCCTATTCCATTACTTGTCCTGTCAATTGAATCTGAAGGTGAAATGAAATACGAATCTTTACACCTTAAGCAATCCAGATAACCGGTGCTAATACTTTCATTTGGAAGAAGATATTTCTTATGGTAAAGACGTTACTTTAGAATTGAAAGGGTCTTCCCAAAAATAAAGGTAGGATCATACCTTGAGATCATTCAATTGGGAAATGTTTGGATGTCTAAACCTGGATTTTGGAGACTCATTTACGGATCTGGCCACGGTCCTACAGAAGGTTAAGCAAGTATAGTTGCTAAGATATTTAGAGTAATCTAATAACAACACACAGGTAAATTACATAATTTAGCCCAGTTTGTGTTCCTCCAAGAAAGATATCTCATCTGCCCCAAACCCAACAACGACGGAATATTTTATCCACTGTTCAGAACCATTCTTTGCACACCAAATAAGAAATAGATAATAAAATACCCCGTTTTTTTTAAGTACATTTGCTTTGTTCCACTACTCAAACAGGAAGGCGATTGAAGAATGGTTGAGGGATATAGACCTATAACAGTGATACAGTTTGACTATCTCTTCTTTGGCTTTAGGAATGAGAAGGGAATTATGCACTGCATTTCATATTTTTAACGGCAGATGTTGGAACTGGCGATGACTAGAAGACTAGGAATTGGTAGCAATGTTTTCCAATCTTAAGATAACGCGGTGTTTTACACAGTTGACATAGTGGTGTTTAAAATGGGATTAATTATGAAAGTGCACAAATATACTCAATGAGGCTATAGCAGGCGGGTGAAGTTGTCTCGAGGAAAAGACATTATGCATATCTGTATAAAAGGCAAAAGCCATGATCTTTAAAAGAAGAAGAAACATTAACTACCTATTCATACATATAGGAAGAGAAGCAATAATCTGTACGAAGTAGAACTTAAGGAACAGTTTAATATAAGACTTAGCTGGAAGGAACAAATTCGCGTATCAGCTGCTGGTGCGACAAAATCAGTTCTGCTTCATCTCAGACTACTATCCGTGCAAAAAGTCAAGTTTAAAGTCACTTTAGAGATCGATATCTTCGCAACCGTTCGATAAAAAAAATTGCGACAAAGTTTGTTGTAATCACTGTACATTTTTACGTAACATATGTTAATTTGAAAATTTTTGGATCCACGGTTTTCTTTTTATCATGAGTTAAATGAAAAAAGTTCCCGATTTTTTACGGTACCGGCGACTTTGCCAACTTTGCGATTTTTTTTCTCGAAAATGATCGTACGAAAAAATTTGAATTTTGAACAGGTGGTAGCCTGATGAGTTCTTAATGAGTGGCATATTTTATTTTTTCGATATTCCATATAGTTTCGCGGAAAATCGCGGTTTAGTAAGACGCCATTATGTCGAAAACGGCTGGGTGGATTTCCTTGCGGATTTGACCAAAACATGTGAAATAATGTCGGTTGTCGGATTCCGTTATCAATTTTTCAAAATTAGAGCTCCCTAATTTTTTTAGACCGATTTAATGGAATTGCAAATTAAAGAGAAACAGTAAGCTCTGCGGGGCGACGGGGGTTCCGTCCAATCGGAACAGATGGTGCGTCCCAGACAGGACGTCGCGCTTTATTTCTTTATGTAGGTAAGATAAAGGTGCGACGTACTGTCTGGGATGCACCATCTGTTCCGATTGGACGGAGCCTTCCTCTCCCCGCATAGCTTATTTCTGTTTTTCTTTAATTTTTAATTCCATTAAATCGCTCTTAAAAAATTAGGGAGTCCTAATTTTCAAAAACTGATAACAGAATCCGACAACCGACATTATTTGACATATTTTGGTAAAAACCACGTTAAAATCCGCCAGGTCGTTTTCGAAATAACCGCATCCTACTAAATCGCGATTTTCCGCGAAACTATATGGAATATCGAAAAAATAAAATATGTCCCCCATATATAACACATATTATTATTATTATTATTATTGTTTATTATCAGTTCAAATTTGAAATTTTTTCGTCAAATAGGTTTGGAAAAAAAATTGCAAAGTAGACAAAGTTGCTGGCACTCTCAAAAATCGGATACTTTTTTCACTTAACTCGCGATAAAAAAAAACAGCGGACTTAAAAATTTCCAAATTAACATGTGATACGCAGAAATGTTCACTGATTACAATAAACTTTAGCGCAATTTTTTCCATCAAGCGGTTACGAAGATATCTCTATATATCTCTAAAATGAGGGGCCTTGACTTTTTGCATGGATAGTAGAGATCTTATAATATACCACGATACCTGATCGACTGATACTCGATTAATGATTATAAACATTCCTGAGGTAATTAATGACGATAAAAAAAATAAAGAAATCGATTTTGATGTTTTTTGACAGTGATTCAAAAATGCTAAAAAATTAACAAAGGACTAGTTGACTATAAACATCCAAAGGATACTTAACACTGATGAAAAAGTGAAAGAAATTGATTTCAATGTTTTTTGAAAGTTTTTTCAAAAATGCCAAGAAATAGAAAATGCTTATTGGTGTGTGTCACAAAATTTCGTACTCTTAGAGAGAGTATCTTTGCTGTGTTCTGGCCGTATCCAGAACGCGCAGGCAGCAGAAGTTAAAGAACGCTGTCTGAAACTTATAGCAAAATTGAGAGCTCGAAGATTTCTATTTCATAAATCTACAACGGTAAAGAGAATAATAGGGCCAATCCAAGAAACTAATATATGAAAATCAAGATACAGCCATGAATTGTATCGCGTTTATAAGGAGCCTTTTATCGGTTTTATGCGATTAGAATGGGAGAAGAAAGGATGCTTAAACGACTAATCGGTAGAAGAATGCAAGGAGTAAGCGTGCACAGTCGACTGGGACCTTAAGGAGATGGTCATGGGCAAAAACTGGAAGGGAGAAGTCAGAGACAGGGAAAATTGGAGGTAAAGGTCGAGGGAGGCTAAGGCTCGATTTGGGCTATAGAACCACAGAGAGAAAACATACAACAGAGAAAATAGTAATCTAGTAAGGTTGCTGCCGCAAAAATTAATTTGGAGCTGAGCTTAGTTTCTATGCATTTAATAATAATACCAGTATAATAACTAGCTTAACTTTTGATACACCAGCTTACACGAAGACAAATGACTGGCGTTCCGTTTGCTAGAGGTAACACCATGTTTATGCAATATGCGGTAGATAGAAGGATGTGTTTTGCTCTCTTATTTACAGATGATTCCCTTAAGAATGATGCAAAGGCGGTCAGAAGGTATGGAATCTTTTTACCATTTAAAACTCTTAGTGGCACTCCCACTCCGAATGTATATCTTTGTTGCCATTATGGAATAATTAAATCTTATTGACAACAAGGAACGACAAGTAAACCTATGCTGGATTATAAATTACAAATGTCTCTTGAATATTAAATATCTTCTTCATCAAAACAAGTCCAGTGAAGAACTGCCTGAAGATTGGAGAAAAATAGTTTAATAAAAAAAATTAATCATTATCATTTCAAATGTTAAAGCACCACATTGTGCAAAACGGAACACTACTATTTCCACGTCTTACATGTAGCGAGATGTACATAAGGATTAGCAGCTTTGCATACAGTTCTGGTCAACTTTAAAATATGCAGAGGAGTTCTCTGCGTGCAGCGGAATTGGCGATGTAGTTATCTGTGCGTGCTTGTCTACATCATGTCAAATTGTAAGAGAAGAAAATTAAATGAAGAAAATGAAGAAAAGTTATTTATAAAATAGCTGGTATACTTGCAAAAATACACAAACCATTTAGTGACATAGAAATAATTATAGATAAATTATAGTATTGCTGATACAATTTCGACGAGTTTAGTAAACATGCCTAACATGTTTTTCTACTTGTTTCTTAATTTGCGTCTATACTTATTATGTATCATCAATTGATATGAAGGCAAATACAACGTTTATAGATAACTCTCCTGTCTGACCCAAAATCTGTTTTTCAATCAGATTGTTTGTATTTTTTATGAGAAAAATAATAATTTTGTCTCTTAAAATCACTTGTGTTATACTGTAGTGTGCCATGGGATAAATGAAAAACCAACTTATAAGTATCATTTACAACTGCTTGGGCATTGAAATAGCATTTAATGACTGTTATCAGTTTTGCGTGTTATTTTTTTCCATGGCACACTGCAGTATTACAGAAGTGACTAAGACAATGTTCGGAAAATGTTTTAATTGTTTTTCCCTGCGAAAATTACAATTAATGTTAATGTATTGTACATCAATGGGCTCAGAAAACAATTTCTATCCCATAACGTGAAGAAAAACATACCGAGCAATTTGAAAATCAAAAGTTGATAATCGCTTGAAATCGAAGATGGCGTTGGAAAAAGTTTATTTGTAGCATGAATCATAGTATTCATGAAACCATTTCATTTGATAACCCGCTCATGAAAATCGGAATGTAAATGACAGAGTTACAGCTTGGGGCGTTTTTTGTGTGACACCCTGTATAATGTAAAATTTGTAATCATCATAAATTAACTAAAAACCTCGTGCCCATCACCATGTTAAGACAACAAATTTTTTTTAAACTTACCTTTTGGTCTTTCTCGATTAATTTGAACATTAATAGGATCATTTCCATTTAATCTATAAAGATGTAACTGTGTTGGTGTTGCAACTCTTTCTAAAACATTTTCCCAAAGTGGTGACATCCATTGCCCCGTTAAAGGATCATAAACTTTTCCGTTAGGCATATGTACAAGTGATGTGACTTGGTCTAACAAACCTCCGCAAAAATCAACTGGTAAATATAAATAAGGATTTGAGTCGTAAACTATATGACCATAAGGCGATCTCATTATTTCACGGATTCCTTCCCCATATTGATTGAAAATCATGACGGGAGTTCCGCATTGGTCCGTCGCCACGTAATATTTATGTCTATAAACTTGGGCGTAGATTAAATGACCGCGATCGTCGTAAACTAAAGACATTAACTTCCCGTCTCTTGGTGAATATATTTGGCTAACTTCGTTTGGTCGATCTTGGTTGTTATAAAAGAATTGGGTGACGTTGCCAAAGTTATCTTTACGAGTTGATAATCGATCAGCGTGGTCGTAAAAGTATCTTATATCAAATCGTCCTCTTTTAGTAGCTCTAACTAATAATCCTTTTGAGTTATAATGAAACTTTTCTTCTCTTGCATTTTGTACGACCAATCCACGAGTATCATATTTATATTGTCCTTCACCAAACTTAATAATCCTATCCATTGTATTATATTCCATTGGGATAATATTCCCTCGATAAGTCAACGATAACATATTTCCATTTTCATCGTATCTAAATCCCCATGGTTCTTGCGCTTCAACACCGAGAAGTTGACCATCGCAATCCCAAGTATAATTTTTAATATTCGTGTAAGTATTAACACCCACATTTCTTGTGTAAGTTCTAGTTTGCGAGATTCTTCCATGCATTTCATGGCTAAATTCCATCCGAAAAACTTCCATTCCATGGATGGTTAAAGCAACTTGTGTTTCTAAGTAGCGGGGATCGACGGTTCTTGAGAATAATGCGGTTCCGTCGTAAACGTGAGTCTCGTTATGTTTTGGTTTCGTTATTTTAAAGGGCCAAATTAGTTCTAAAGCTCCCGTTTTTACGTTGTAACCTAAATTGTATTGTTGAAGGTTTTGGCCACCGATTCTTCCTTGGATATTAATTAGCCGATAATTGCTATCGTAATCGTAAGTGAATTTAGCGTTGCTAAGACCTGTTTTAGCACCAAAATCGATTCTTTCTTCAACTAATAAACCACCGATGTATTGGTAATCCCAACGATATTCTAAATCTTGCTCAGTATGAAGAACTTGGCTTGGCATTCCTGTTGTTTCTGAGTAATGATAAATAGTTTTGCCATCTCCGTGAACGATTTCTATTAAGCGGTTATTTTTGGAGTATCTATAAACGACTCGAGCCCCTTCTCCGGGATATACTGTTTGTAATAGTTCACCTGAATGTGAAAAATGTTGTAAATAAGCTTTTATGCTTCCAGGTGGTGTGTAAGTGGCTCTAATAAATCCAATTGATGGTTGGACACTGAAAGAATGTTTCGTCCCACTTGGTAAAGTAATATGTCTTAAACCACCATCATCGTCGTAACTCAATAAGAAATTTCTTTGACTCGCCAAAGTTATTTTTGAGATCATATTCCAATCGTTGTAGAAAAACATTTGTGTTCCATCTTGCGAACTTGTTATTTCCGATAATAAACCATGCCGATCATAACTATATTTTAACTCAGAAACGCCCCATTTCCATCCATCTATCCTATTAAAACCATCGTAAGAAATATTCAAAGCTTCGGCTCCTCCACCAGGTGTATAAGACAAAGGTAAACCCGCGGGATCATAAGTTATCGAAAGTAAAGGTTGCTTTTCTTTGTCATAGAAGATTTCACGACTTGTAAATTGATCGAATTCAACTCCAAGAACTTTAGTGTTGTTTACGATAATTTCTCTATTAAGAGTTTGTTGAGGATTTCTTACATCACCCACCAAACTAAACGTGGTGGACATAAAGTTTTGGACGCCATCTCCAAACGTAGTTATTTGTTCCGACCAAACTGGGAGCATTTCAGCTTCGACGGGGAGTGCTGCTTCAAGAAGAGGATGACGGGCTATCGCTGACACCACAATTGAACCTCCTGAAGCTGTGTTTACGATTAATGTTGAGTTCATTAAGGTTAAAATTTCTGAGTGTTCTGATTCTAAAAAAAAATAATTAAATTTAAATAAGTATGGTTACACTGGTCTACAGTGGTTTTGTTGCCCTAGATATAAGATTGATTTTGGATATATTTATGTTTACAATTCATGAAACTATTAATGATTATGTAAGATTTGCTCTCGTTTTCTTTTAAATCTTTATTTTCATTTTACATTACAAAAATCGGAAAACAAGAAACAAAATAACAGATATATTTATAATGTCAGTTTTGTTTTGAAAAATTAAGATACATTCAAATAAATAGAGAGGAAAATGTCGAAAACATATGTTATATTTCCATAAAACACCTTTTATGAGCTTTTCTCTTTTTAAGGACCAGCAGTAATCGGCCATCATGTGACAATCCCATCGACCCTGATACCTTTCCTCCATCACTTTTAGATCCTGGTGGAACCGCTCTCCCTGTTCCTCATTATAATTTCCTAAATTATGCGGAAATTTATCCAGATGATTGCGGAGATAGTGTAACTTGATACTCATATTTGCCCCTAGAGTCTGAAATTTTGTTCAGCATATTTTGTACAATTTCTTCATAATTTGGTGCTTTATGGTTATCTATGAAATTTTCGACTACCAACACAAAACTTTTCCAAGCTTTACTTTTCGGAACATTCATAACTTTAATAAAATCTGTGTCATGTCATACAGAAATTTCTTTCATCAATTGCCGTATTTGAGAACCATCAAATATTCCACCTTTCAACTTTTCCATACTAAGCTTCGGAAATTTTTTACAAATGTAATTAAAACAATCTCCTTCCTTGTCCAACGCTTTTACAAATTGCTTTATTATTCCTAACTTAATATGTAATGGTGGAATGATTTTGTCTCTGCTCATCATCGGCTCCCTTATTACATTGGCTTTACCGACTGTTAAAGAATTTCATACAGGCCAAACATCTTGTTCCCAATGAAGTTGCTTTGCTCTACTGCCCCACACACAAATGAAGCAAGGGCATTTCGTGTATCCACTTTGTTAAAAAATTATCCACCAAGTAAAAAATTAACCATTTTCAAATCCACACAGATCGGCCATTGATGCTCCGAGTAGTTAATTTTTCTAACACTAATTTTACATTTTCATATTCTTCTTTGAGTTTTGTTGAATGGGCAATTGGACCTGATGCAAATTTATTTCCATTGTGCAGTAAAACGCATTTTAAACTTCTCTTACAACTGTTAATAAAAAGGCGCCACTCAGTAGGTTTGTATTCCTTTAAACCCATGTGTAGTAGCTGCTTCGCGATATCATTACAGTACACCAGTCCTTCATTTTCACAAAAAATTGTAATAACTCACTTTCTCGCGTTCTGTGTGTTGTAATTATTACTGTTGGAGCCAATAAATTATTTTCTTTCAATCTTGAGGCTACCAGTTCTGATCCTTGTTTTGATAAATTGAGATTACGTATTAAATCACTCAGTTCATTTTGAGAAAATAACTTCGGCGTAGATGTTTCACCCTCCTATTCACTTCCACTGGTAGACGGTCCTAATTCCTGTGAATTTGGCAACATCATTGTTTCTGAGGGTATGCGAATTACTTTTGAAACGTAAATAGGCCGAGGGAGATTTTCACTGTGTAGAACAAGACATTTTGTAGACTGTAAGTCTGGATATCTCCACGTGTTTCGTGATCACATACAAGAGAACTACCTGTTCTCCGAGTAATCGTGCAGTAATCGTGGTTTTCTATTTAGCTTTATTGTTAAATCAGTTGAACAAAATTAATAAAATTAAATCAGTAATGAATTGAACTATTTGACAAAACTAATATTTATTAATGATGTTTTTTTTGTGTCGCTTGACATTGTTGCTTACGGACGAACGACAAGTTACAACTATTTTGCGTTTTGCACATCTCGTTTTCTGAACAGCGTCACTCTCGCACTTATCACTATCCTCTTCAACCATTAGAGAGTTTTCTCTTCTCACATCAGGATGTCTACAGTTATATACAAACCGCAACATCCAAGCAATCATTCGGACGTTTGTCCTATAACTTCGAAAAATCGATAGAAATGACTTGCATCATTGATATTTATCATCGACACAATTGGTTTTTTCTTTCTTTCAGAATTAATTTCTTCTTCATCTTCGTCTGGTTCAATCCCAGGCCATTCATTTGGAGTTTTCATTGATGTGAAGTGAATTCTCTGATCTCCTTCACCCTGTTCCACACGAAAGTTGACCATTCTTCCCGACGTTTTATCCATCCAAGCACCGTGGTAGAGTCAGTCCAGAAATCAACGACGTTTAAGGTTTCTTGCACGCTTATAGCAAGTCGGGCACCAATTGTAGTCGCTAACAATTCCAGTCATGGAATGGACATCTTGATAGACGCCACTCTCAACCTAGCTTGTAACAAGAATATTTTGACCCCTTCACAAGTTTCAACTCTCAAAAAGACAGCCGCAGCACAAGCGCTACCGCTAGCATCGCAGAATGTGTGTAGCGATGACCTGTAGTTCTCGTTTGGCCCCATTCTTATCCACCTGGGAACCTCTATACGAAAAATGATTGGCAATTCGCTCGCCCCTTTTCATGAACATTTTGTTCGTTTCATCATCTATCTCCTCATCCCATCCAATTTTATTCTTCCACATTTTCTGCAAAATCAGCTTAGGGTACAAAGTTGTGGGGCTCTGGTTACTGTAATTGGATCGAATATTCGTTGTCTTAGGTATATAACAAAACATTAGAGTGTCATGTCTTGTATTCCAATTTAATCCCAATAATGGTACAATGTGATCTTCCAAACTTTCTATCTTGCTACACTCCCACCCTGTCAACTCAAACCCACCTTCGGCCATCAGTGCAGTGGCTTCTCTTACGAAAAGATATTTTGTTTGCTCTACATAAAATGCTTTTCTTAATATTTTTCAATATGTTGCTCTAAAGTAGTGCCGAGTAGAAAAGAACTTGAATTCACCCCAAATACCACCCTTTGGTGACGATGTAGTAAATCTTTTCCTTCGTCTGCCTTCCATATGAATCTCAGGAAATCTCTATCCCTGATATTCAGGCTAATTTGTAAAAACGCTTTTCTGATATCCGATATTACTCCAACCCTTTCTATTCTAAAGCGTAACAACACATCAGGAATCAACTCAATCAAATTTATACCTTTCTCCAAGCAATCGTTTAGAGATGGTCTTCCCTTTTCCTTGGCTGAAGCATCAAATACCGAACGCACCTTAGTTGTGGTACTGGACTCTTTGAATAAGGGTCGATGCGGTAAATAATGTGCGGTATTGTCGATTTCATCTTGGGATATCCTTTCTATAATCCCTTCCGACAACCTCTGTGCAAATACATCAAAGTATCGTTCAACGTCCTCAGTTGCTTGAAGTTTATTGTATACAGATTGAAGTCTCCTCTTCGCCAAATTGTAATTATTCGGTAATGGTGGATGTCTTTCCTTCCAAGGCAACTGCACCTCATACCGTCCTTCTTCATTTACCACTGTCGTCTCCTTCAACAATGTTTTAACTGCCTTTTCTAATTCAACTTTAGACCGGTTCTCTTTTGGATCCGAAATATCCTAGTACATCCAGCTGCCAAAGTTTTGAAATCGGCATATCTTTTGTCAACACGTGCTAGTGGCAAAAATGTTACCTTTTGAAACTTTTGTCGTTTTTACTTTTCCCATAACTGTCCACCCGAGTAATGTCTCCAACGCTACGAGACCACATTTCAACTCCAGTTTCTTACCGGAAAGTAGTTTCCCAACAACATCTGCTCCTATCAATAGGGATACTTCACGGCAATCGCCCGTGTCACTCAATTTAATACCAGCGTTTTTTAATTTCGTCGTCCAAGCTCCATTAAAAACATTGGGAATTGCGGAACATATAGTCAGCTGATCTAGAACTTCAAATTTACAGGGAAATTCACCATCAAGAAGCACCAATCTTATTTCATAGTATCGATGATCTTGTTCTTCAGTTCGAGTTCCTCCAAATAACGCATGAATCCTTTCCTTTCGTTTTGTCCGACACTTTATTTCAGTGGCAACAGATTTCAGAACATAAGACCTTTGAGATCCAGTATCTATAATAGCTCGAACTTTCTTCTCTCCACCAGACCCGGTTATCTCTACCATAACTGTCTGCAGAAAAACGTGCATGTTCTTTTGAAGTTGACTCGGCGATTTATTTGCTTCTAAACTGGGACACAACAAAACAATATGTTGCTCTCCACAGAGAACGCATCTTAATTTCACGCGACATCTTCTACTCAAATGTCCCAATTGTGCGCATCGACAACAGATCCTTTTGTTATTCAAGATCTGTTTCTTTTCGTTTAAATCCATTTTCTGCGCTTTAAAACATTTGTCCGTAACATGATTCCCTTCACAAAAAAACACACTTGCTTGCAAGCCCATTGTTGATGAGCCCCGCTGCTGTGGCTTGTGTTGGTTCCACATTTTTTACCTTCGCAGGCTTTCCTTTGGTTTCTACGCCAAAACCCTTCACCGCCAAAGCGATCCGTTCTTCTCCTTCAACCTCGGCTTTCAAAAACTCCATAAGGCGATTGAGCCTAGTCTTTGACGGTTTACTTGCTTTATCTGTGAGTTTCGGTGTCCTTTCCCAGACACGTAACAATTCCTCTGGTAAGCAGGACTTGATAAGCGGATACAATATGGCCGCACAAGTATCGGTAGAAATTCCCAGCGATTCCAAGGCTCTTAGTTGTGTTTCTAATCTGTTATACAGTGTTACAACCTGGTATTTTCCACCGCGACCCATTGCGTTATTGAGCACTAACTTAAGCAATTCCCTAACATAGACTTCCACGAGCATGTCTTTTCTTCCAAAATACGCTTCCAAAGTCTCAATTGCTTTCACATAATTGTCCGCGGTCGGGGGAAAACTGTCTATTAAATCTTAGGCTCTCCAGTTTGGTATATTTGCGGAAATTAAATATTAAAATTTATCTTCCGGTGCTAAATCCTCGTCCAATAAATTTTTTTCTTTCAATCTTGAGGCTGACAGTTCTGATCCTAAGTTCATTTTGAGAAAATAACTTCGGCGTAGATGCTTCACCCTCCCATTCACTTCCACTGGTAGACTGTCCCGATTTCTGTCAATTTGGCAACATCATTGTTTCTGAGGGCATGCGAATTACTTTTGAAACGTAAATAGGCCGAGGGAGATTTTCACTGTCTAGAACAGGACATTTTGTGGACTGTAAGTCTGGATATCTAAAAGTTTGATTCCGATTAAAAACTTTAGCATCTACTACGCAAAAGTAACAATCATCGAAATGATTCTTAGGCTCCATCCAGATCATAGGAATACCAAAATCTAATCCAGAACGTTCTCCTTTTTTCCACAACCGTAAAGACTCAACACAGGATTTAGAAACTTTATGAGGAACCCATGATTTATCTAGTTTGTCCATTTTAAAACCGAAATATTCAGCATAAATCTCCTCTACAAAGTCTGTGATATTTCTTTTTTGTTTTTTCGTTATATAAACACCGCAAATATGGTCACAAAATAAATCACTACTATATTTACACTTTCTTCGTGACGCACTCATGTTTTAAAAGACAAGACAAATATATTAGAATGGACATTCGGTAGTTGAAACAAAATATATAACTCATGACAACTTATCCAGATTCACGTGTAAGTACTTCAATATTGTTAAATAATTGAGATCTCAGCTGTTCTGCTGAGCAAGGGGTCTGAGAGTGAGGATCACGTGATGTTTGTATGCGCGAAAAAGTTGCGCAGAAGCCTAATCATGACTGGGAAAATAAATTTTATTACTAACAAGCCGATAATTGTTCAAAATATAAGATATGTAAAAATCATAAAAAACAAGAGCACATTCAGTACTTTCATGAATATATTCGTAATCTGGGCACTTGAAAACATAAAAATTTGCAAAGAAATCCAGGGCAACAAAAAAAAAATTTTTATTAAAAGAATAAAAAGTAACTTACTATCGGTTATGATGGCTTTTTTATTAGTTTTTCCGGTTACGCAAATTTCTGTTGGTGGTTTCGATGTTGTTACAACTAATCCTCCATTTTCTGCTAAATCTGATTTTAAATTAAGAACTTCTCCACTTGGTAAAATCACTGCTGTTGTTCTTCCAAGACCGTCATATTGATACATATAAGTTTCACCACCCTATAAAAAAATAATTAAGAAAAATTTTAAATCATATTAATTAAAATTAACCCACCCCTGATCTACTTGTTAATAATCCACTATTCATATCATAATCCAACTCAATTTCCGACCTCCCCTTTTCGCTCAATTTCACCAAATATCCAACACCAGAAATTTTCAACTCAGATTTATGATCTTGCGTATTCTCGATAGAACTAACAGCGTTGCTGTAATCTCTTAAGAATTGTATTTTATTTCCCGAGCTATCAGTAACTGTGGATAATTTTCCAAAACTAGTATTTTTTGAGTATAAAAATGAGTATCTCGTTTTTCCCGATGCTAAATCTTTCGTGGCGACGTGTTGCCCGTATCGATTGAAAACGTATACTTCTTCCGTTGCTGGATAAGGTATATGAAATTCCCCGTTTTCATCGTGAGATGGTAAATAATGTTCTAAAGCTAAAATGTGTAAAGATCCTTGATCGGCAACGTGAAGAACTCCACCAGGTGAAACGGTTAATGCAGAAATCGCTTGAAACTTTGCGTTCGATGATAACAAAGTTTCTGCGTTACTTGTTGTTACATCAGCTCCGCAAATACACGCTGTAGGCATTTCTTGCATTTTTCTTGGATTAGCTGTGGTGATACTTGTGTTGCAATCGCAATTATTTTTCATTTTCTCTTGAGTTTTTCCAGCAAAATGTGTTATTTGTCCAGAAGAATCAATCATTCTTATATAATTAACTCTTCTTGTATCAGCCTCAGCTATGTAAAGATCACCATTTGGTGAAAAAGCCAATGCTAAAACCGTCCCTAATATATCTTCAGGAAGCGGCAAACTCGTTGAATTTGTTTCCGTTGAGTGACAATGAAGAGGAGTTCCAGCCACGACTTTCAATTTCATATCGGCGGTTAATTTCAAAACGAGTCGATCATCAATGAAGTGGAGCGAACCATCTAATGGACTCAAAGAAATTCCAGTTGGCCATTGTAATTGAGCTTTCGAGGCGGGAATAGCCCCTTTACATGGAATTGGAGACCAATGATTGTGATGGCCATGACTTCCTATTAATGTGTGAATAAATCCTCTTGGGTCAACAGCTCGAATGTTTGTTCCATCAGCTATGTACATGGTTTTATCAGCTGCTATTGCTATTCCTTTTGGATGAGATAATCTCGCGTGTTTCGCCGAGCCTTCATCACCGCAGTTGCTGTCATCTCCTGGAATGCATCTTTCACCATTTCCAACAACCTAAAAGAAAATAAATTAATAAAGATTAATTTGGACTGATGAGGATGATTTCTTACAGGTTCGCTATTAATACTTGGATCTTGGACAGGTTCCAAAGAGATAACCTTTAAAATTTGGTGTTTTTCTGGATCGGAAACGTATAAATGACCATCAGCTGGTGATATAGTTAAATAATATTGATAAGCGACTTGGGTGGCTCTAAAATAGAATAAATTTTAATTTTGAATTGATTTATATTATTTTATTTCTACCTTAGTTGCAGCACTGTATAAACATTTCCTTCTGGTGTAATCCTTCTAACTAAATTAAAATCGCCTACATAAATACTTCCATCTGGGCCACTTGCTAATGATCCAGGGGTTAATAATTTAGCATCTTTAGCTGGTCCTCCACATTGTCCAGGACAATCCAAAGTTCTTTGCAATCCCGTTCCCATCACAACATTAACAGTTCGTGGATATTCTTTGAGATGAAGCGTAGAACCATCCCCTTTTTGTAAAATTCCTTCGTGGAAGTTATAATGATGATGGATATCGAGCCCCCACCCACCAATATCCGAAATATCAACTTCGAATCCTTTCAATCTGGCAGTTTGTGTTTCCCAAACTGGATCTAAACACGTTGTGTGTTGATAACCGATAGAAATTTTTGCCAAAGCAATCCCGTAAACTTTTTGTTTGTAAACGTTTCGTTTGTTCCATGCGAATGTGTGTTTTAAATCCGGATCGGCTTCGTAGGTTTTCACGTGAAGCGAACCTTCGACCTCAACTCTAACGTAGACGTGAGTTAAAGTCTTCGGTATAACGTGTCCGGTGAGTTTCATGTGGATCGTGCTTAAATAGCCAGTAGCTTGGGAGCTTTGGTACATTAGATGGAGATCGGAACCTGGGATCGGTATCGATTCTTGGACGATTTGAGTTTCGGAAAAGATCACACTTTGACCGGCTAAACCGCCGACCGCTTCTGGCATCCAAGTTCCGGTTATTACCGGTTTTAAAATCTCCGGATCGTGAGTTGAACATGTTTCCGGTAAATCTCCACTCAATGTGAATAATGAACGAGTTACACCGGGGAAGTTTATTGCAGGATTTCTGTTTGATGTAAAACAAAAATTTTTTTTAGTCATGTTTATTTTATCTCGTTTGATGTGATTAAAAGGTTTTTTTTATTAATAACGAATGAATTCAATTTAATTTGAATGTTTGTCATGTCAACTATTTCCAACATATTCGTTATTTGTTTAATCTTTAAATATATTGAGTGACGTGATTTTTATTTTTATTTCATCAAAACATTTAATCTCAAAATTTACCTAGTGTGTATCCTAGTGGATTCGTGTTCTTCGCTGAGTTGCATATGTACCGGTGGTAAAACGACGATTTGGTTCCAAGGCACGAACACTGTCCTCGTGAGGGGTTTAAAAGGTGACCTCTGGAACTGCAATGTAACAGCCCCGCCGCCGTTCACCAGCACGTCGAACCTGCAGAAGCATACATAGAGAAGGAGCCGACAAGCCATTAACAATGCGCGACATGAAACGACGGTCCCGCAATTAAATTATTAACGAAAATTGGGTTTCCCCCGAAGAGGAGAGTTACCCCTGTCTCCTTTCTCATCGTATTCCTCGAGCTCATTTCGCGGTCGCCCACCCCCAAAAGTCGACGGTGGAGGTTGCGAAGCTAGCCAACTTCTTCCTTCTCTTATTTCTCGGCGCGTTTGCTTACTAATTAACGTTTTCGATGCTACGCGACGGAACCGAGACCGGGTCTAACTAACCCTTAAGTTTAATATGCAATTCAAATCTTTGAATTCGAGGAAAAGGACTATGAAATTGTCTTTTTACATCAAAAAGTGTTAATATTAAAGATCTCATTCACTTTTGTTATGAATAAAGAGTAATTTTATTAAGGTTTAATGAGTTTGTACTAGTGGTGGAATAGATATCTGGCAGCTATCCGACTTACTCGGCTATTTTTTAAAATCCGGCCGGATACCAGATAGTTACCAAATATCCGGCTTTGGCCGGATATTAAAAACCTATTACTTAGTACTCCACCATTCACAGGAACTACTATCTCTTTTAGGTGGTGAACGTTGCAGATAATAATCAAGTTCAACCCCTATATGACATTTTTCATTGAATACAACTTTATTTATTACAGGTTTGTCATTAACATTACTAACAGAACTGTCGCTGTTATCACTTTCGATTATTAATTAAAGTATCCTCTTTTTAATGCAACAAGCCGTTTTGAAAAATCACTTTTAGATCTAGAGAAATAAATTTTTGAAATGATCGAAAATGTTTTCGAATTTTGTAATTATCTTTATTCTTTATTGTGCTAATAAGAAAGTTACACTCTTTACACTCGTCAATCTGTAGTACAATAAAATATCAATTAATTAATTAAAATATAATAAAACGACCCTACAAACCACAAAATTACAGTATACAAAAAAAGAGAAAATGAATCTCAAGCACTAAATAGGTCTACGGAGGTCTCAAGGAATTCCCGTATAGAATAGAATCCCTTCTTTAGCAAGAATGTTTTTAACCTCCCAAGCAACTCGTCCGCTGGAAGAGCTCTCACACTATGTGGCAGGTGATTATACAATTTTTGTCCCATGTATATAGGACCTGATTGTGTCTTGCATAACCGCGCAAAGTCTGGGTAGAGGTCTTCTCTCCCACGCGTTTCATACGGGTGAATATCACCGTGCATCCTTAAGGAGTTCATGCTCTCCAAGATGTATCCCACGCAGCGAAGGATGTACAGAGATGGAATGGTGAGTATAGACTGCGCAATAAAAGCATTTCTGCAATCATCACGATAACCTAAACCCGTTACTATTCTTACCGCCCTGCGCTGCAGCCCGAACATGTGAGCAGCTTCAGGGGCTGCTCCCCATGCTAGTATAGAGTAAGACAGTATGGAATGAACAAATGCAAAATAAGCACTTTTTACTACTTTTGGCGCCTTAGGAGAAATATATTACGGTTAACTTTTTTGCCCATCTCCACACTATGTTCGTGAAAACGCAACGCAGGAGCGGCGATGTAGAGGCCCAAAAACTTGGTTACATCGGGACAAGGAGCGTCGATCTGCTTCAATGTGAACGGAAGTGTGACAGTTTTATTTTCATTAAGACAAAGCTCGTTCGCAAGGCACCAGTCCCGCGCCCTCGACAGAGCCAACTCAGCCGCACTAGCAGTATCCTCCCGATTTCTACCTCTTATTAAGACTGTAGCATCATCAGCATATAGGATGCAATCACAGTTATCAAGACCTGCTTTTATGTAATAAGCAAAATCATTGAAGAACAACANAATATTTGAAGTTTTGATAAAATTTTCGATGTTGCAATTTTCATCGATACGTTTCAAAATTCGCTATAAAATTAATTTCTTGAAGGATCCTTGTGGAAATATTACCATTATTAATTAAAGTATCCTCTTTTTAATGTAAAACCCGTTTTGAAAAACCACTTTCAGTTATTGAGAAAAAAATTTTTTAAATGATCGACAATTTTCTCGAATTTTGCAATTTTCGCCGATTAAGTTTTAAAAATTCGTATAAAATCCAGTTCTTCCAATATGAGTATGAAAATTTCCCAAAGTGTTAATAAAAGTGTCCTCTTTCCAATGAACCAACCCGTTTTGAAAAATAACTTTTAGTTTTTGAGAAAACAATATTTGAAGTTTTGATAAAATTTTCGATGTTGCAATTTTCATCGATAATTTTCAAAATTCGCTATAAAATTAATTTCTTGAAGGATCCTTGTGGAAATATCACCAATTATTAATTAAAGTATCCTCTTTTTAATGCAAAAAGCCGTTTTGAAAAATCACTTTTAGTTCTTGAGAAATAAATTTTTGAAATGATCGACAATTTTTTCGAATTTTGCAATTTTCGCCGATTAAGTTTTAAAAATTCGTATAAAATCCATTTCTTGGAATATGAGTATGAAAATTTCCCAAAGTGTTAATAAAAGTGTCCTCTTTCCAATGAACCAACCCGTTTTGAAAAATAACTTTTAGTTTTTGAGAAAACAATATTTGAAGTTTTGATAAAATTTTCGATGTTGCAATTTTCATCGATAATTTTCAAAATTCGCTATAAAATTAATTTCTTGAAGGATCCTTGTGGAAATATCACCAATTATTACTTAAAGAATACTCTTTTTAATGCATGCCGTTTGAAAAATCACTATCAGTTCTTGAGAAATACATTTTTGAAATGATCGACAATTTTTTCGAATTTTGCAGTTTTCGCCGATTAACTTTTAAAAATTCGTATAAAATCCATTTCTTGGAATATGAGTATGAAAATTTCCCAAAGTGTTAATAAGAGTGTCCTGTTTCCAATGAATCAACACGTTTTGAAAAATAACTTTCAGTTTTTGACAAAACAATATTTGAAGTTTTGAACAACTTTTCGATGTTGCAATTTTTATCGATAAGTTTCAAAATTCGGTATAAAATTAATTTCTTGAAGGATCCTTATGGAAATATCACCAATTATTAATTCAAGAATCCTCTTTTTAATGCAACAAGCCGTTTTGAAAAATCACTTACAGTTCTTGAAAAAAAAAATTTGAAATGATCGACAATTTTTTCGAATATTGCAGTTTTCGCCGATTAAGTTTTAAAAATTCGTATAAAATCCATTTTTTGGAATATGAGTATGAAAATTTCTCAAAGTGTTAATAAAAGTGTCTTCTTTCCACTGAACCAACCCATTTTGAAAAATAGTTTTTAGTTTTTGAGAAAACAATATTTGAAGCTTTCACAAAATTTTCGATGTTGCAATTTTCATCGATAAGTTTCAAAATTCGCTATAAAATTCATTTTTTGAAGGATCCTTGTGGAAATATTACCAATTATTAATTAAAGTATCCTCTTTTTAATGTAAAACCCGTTTTGAAAAATCACTTTCAGTTCTTGAGAAATAAATTTTTGAAATGATCGACAATTTTTTCGAATTTTGTAATTATCACCGATTAAGTTTTAAAAATTCGTATAAAATCGAGTTCTTGGAATATGAGTATGAAAATTTCTCAAAGTGTTAATAAAAGTGTCTTCTTTCTAATAAACCAACCCATTTTGAAACATAGTTTTTAGTTTTTGAGAAAACAATATTTAAAGGTTTGATAAAATTTTCGATGTTGCAATTTTCATCGATAACTTACAAAATTCGCTATAAAATTCATTTCTTGAAGGATCCTTGTGGAAATATCACCAATTATTAATTAAAGTATATTCTTTTTAGAGGGCTTGCTTTGTTAGTTAAATTACCATCAAAAAATTCATTTTGTATCTTGGATCCAAATAAGTTGACATATCTTATCAGCTTTCTTATTAATTTCATTTTTATTCAAATATCGCAATAATGTAGCAATGTAGGGTATCACTTCAGAAATGCACCAGAAATTATAACCATAATGGCCGGATAACCGGATATCCGGCCGAAGAGGATGCCGACTTTTCGCAAAATCACTATCCATTCCATCACTAGTTTGTACCATTCAATTTTAATATGTGTAGAATAAGCCAATTCGATGATAAAGTTTCCCTAAATACCCAACATCTGTACCTCTCTTCCCCAACTAATTAATCCAGGTGTTACCGTTAGATTAATAGCGAGCGATTGGAGCAAAGACATTTCCTTAGAGAACACTTCGAGCTCTGGAGACGTCTCGCGAGTAAAGTGTTTTCGTCAATAAGTGATATTCCCAGGGGAACCCTCAAAATCGGTTTAAACAGAGGTATTCAGAGGCTTAGATGATGTATTCAAACTTAATACCAGACTTCCAATTAGTTGATGTGTATTGATGATTTTGAGTCGATAAAAAATAAAAATAATAATCACACCTATTTTATGGATTATGATTTTTTTTCGCCTTAAAACCCTTCAATTGGAAGCACTTTGTCCTTGTAGGGTAAGAAAAAAAAGAGGGCGACATCTAATGGATCGGAAAAATTACTTCCAGGCCCCTTTAAGGCTTACACATGAAAATTGATAGCAGGAGTAAAATCCGGAGCGCGCGAAAAAGAACGACGCTCATGCGTTCGTGATGGATCACTTCTTGCAAGTAGAAGCGTTAATGTAAATGTATGTAGGGGATCCGAAAATTTCCCATCCTGTCACGCTTCCGTTTTCGTCGCTAATCTCGATTTATTTCTTTAACCTTAACGGCGCAGTTTGGAGAATTGAACCTATTCGTCTTATTGTATTTATAAATTAAGCTTAAGAGGATTGATTGAAAATTTTGAATAAGAAATGAAAAAAAAGGTAATTATGCATTTCATAAAACAAAAATTTAAGGAAATTGGAAACTTTATTGTTGGCAGTAAAAGATTGGCAGTTCATGAAATGCCTAAGAAATAGGAGATTATATTAGTTATCTCATAGAAAAAGAAGTCAGAGGAAGTTAGTGGAATCTGATGTGCAATTAGGGCAACTATGAGTCGCAGGGTGA